ACGTCTCGCTCCACGACCTACAGTCCTACGACCTCATTGAGACCCTTACACGAACCAAGAATGCGTCATGCTTTGCCATCACGTCCAATATCGTCAGAGATCCCGATACGGGCGTCCCTGAAATCATCAGTCGACTGGCCGTTGCTGTCAAGCGGCGGCTGCTGCTATGGAGCTGGCATGAGAGCGAGCTCAGTGACGAGGTCTCGGAAGTCGTCCTTTCCGAATCGATCCGATCAATTACATGGGCGAGCGCGACGAAAATCGTTTGCGGCATGAATGCAGGCTATGTCATAGTCGATGCCATGACACAGCAGGTCGAGGATATTGTGAGCCCAGGTACGGTAGGAGTGTCTGGTCAAGGCAGCCGATTTGGAGCTGTAAGCAGCGCAGGAATGGGATACATGGGTCTAGGGAGCTACATACCCAAGCCACTGGCGACCAAGTTGGCTGACGGGGAGATGCTTCTTGCCAAAGATATCAATACACTGTTCGTCAATGATGAGGGTAAGGCCCTGGAAAAGAGGCAGATACCGTGGCAATCTGCCCCTGAATCCATCGGGTATTCGTATCCATATATCGTTGCGCTGCAACCTCCATCCAAGGGCTCTCTTGAGGTCCGGAACCCCGACACTTTGTCTCTCCTGCAGACGATTACGCTACCTGGAGCTGCCCAGCTACATTTTCCTCCGCCTACTGTAAGCCTAGCTCATGCCGGCAAAGGATTCCACATCTCAAGTGACCGCTGCGTGTGGAAAATGGGAGCCACAGACTATGACTCTCAAATTGGAGAGCTCATTGAGAGTGGCAAGTTCGATGAAGCGATTAGCATACTGCAAATGCTTGAGGATGCTCTCTTGAAGAACAAGGCAGAGACTCTACGAGAGGTCAAGATGTTAAAGGCAGAGAGTCTGTTCAAGCAGAAGAAGTATCGACAGTCGATGGATCTGATGAATGAGGACGATGTCCATGCACCACCAGAACGAGTCCTGAGGATGTATCCTGTTCTCATTGCAGGAGAATTATCCAGGTGGGCGAACTATGAGGAAACCCCAGAGAATACCGAAGCAAGTCCGAAAAAGATCAATGGGACGAGATCAAACAGTCCAGAAATGACCAACGAGCCTTTCGGGTCGCCCACTGCTGTGGGAGGATTTGCCAAATACTTTAAAGGATCGCAACGGAAGCCAGCTGAGGTCGCCTCCATCATCTCGAAAAAGGATGGGGAAACCGAGGATTCAGACAATGCCAAAGAAACCCCAGTGCCAGAAGACAAGCCCCTTTCAGGTAAAGAGCTCACAAAGGCCGTCTTGGAGCTGAATAGCTACCTTGCTGGGACTCGCGCTCGCCTCCAGCGTGTCATTGATCCTGTGACTGGCAAATTGAAGCCGCGAACAGACCAGCCTAGCTCGGCGGAAGAGGCTGAAGACCGACTCCTGAAGCTGACCATGGATGAATCGGACAAGGAACGCGAGCAAAAGCTACGCGAGACTTTCCGCCTGGTTGATACTACTCTCTTTCGTGCTTACATGTTCTCGCAGCCCTCGCTTGCGGGCTCCCTTTTTCGCATTCCCAACTTTTGCGACCCAGACGTTGTCAATGAGAAGCTGCTGGAACACAATCGCTATACGGAGCTAATTGACTTCTTCCACGGCAAGAAATTACACAAGTCGGCACTGGACTTATTGCACAAGTTCGGCGCTGCACCAAAGCCGAATGAAGCAGCACCGGCTTTGCATGGCCCAGATCGCACTATACAATACCTGCAAAGCCTTCCACCTTCCGAAATCGATCTTATCCTTGAGCATGCTAAATGGACCTTGAAGGCGAACCCAGAATACGCTATGGAGATATTCATAGGCGACACGGAGAATGCGGAGACCCTACCGCGCGAGAAAGTCTTGCCTTATTTACAAGAAATAGATATGAAGCTCGAGAGGCAATACTTGGAACACATCATCATGGAACTCGACGATTCCACGGCGGACTTCCATAATCGCCTTGTCGAGCTCTACGTTTCAAGTCTGAGCAATAGCGAGAGGGGCCATGATTGGGATGACCTTGAAGAGAGATTTGTCAAGTTCCTGCGAGAGTCTCGACAAGTCTACAGTCTCACCAAGGCATTTGCTTTGATCCCCAAAGATGGTAAGAGAATTCTTTGGTTTCTTCTTTTCACCCTTTGATGTTTGACGGATACTAACGCCGCATAGAACCCGCTTTCTATGAAGCTCAAGCGGTTGTCCTAAGCAACATGGGACAGCACAGGCAGTCACTCGAGATTTATGTCTTCAAAATGAAGGATTATGTCAAGGCAGAAGAGTACGTGGCCGGAGCATCTTATTGAGAAATGATGGCAGTGACAGCTAACATCCATCTAGCTATTGTAACCGTGCACACAGATTGCAAGCTCCATCCACAACTCCTTCGGATGATTCAGACGAGTCCGTGTCATCTGTATACCATACATTACTTTCTCTATACCTCCAGCCGCCTCCACCTCACAAGCCAAATTTCGAACCAGCACTGGATTTGCTTTCCAAGCACGGCTCTCGCCTCCCCGCCACATCAACTCTTGGGCTCATTCCCAACGATCTTCCCGTCAGTTCTCTCGAAGCATATTTCCGCGGGAGAATACGGGCCGCGAATAGCCTTGTCAACGAGTCCCGGATCGTGGCCGGCTTGCGCAAAGCAGAGGGTATAGCCGTAGCTGCTGAATTACAGCTGGGAGACGGCAAGCCTGGAGGTCAGGGCGGTAGGAACCGCCATGTCATCATCACAGATGAGAGGCATTGCGTCGTCTGCCACAAGAAATTGGCTGGTGGGATGCGAATGGGTGGGAGCGTGGTAGCCGTTTTGACAGACAACACGGTGGTCCATTACGGCTGTTTGAGCAGAGCAGCGGGCTCCAAAGCGGATGGTTTGAGGAAGCCCAGCTGGGGTAGAGGCTATTAGACGCTCACGTTGTCGGATATTTTTCTTTTTTCTTCTTCTGTTCTCTCAGCTAGGTTGCTCTTCATCTTCGTCGGAGTCGCTGAAACGGGTTGGCTGTTATCTGTTCGTATGATGTGGCTATACCCTTCTGTACACATTCTAAGGCGTGCTGTTTTTAAATAAATCGTATGTTGTCTTTTGCAAAACGTTTCAAATGACTGTGGCGGGCGCTTTAATCCTCCTCCTCTTGGACTTCCTCGCCGTAGTTTTCTTCTTCTTTTTCGTCGTCTACGGTGTGCACGGCGCCGGCAGCTTCTTCGCGCGCTTTATCCTCTTCCATGCGGGTCGTGAGCTCTTTGTTGATTTGGTCTTGGGCTGTACCGATGGAGGCGCGTAGAGATTCGAGGTACTTGGACTTGCCGGCAGTATCGAGAGCAGGTGGCGCGGAGATGGACTCGGTGATGCTAAAGGGAGCGTTGGTCGGAGAAGAGTAGGATGCCATGAGGGCGGTATCTGAAGGTGCTGATTGGGCCATTGCGAGGAGTTTTGGTGAGAGGGAGATGGGATGAATTTGGCGTTTTACTTGGTAGATGTTTTGTTTGAAGGGGAGATGATGATGGATAGTGGGGTTACTGAGAGAGCTTTGGTGCTTCATGGAGGGGCAGGAATCACGTGGCGGTGGAAGGTAGATTTACCAATATTGAGCTTGGTTTTGGTTGACCAGCAGAGAGGTATCTGTTCAAGATGTTTGCTATAGCGCTTGATAAATGACAAGAATCATCGTAATTGAATAATGTAGTTTGCCAAAACGATTTGTGGGAGGTAGATGCATCAACTTAGGCTGCATGTCTAGACGGTGGTCTTCGACAATGGCTCAGTAGATGAAGATTGTAGATTTTGATCGAAGAGCAGGCGTGTAAGCTGCCGGACGAGTGTTAAGTTACGGTCTTAAAGCTCCAGCCAGTTATGGAAACTTCCGAGGCAGGGGGGAGACTATACGTGGATGGGATGAATCAATCAGTGTGAGTCATTTATCCGATCTCTACAGTAGCCTTTCAAGGGCCATGGTTACGTATCTACAGCGCTGATGTCCAAGTCGATGGACTGGTCAACAGCCAGTTAGGTGAATGAAATTGGGCATTATCATCATCATCATCAACATCATCATTAATAAAGAATTACAATGGCCGTATAAGGAAGGGCCGTGAAGAGAGGGCACAGGACCTCGGTATGGGGTCGCTATGAGCGTATCAAGGAAACTCGACAGGAGATGCGAACCGTTAGCAGTATTCTTGAACATGGGAGAGCTGTGAGATTTTTGTATATGTAATCATACCTGAGGAGAAAAAAAGGTGAAGCATCGCCCTCAACAGAATGATCGGAATTGTGTGATTCATCTTGCCAGAAGCAAAACAAACGCTGCATATCGCACTCAAGTTTGCGCAACAAGCTTCGCAACGACTTCCCATAGGCACCGAGAAAGAAACCACCGCGTCTTCCCCCCCGAAGAGGGTATACACACGAGGCCTCCCGGGCCTGAGATTTCTGATGTCTGTTGCAGACGTCGGGGTGACGCCAGGCCATCACAGGCGGACTCGAGAACACAACGGTCAACGTTGGAACCGAGCACAAGAGGCAGACCCCCGAGGGAGCTCCTCCTGCTTTGAAGCTTTCTCCGAATTTCCCACATGCGAGGAGCAGAAGATGCGAGAGGCTGCTTGCGCAGGCTCTCCGTTTGTAGCATGGAAACGCAGCGTTGATGAGGGCGATGCTTGGGGAGAAGCAAAAGCCGGAATTGGACACGAGGATTTTTTATTTTATACTGGGCTGAAGCTAGTTTGTGAGCCCCACAATGCAGCAGCCGCGCCTTAGCCTGAGTGCGGAGCTGGGGGCCCAGGCCGAGCCTCACGCATCGGTACTTGTGGGTGCAGGCGTTGGAGGAGGGGAAATGAGGTACCTGCTGGTAACTGCTGAAGCTGCTTGAGTGTTTCATGGAGATTAATATTGGTGTTTGGGAGCAAGGCAAGCTGGGGTAAAATACTACCATTTACATGTATTTGTGCCTCGTGATGCAGAATTCATGCTTCTCCATCTCTCTCTTTTACACCACTTGTACATAACTTACAGCATGTACAGTGCTGAAAACCCTTGATGAGGGCGATGCGACAACGCTTCATGCATGTGTGTCGATCGGCTGCTCTGCGACACTAGCACCGGGCGCAACGCCGCCACGAGACCTTGCCGCCCCAACCACCAAATCATCTATTAGCAGCGAAGCTTAGCCTCTCACTGCTTGCTTCTACCTCTTCTTCATCTGCGCTTCTTGCTTCATCTTCCTTGCTTCTCCCTGTCCCCCAGACCCTCGCATTGCCTCGTCGACAGGCCTGCAAGCAATTCTGCCCGCGGGGCCCAACGGCCATCTCGAGCCTGACGCAACGCCAGAATCGCTGCGGCTCAGTCAAGATGTAACGAGCCCCTCGCCATTCCAACGAGATGCAACCCTCAACTTCAGCCTCGGGACGGGCCCAGGGCCGCGCTCCCGGCAGCTTCTCTCCCTTGCCCAGCATGCCTCGCTCGTCTAGCGACATCCAGACGCCGGTGTCGTCACGACCACCTCCCCTGCGCATTGACTCTCCCAGCAGTAGCGAGGAGAGCTCGCCTATCATTACCGTCCCCAAGGCGCGGCAGCAGAGCAGCAACACCCCTTCCACGCCCATCTATCAGCAGTTTTCCACGCAGTTTTCCACCAGTCATGCCAACTCGAGCAACGCCAGCGTCCAGCAGACTTATCCTCGCCCCGCCGCACCCGCAGCCCGAACCGCAGCTCAGGGAGCTTCATCGCCCGTCCTCAAAACGCATTCGAGGAAACACGCTGCCACACAGGGCATGTTTGAGCCATCCCTGCCATCGACAAGCACCTCCAACCTCTCCCAAGTCGCCATGAACCACAACGGCCAGGCCGCGGCCTCTGCACTGTCGGCCAGTCAGATCGCTGCGCAGGCGGCTGTCATGTCTCATCAAAATATCCTCCAGTCGCGACAGCGCTCCCAGACAGCCCCAGAGACTGAAGGCGCGAGGAGAGGGAGCGGGAGCAAAGGCCCTATAAGCCCACCCACTTTGAGCTTGACGGAAGCGAGTGCGCCGCGAGAATCTGCCTTCAACGCCCAAGGAGGAGCACATCAAGACAGGCTGGGGGCTGCATCGCAATCATCAGCTGCTGCTACAGCCGCGGCCAATGTTGTATTCCCCCGTTCTCCTAGCAATTCTCCCAGGGATCCGTCTGCATCACCACAACCGCAGCCATTCCCTTCTCTACCCACCGCAGCCTCCACCTCCACCATTTCAGAGAAGCCTCTCTCAAAATCGGAAAAGGCAAAGGCAAAGCTGTTCTCTCGGCCTTCGAAGATTAGTGCCAAGGACACTAAGGAAAAGGCATTGCCAAGCCCAGGCAAGATTGGTTCAGCTCTGTCAGCTCTTCAGCGAAGCAACTTTAGCTCGACCAGCCTCGCGAATCCCAGCGACCAGTCATTTTATGCTCTCAACAACTCGTCGTCGGCAACCATTCGGCCAAGCGAGGTGACGGGAGAAGAAAAGACCAAGGAGAAGGAGAAGAAGCATCACTTTCTATCAAGACAGAAACAGAAGCTCAAAGACGAATATCACTTGCCTCTCTCATCGGCTGCTAGCAACTCAAGGCCTACCGATCCAAATGCGCCAAACAGCCTTTACAACTTCAGCGTCCCCGCCAGTCCAGGCCCTACCACTTCTACTTTTGCAAAAGCCAAGAAGGACAAGAAAAATGCGGAGAGATCTGACAGTCGCATGGACAGCGAATCGGTCCCTGGGGATTGGCCGGGAAGCAGCAGCCTGCCATCCATGTCACAACAGTCTAGCAGCTTGTTCGAGCCGATTGATTTTGGGAAATCGGTGCTGACCAACTTATCCATGGACGATGCCTGGCATTACCTGAAGCCAAAGCTTCTAGTCATTTTCCAAGGCGAGGATCTTCGTGTCCCAGTTGAGGACATTAACCGCATTGTCAACCTACATATTCAATGGTGTGTTCATAAGAGGTCACCGAATAAAATGCTAGAGGACCTGAGGGAGCTTTTATCCTCAGGCTTCGCTACGATGGATAAAACCCTACGAAGAACGCCAGACGATCGCTTCATGCCGACTCTGGTGGAGCTGTGGCTCTTTACCTTTACTTCAGTCCTACCGTATATGCAGGCAGCCTTACTGCCCCTTGATCTAGAGGTATCAGGCTGTGGAACTATCATGACAGCTGAACAATCTCGCGACTTTTGGGGCGGCGTTGTCACTGCTCCCTCTCCCTCGCCCGGACAGGAAGCACGGGTGTTGCCTGCAGCTGCCGCTCTCGATGTGAGAAGGCTGGTCTTGACGGCCTACCGAGACGCCGTCATCTTACCGCGGTACGATACTCTTAAAACGATATTCTCCCGCCTGTCTCTCGAGTTTCTACCCTCGGCGTTTGCAAACATGGCACTCGCTTCCCCTCCTCTAGAACCCAGCCTCTCGGCATCACCCCCTGAATCCTTCTTTTCTATGGCTCGTCCAGGCACGGCCATGTCTCTCGACCCTTCAGTTGGTTCCTACAACTCTACGAGCACCACCCTACTCGGAGACGGCTCTGCTGGCAGTCGCAGTCGAGCTGTGAGCAACGTCAGTCTTGGCAGCCGGGGAAGCGATGGAATGATTCGTCCTTTTACCCCGTCGGGCGCCCTCAGCAGTGTCCGTGAGCAGAATGTCGAGGATTCGAAGCAGGTGGCTGATATGGTGGGCCGGATGCTCCAGTGCATGAGCGTGCTGTCGAGCATTGGGGGCGTGGGCGGAGATGTCGATGACGAGGGCAACAGGAAGATGGTTGAGTTATGCAAGATGCTTAAGCTCAACTGGTTGGGCAGAGGGCGGACGGGGCGCAACAGGATGGGTATTGTCGGAGGCAGAGTTCGGAGAGATGAAATTCGTGAAGAAGTGCGAGTTGCATAAGCTTTTTTTGTTACTCGTTTTTCGCGAGCTTTGATATGGCTTTCATTTACATACAGTAAGGGAGTGTATATGGCGTTTTCTTTGCGGGCAGAGTATACGTTTACAACAGTACGATATCAAGTGTATTCTCAAATTCCAGATGAAATTAAAGAGAGAAATGCGCAACTTACTTGGAGTCTTGTACTGGTTGAGTTGTGAGATATTTTGGTCCAGTTTGGTTCTTGATATGTCCATTTATACCACATATCCCTTGGGCTTATTCCCCTTGATTAATCTTCACAAACACGTTTACAATGGTTAGTTGGAAGTACAAAGCCACAAAACAACAACCAATCATATTCAATTAATAAATACTCACAAATATCTAGCCCAGGACTTTTCTCTCCAGAGAATTATCTCACGACGACGTAATGAACATGCCATTTGCAAACAATCTAGGGTAACGCCTCTGAGATGTAGTACCGATTACATAATGCTATCTACGCTATGCCACAAAGGGCTTAATCTCACCTTGGACCGGCGTTCAAGGGTCCTTGGAAAAATTCAGGCACAAATCGACTCCACTAAAAAGTCGAGTTGCAATTTCATGCAGCATCACGAAACTACCCAAGCAATGGCATAGGCACAATTGAGACGAACAACAAGAGAATGGAAGCAGTGTAGATGGAAGAATATGATGTATTTTCATTTGTGCAAGTTCTATAGAATGTCTACGATGAGCGGATAAGCTCTGGAATCCCTGTTCAACTTTGCAAATGTTAGCTTGAGGCTCAGCTAGTCCATGATAAACCAACATTGCGATAAGGAAAAAAAGAGAAAAAAAAGTAGGTGTTTAATCAGACATCCAAGGAAGTAATAACCCTCATCTGTTCCAGAAAAAGGCTCATCGGAACTCGAGTGGAAACTGCGAATAGTGATGGAAATTTCATCATGAAAACACATGTTGAAGCATTGTAATATGTATATTGAAAAGAGACTTACCATACGATGATCAGGGACGATTGTCGTAGCTGCAGGGTTAGTCGTGAATCGAAATGGGATAGCAAGATGTCGAGGCATCTGGAAATCTATTGCCATGGCGTTAGCATAGCTGGTCAAGCAAGAAACAAGTTCTGCAGTGAGCAAATGAGTGTAAAGGTCAGACAAAGTATACTGGCAAGTAACAGACCCTGAGGATCCGAGCAGTCAAATTTTCTTCATGGTCGATTCGGTTGGGAAAAGAAGACGTTTAATAAGTGTCATCATGAAAAGGGGAAACGGGAAATAGGAATATTTCCTGTGCGAGGGCAAAAAGGCAGATATCGCGACGAAAAAAAACTTACCATAAACCAAGACCGCGTTTGCAAAGCAAATCCTCAAGCAGATCCCAGAAACCGCGCCGTCTTTCCAAATGAACCAGGAATCATCGGGAGCCAAGAATCACACTCTTCGAATCATTTGCTGGCATTGGGACAAGACAGCCGAGAAGCAAGGGTGCAGAGTTTGCAGGCGGAAGAAGATAGGTTAGGAAGGAAAAAACTTCCGTCGGAAGCCCGCAGGCTGAAGAAGATATTCCCAAACAGTGCCAGCAAATTTTTCTTACCATTTGCACTGTATATATTTCACGTGACTCCGCCGCCCGCTTAAGGCATTAGCGGCGGCAGCGGAAAATGGCGCCTCGGGGTTGTGTATCCAGTGACCGGAAAAACTGACCTGCTAAGGCTGAATGCAGCGGTAGGTGACGCGGGAGCTGTTGCGAGATGGTCATGTACATGTAGGTGTAGGTGTGTCTCTGCGGATAATTGTCGAGATGCAGTGCAGCAGGCTGTATTCAGGCGGTAGTATGTTGGTTTTAGAGTCTTACAAGCCCTACCGATATCCCTCGGTTGTCTTTACCCAAGGATATTTTGTCAGAAAAAGAGCGAGGTGTCAGATTTGGGGGGACGCTCGATTTCGGGTGATGGCGCGGGCGATGCTGCCAGGTACCAGGTATTCCGTATCGCAGGGCATGCAGAAAAAGAGATGCCAGATCCTCGCTTATAGGCATACAGCGATACTAGCGGCTTGTTAGCGCGTGCCTTTGCCCCGTTACAGAGGTAGAAATGCTAAAATGAGAATTGGCAAACGGACCCAGCCACCCATTTTGGGGTTGGGCAGATACTGGCGTGGAGCATTTGCTTGAAGAGATGGAAAGGCTGAAGCGCGTGTCTTTTTTGGATCAAGAAGAAAAGAGAAAGTGGTCATAATTATGCGCATTTGATACCGGTAAAGTTTCTCCTGGGTTTACACAGTCATATGAACTTTATTAAAGCCTTTCGGTGTCAAATCGAGGCTTATCGTGTGCCCGGTTTGTCGAACAGAGCATATGTAGGTACATGTAAGAAGACATACAGTCGAGAGCTTTATACGGCACACCATTTTGTCCACGCCTTCTGCTTTGAGAGAAAAAAAAAAAAGGAAAAAAAAGGGAGAAAAAAAGAAAAGAAAATCAAATTTCATTTGTTATCTTTTCATTCATCTCTCGTTGGATTTCTCTCATCTTCTCTTCCTCTCCTCCTCCGTCCCTGTATCAGAGTAGGTACATGTACTCGTATCTTGCCCATCTTACCGCGCTACTTGCAAAACCCCTCGCTGCTATACCAGGTCAGCACCCCCAAAACACGCCTCTCGCTGCCTTTTGATTGCCATCGTCAGAAGCGGGGCTCCGTTACGGGATAACTGCATAATCCCCACTGCTATCCCCTGGACCTTTCTCTCCCCTGGTCACTCGCGGCCACGGCCACCCACTCATACCCACGCAGCAAAGAAGATCCAACGCCGTCTCGCTCCCGCAGGCATTATCGACGCCTTGCCTGCACTGCGACGTCTTTCGTCTCGCCAGACGGACTGGGACCCGACACAACCTCTTGGTTCTGATTCTGATTTTGATTCTACCTTTTATCTGTCTCTGTCTCTGTCTCTGTCTCTGTCCACCTTTACTGCCCTCTGATCCTCGTCTCGTTCCCTTTGCCTCATCCCCCGTTCCTGTGGGGGACAGTGCTGGGAGTTGCGCTGGGCAATTTTCCACGCCTTTTTGCCAAACAGTCCGGTTGGGTCGGTTGCCTTGGACTAGGCTGGAAGCTGGCTCTGCAGAATCCCGTTGATTCTCGGTCGGGGAGATATTTTCTTTTCTTCGCGCCCTGCATCGCGTCCCATCTGCCAGCCTCTTCTCTCTCTCGTTTCCTTTTGCTTACAGCGCCCCGATCTACTATCCCCGAAAACCAAGTCACTTCTCCTTTGGGCTTATTCCCCTGCCTGCTGCCCACTCAGCCGCTAGAGCTGTTATTTGTCACCCCGTCGCAGACGTCTTGAGTCGGGCTGGTGTGGTATCACGCATCGCACCACCAACTACCCATCGGACCGCATTAACTGCTGCCGATGCATCGTCGCCACTGCACGCCTCGTCGCTTCTTCTCGCCATAGATTCGGTTTTTATTCCCGACACGGATCTGCGCCCTCGATCGATATTCCTTCCCTCCCAATTTTTCCTGGACGCTCTGGGTACGGTGCAACCGTCTCCACCGCCTACTACCCCGTAATCCACGCTTTCTCGTTGCCGCGACGCGAACTTCGAAAGAAGAACCGAAGGAGACGACGACAGAGCGAATCTCAACCGACAGCAATCGTCAGGCGGGCTCTCTCTCTCTCGACGGCGCGCGCATCCTCTCACAACCTCCATCGTATGCTCCCGCGATAGTGTCTACGGGCGCTTGTCGATATCCACGCTGTGGATAGCCGACCTCAACTAGAGATGATGGCTACAAGTATGGGCCCCAACTTCGCGGGGCACCCTGCCATGGGGCATCCGGGAGTCGCAGGGCATTCCATGGGCGGTCCTGGCATGCCTCCCAACGCGGGCCAGCAAGGCGCGCCTGCCGGAATGCCTCACCAGTTCGCTGGCGGTCACATTGCCGTCTCCGGCCCAGGAGGACCGGTCAATCCTGCTTTGATGGGTGCCATGCCGCCCGGCGCCAGTCCTGGCCCGCACGCGGTCCATCAGCTAAGTCCTGCGCAGCAACAGCAAATGTTCCAACAGCAGCAGCACTTGCAACAGCAGTGTAAGTGAAAGGGAAAAGAGAACCTGGGAGAGATCTCGTGGAACTGACTTAGCTCATTTACGTAGTCAACATTAACAACCCAAGCGCGCAAATGGCCGCTATCCGACAACAACAACTTCTTCATCAGCAGCAGCGGCAGCAGGCTATGTTCGCCCAGCAGTTTCAAAACATGAATGCCGCTGGTGTTAACGGTATACCCATGGGCATGCAGCTCAGCCCTCAGCAGCTTCATCAACTCAGGCAACGCAATGCCGCCGCTGGGTTGGGACATGTGGGTGTAAGTTACCTCCATGCATGCTTTGATAATGGTTGCAAGATCAAGCCGCTTACTTACATCTCTTTGCTATAGCAGCACAATCCTCAGGCGGCGATCATGGCTCAACAGCTAGCTCTTCAACAGCATGCCGCCCAGCAACAAGCGGCCCAGCAAGCGCAACAACAAGCGGCCCAGCAACAGGCCCAGCAACAAGCAGCGCACAATCAACAAATGTCGGCCAATCACAGCCAGGCCCAACACATGGCGATGAATGCACAATCTATGCCGGGTATGCCACAGCAGAACCCAATGGCCGCTGGCGCTCAGACCCAGATGGGTGCGCAGCAACAGCAGACCCCGCAGCAGCAGCCAGGCCAACCTCAACCTCAGCCGCAGCAGCAGCCAGGTCCTCAGTCACAACCAACTCCACAGCAAACCTCACAAGCCGGGACACCGGCTGCGTCAGGACAGCAGACACCATCGCAGACACCCGCACCGACGCCTGTCCACGCAAACCAGATCCCGCCGGGCCAAGCTCAACCCCAGCAAGCTCAAGCACCGAACCAAGCTCAGATGGCCGCTGCTGCTACCCAGCAGCTCATGGCTAACTCTATGATGCAGCAGCAGCTGAGAGAAGGGATGAAGACCCGATGCCTCTTGAAACTGATGCAGTTTGGCGAACGCCTAAGCGGCTTCCCTGTAAGGCTCTTTCCGAAATGCTCGAGGCAGACTTTGATTGCTGACACACAACTGTTTAGGGAGCGAAGAGCAAAGACGACCTGTCATATTGGAATAGATTTGTAGCCCAGTTCTTCTCATCACCCAATGGCGTCTTCCGGTTTTCATTACACGTTGGCGAGTCCGAAGATTCACCAGACAAGCAATACGAAATTGCCTACCCAGCGATTGCTCGCTTCTTCCACACCAATTACAGCAGTGGCGTCAAGAGTATGCAGCTTATCCTCGACAGCGGCAGCAGTGATAGGCCACTGCCAGGAGACTGCTACTGTATTGAAAACCCCAGGGCTAGTTTCGTCTACTGGTACGAGACGGGATCACATGTATGTTCTTCTTCGCCTGCAATGGCCAAACAGCCTCGTCTATTTCATTTACTCGGATTGCTAACTTGGCTTGTGTTCAGCTCGTGGCTACGGGTACACTACGCGCTCAGTTTGATGCCGAACAGAAGATAGAATTGTTTGAGTTCCTCACCACAAAACATGAAGAATACGTTGCCCGGAAACATGTAATCGAAGCTGCAAAGCCTGCACACGAGTGGGTTAAGGAATGGCGGAGCTTAAATACGATGGATGGCAAACAGTCACCAGAAATGTCCAAGAAGGGAAAATCTCGCCAGCTCAAGTCCCCTCAGAAGGAGCCGCCCGGAGTTTTGGTCGATCTACCAGACTCGGCAGTAAACAGCAAGGGAGTCACAGAGGCTGTGCATCAGTTCCTCGAGGTATGTGAATACGGGTTATGGGCGAGAGGGAGAGGGAGAGGCTAACTAGTTGCGTAGATTGTAGAAGTTATGGGCCAGATGAACCCTTTGTTTGGGTTCTACCACTCCAACCCTGGCCTCAGCCCCTACGCCGCTCTTGAGCAATACGTAGCAACTCAGATCAACAGCGCAACGCCAATAATGAATGGACAGGCCATGGCACAAGGGCCAAGGACACCTAGCTTTGGGCAGTTCCCAATGGGAACCAGTCCTGCGGCAGTGCACATGAACCTGCCTGGATCGCCTCACATCGGCAGCCCTGCGCCCGGCCAAGCACCCGGCATGCAGCTCCAGCCAAGCCAGCAGGGGACAAGTTCAAGCGGGCCAAGCGCAAACACATCACCGGCTTCTAACAAGCGCCGCCGACCATCCACCGTCAAGGTCGAAGATGATTCCGCCACACCAGGTTCCGGTCAGGTTAACGGGATACAGGGGAGGGGCAAGCCTCAAACCCCCCGAATGGCCAAACGCATGAAAGGCAGCGCGACTTGAGGTGCGGTGTGGTAGACGATTTACGTTGTTGGACACCTTTGCCTGCCCACGGCTCACACTATGCCGTAGCACGCACCACGTCCATGTTTATTTTCATGTCCCTAATCTTCATGCAGCATGGTGGCGTCTCTTGCTTGAATTTCTTTTATTTGCTTTCCACAAGTGTTTTGTTTTATGTTGGCCTTTCTTGATTGATATTGGACCAGTTGGAAAAAGCTCTGTTTTACAAAAGAGAAACTGGGACGGCATACTAGCCGCTTTGGCAGTATGCGCGTCTTGCTCGCTGTTTGAAAACGCCGTGCTTCCCGCACGTCCTGTTGTGTCGGTGGATTGATACCCAGCGGTTGGTGTGTGCATATGTTGGCAATGAACAAGACCCGGAGAGCAGTTGGATACGCTGAGTGGGAAGCATTGTTGATTCACGCGGCCTCGGAAGGACCCAGTGCTCTTTTTCTTCTTTCCAACATTTGTTCTGCTCTCTACATGACGATATATACGGAGTAGACGCCATGAGATGCGGCGTTTTGGGTCTTGCAACGTTGTGCGACAGTTTAGCGAAGGGAATATTAGAGTTGTGTTGGCGCTGGCGGGAGAGAAAAGGAGGATAGGCTCTTATAATTTGGGTAACGGAGTTACTCGTGTACGATAAATTTTATCTGGAAGACTCGACCTGCCTGGTGGTTTTTGCTTTTACTGCGTCTCGCTTGATTTCTTTCTCCCTTTTGTGGTTCCACATTTTGAAGGCCAAGCCTCTTTCTTTTCTTTCCATATATATTTTCAACTTGGGAGATGTCGTCTGTCCCTATTACTGTTTACAAGCAGTGTGCTCCTTAGGATGAGGCTAGCACAGCATAAAAGCACCACCCCAAAAGCCAGTAAGGGCAGGATATCTAATCTTCCCAATGGCAAGATCAGAGACGGCTGCTATGAAGCAGATGAGGCAACAAAAGGGTGATAGAGAGGGGTGTCGGTTGAGCCCTTCTCCCTTTCTCTCTTTTGTTTGAGGATGTTCTCCTCCTTTTTTACTTGTTTTCGTTTTGCTACTTTTTTGCCGGTGTTTTGGAGTTCCGTCAAGCAATCGAATTTCGATATATAAGCAAGATGGTATGTTTCTATTATTCTATTATTTCTCTTTTCTTTCTTTTTTTCTTTTTTTTTTTCGAAAAGGAGAAGACAAAAAAATCTGGTTTTTGGAATACAGGATGTACAACGGTGCTTTCTTCAGCTTTATAGTGTATTGGGAGACTCTTTGTTTGTCTGTCTGTTTTTGGTTTTGCTTTTCTCTTTTGGAATACGATGGAAAGTGTCTTGGTAGCACATACTGATTTTTGCTTTTTATTTATGAAAGTTCTTTTTGACTATTACACGTGCCGTGACGCCTTCTTCCATCCTCTCGTGAACATTATGCCTTTTCGGATGCAGTTGTGACGATGATGCTGATGGTGGTGATACTGCATATTATAGACTGTCAGTCAGCCTGTGCTTGTAGCAGTATCAGGAGCTGGAGTTGCATCACCATCACCACCACCATCAGGAGCACTCACGCTCATATCCACCACAACAAGCGCCTCATATCCCTCCCTCCTAACATCCCTTACAACCTCCTCCCAGACGCTCTCGTCAACATCCAGCGTCACCACTTTCACAACATCCGCCGGCAGCACCAGCCCTTCCCCCGACACGATCTGCAATCCGTACAATCCCCCGTCTCTGCCCGAACTGTCCCTCGGCATCACGTATAACTTCACCTTGGCGGCGTCGATCCTGCCCCTAGCATGTCGGATCGCCAGGCCATGAAGTCCAGTCCACGATGCAATGGCCGCTAAAAGCCCGTCGCGGCTGGGCACGATGTTCACCCAGGAGGCGTGGATTGCGCACCAAGGCTGACGGCTTTCAGTGGGTGCGTACCCAAAGTAAACAACTTTGAAGCCTCTGCTCGACGGAATTAGGGTTGCTCGAGGAGCTCCAGGTGGCAAGATGGACATTGTCAACGGAAACGACATGGGCATGACGGTGACAGGAGGAGGCATGATCATCATCGCGGAAAGCGCAACGACAGGCTGAACATGTTGCTGCTGCTGTAACGCCACAAACTGCGGCACTGACATAGGCATCATCATGGGTTGTGGAAAAACGTAGTGTTGCAGCGGCCGCGACATTTCGACTGTAGGGATATATTGACAAAACGCCATCATCAGCTCACTCATAAGTATGCTCTTTAATACCTCAATGTCAAGTGAGAAGAATAATGTTCTTGCGAAGAGAAATGAGAGGGAAGCGGCTATTCATAATTGTTCTCCAGGATCAATGATTCGCCTTCTTCCAGATCGAGTTTCCTTGACAGTGATTTACAACATCTCAACAGTTTGACAGAGAAAGAGTCGAAGCTGACTGTGAATCACATATGCACCTACATCCACCACAAATAATATAACAAATCATTTTCTTTGGCAATGGCTGAGATCCTACGTGTAGCAAGTCACAAACAGAAAAAGAGGAATCGATGGATTATTACATTTTTATTTAGAGTCGAGCAATCATAAACTCACCCCTTAATCCTTGGCCGATGACAATGCATTCCGTGTACAAGATACACCATTTCCAATCCAATAACCACATGAGTACAAGCGTAAATAAGATGGTATACTAGCCCTTTTGTGCCGCTGGTCGGCGATTCTGATCCTTAATCTCCCCCAAACTCCAGATGCTCTCAGTTGATGATCAACTTTCAACTTATATGCTTCCAATATATCCTCACCCTGTCCTTCATTTCTTCCCCCAACAGCTCTCATCTCGCGACTGCTCAGAGGCTCTCGGGAGTGGGATTCTCGTGCTTAGCGGTACTTCCCTTTCCTCTCCAAGTGCTCACAGCAGGAATGTGAGCCTCATAACGAACCTCCTCGGTGCCATACGCCCTTGGGGTTAGCTTGATCAATGTGTGAAGCGGCACATTCATCCAGGGACTCTTGGCCTGGTCCTTTTTCATAAAGTATGCATAAATGCAGCGCAAAACTGCCTGGTGCGTCACAATGAGGATGTCCTCACTACGTTCCAGTTCCATTATGATGGGCTCCAGGCGAATGACTACATCGCGGTAAGACTCGCCACCGCGGTATCGGTAGTTGTACTTGTCCTCATCGCGGGCTGCAAAGTCTTCGGGGTAGCGATCCTTGATTTCCTGATACGTCAAACCGTCGCACACGCCCGAATCTAATTCGTCCAGGGCCTTCCACTGCAGTTGGTTGTAGTGAGGCGGGAGAAATCTGGCCGTGGCAATGGTACGTTTCAATGTCGAGGTCCACACCGTCAGAGGGCGGTCATCCTAATAGCTCATGGTCAGCACTGGTACTACGACACACATAATTTTCATATTCGCCAATGGGCAAATATGAGAGCTTCACATTGCGAATAAATGGATCGTAACTAGGAAGGGGCATAAAACGTACCCCGACAGACTCTCGCACCAAATCTGGTAGCTTCTTGGCATACAGCTCGCCTCGGGGAGACAACAGCATGTCGCCACCAATGCGGCCACTCAGATTATATAGAGATTCTCCGTGCTAAAAAAGGATCATCAGTAAGATGAACAGAAGAGGGGCGTCTTGAATGCAGCCTGGGATGATTGCCTACCCTTGACAACCAGACTGATCGGGGCCGGATATGCAGATTCATGAGGTAGTAGACGATGCGACTCTGAAGATAGTCTTGAATGCGGTTAATGATGACTTGCTTGCCGACATTCATCAGCTTTAGGTAAGTGTAGTTGTCCTCATCCTCGTCGGCGTTGATGGTCTTGTAAACTTTCTCGTAGTGGCTGATGCGATTGCGGAAGTCCTGGGCCGCGGCCTCGGGATCTTGGCCGCGATAGTCGGGGCTCGTTAGCTTGACGTCACGGATATTGGCCATGATGACCTCTTCATCATCGCATTTGCTCTCGACAAAAAGCACTTCAATGCCGTGAGCGGTGCACGTATCCATGACCCATTTACGGCGCTCCTTTGTAGAATTGGTCGCGTCCAGGATGCCGACCACGCCGCCGGTGCGGAACCAGGCAAGCATGTCAGCAACGGCGGCCTCGGCAGCCGCACGGCGCTTCCGCTCTCCTTCGGGATTGTTAAAATCAAAGAAGTCGGCAGTCGGCTGTGGAGCGTCATTGCGCCGATAGTTGCCGACATTGAAAGTCGCTGCCGGAATCGACAGCCATTGCAGGTATCTCTGGGCTGTGTATCCAAACAGGCAGAGGAGAAACACTGTTAGCCAGAGTTCATGTAGGTTCATGTAAAAGTGGCGTGAGAAATTGGAGGAAATCAGGCACTTTGCACGCTAGGGGAGGAGGGGAAGAAATGGCCAAAGTGTAGACATTTGGAGACGTGCATGGTGCGGGACACATGTGTTGCATAGGAATATCTCGGAACCAGGGGATGATTTCGCAACGAGGAAGAAGCAAAACCACGTTTATGGAGTAAACATACCTAACTGGGCAATGTAGCTCTTCCCGCGGGCCGGGAGACCAACCATGACAACGCATATCTTTGTGTCCTCGACCTGAACCCCCACACCATTGTTAGTTTTCGACGGCATTGTCAAGAAGATGAAGCCGGCGTTACTGCAACGGCAGTTTGGTAAGATCAAGTATGCTAATACGGTGTTTAGGGTGTGATAGCAGAGGCATCCGGCGAGGCGGCTGAGACATATGAGGGCGAAACAGGAGCAGAGGAGACAGTGGCAGTAGCAGCAGCGGTAATGGCGATAACAATAGATAGCAGAGAACAGTCTGGCCCTCGGATTCCCTCTTGAGACCGAAGGCGAAGGTGAAGGTTCAGCTGATGGATAAAACCGGGAGACAGCCGGGCGACGCAGAGGATGTCAGGTGTAGGTTGCGTGAGGGTGGCTGCAGAGGCCGAGAGTAGGTTCAATCAATGGGCGAGAGACGGCTAATCGAGCAGAGCGTGACGAGGAGCGCGGCAATGGCGAGTGCGTGAAGGGGTGTTGATTCAAGACTGCGCGCGTGAGGGTGTGGGAGAGGTGAGGCAGAGGCAGAGGCAGCTCAAAAGGGTCCAAAGTTGAGAATCGACGTCAAGCCGCTTTAGTGGCTGATGGGCACTAAGCCTCAGTGGTCGACGAAAAACCCACAGCCGAGGCAAGCCTACAGACGGCCAGCGGGAAAAATTGCTGCAGGGCGGGTAGCACCGCAGCAGAGATGGCAAAGACGCCACAGGTGGTATGACGGCTGTGATTGGAGGCAGAAAATATCGAGATGTCAATTTTGCCGATTGTTTTGATCAAAGAGGAGGAGAGAAGAGGAGAGGAGAGCAAACAAAGGGGAAAAGCTTGAAATCCTCTCTGATGCAGATCTCTGTGATGCAGATCTGCGGAAATGTCCGTGGAAGACGGAAAAGTGATTGTGACAAAGAAGAAGATGATGATGATGAAGAGAGCAAAAAGATGCAAAACCTGAAAAGACGTGACAGGTGGTATATCGGCACCCAGAAGTATTGCCTAGTACCAAATGTTGGCGGTGGTGGCTGCTCGTGACCGGCAGATACAAACTAAACTACAAGATACCCCAGATCATCAAGGTACCCGTAATCGAAGGTATCGGATCGAGCAAGTGCGCACCACGTTGGGCAATGCTCAATACCCAGATAGGCAGTGGCAGGTACTCGGAAAGGTAGTTCCTGCCAAGCAGAAGCAGCCCCAAACGTGTGTTTATCCTGTCAATGGGAATAGGAAGGAACAGCCGACGGCTTGCAGGTGTGTGTGTGAGTGCAAGCGCGAGCTGGTGGTGGTGGCAGCTGCTACCTATGTAGTAATAAATGCAAAATGCCTGCCGGGGGGAAGGAGCTGAGGCACGCGGATAGGCGACCCAAAGGGCAGTGACGACAGCCAGCCCAGTTTCGGCAAGAGCGAGCACGAGTGCACCTTGCGCACTGATGTCTTCAGGACAGAGCCGGAGCCGAATTAAGAAGGAATGGAGATGGAAAAAAAGAAGGAAAAAGGAAAAAAAAAATATATAAAGAACAGGGGGTGAAAAGGGCCCCCTGTCTCATGTATTTTTTCTCCAATGCTTGCCACGGCTTCAATTCTTCCAGCAAACGGCCACACCCCGCATTGACTGTCGTCTCCTGTTGGGCTCAACTCAGCTGCTTTTCGTTTGTACTGGTTTGGTGACTCTGCCTGTGTCTGTTGCTGCCCGTACCCAATTATGCTGGTACCTGTACCTGCACTGTACTGTACAGTACAGGTTCAACTTCGCCCCCCTTCCCCTTCAAATCCCATCTAGTGTCCCCGTGATGCGTCGTGCTTATAACACGGAGCTCGAAGTAATTACGATTACTCCATATTGCGTGGTTGATTTTGCCTGGCGGCTCTCCGCCCCCTGTACCGAGCGACTCGCAGTGGGGGAGGGGGCGCCGCTCTGGGGATTTTGGAGCTCCAAGGCGGCGGCTCACGGCGGGAACAAGCCCTGGAGCTGGAGCTGGGCGAGCCAGTTAGGGGGGCTTAGCACCTGGGCGAATGTGCTGCGGGGCCGCGAGCCGCTGGAAGCCCTTTGCTGCAGCCCCTGACAGCTATTTGATCCATGAATCCGAATCGTCCCGGCAGACACTCCATTTCGATTCCGATTCGAGCGTCTCGTTTTCGTGGGTGGCAGGTGACCGCCAGTGAAATGAAGAAGAGCAGAGCCAAGGTCAAACTCTTCCCTTGTCCTTCGTCTCCGCGTCGAACCATCTGCGCATCCATCTCGCCATCTCGGACGCGGCCCAATGGCAGCGGTCCGACGATTTGCTGTATCGATCGCAGACTCGAGTCGACCTCCATACTGTAATCGTCTCTCCACCTCGGGGTTCATCCCCATGATTGCCTCTTTCGGGCATCGTGGCCACGGGCAATGGTCGCCTCTGCAGGAACACGCCCCTTAGCCGAGTTGTCACTTTTTTTTTTCTCGGTTCAAAGGCTGCCATTCACCCGGGGCTATCCGATGATGCAGAGAAGAAGAACCTGGAGTAAAAAAAAAGAAAAAAGCCAATCATGGGACCGATTGCTCATCTCGTATGTTGCAATGGCCTGAGCGTAGCTGGGCCGGCAAATCGACAAGCAATCTTAGCCGGTTGAAGCCATGCCGGGTCTCTGCTCTCCAGAAGTCTTTCCTCTCTCCGAATGTTTCTCCCGTTGTGCGTATCATGCTGCTCGTCTGCAATGCCTTGTCGATGCAATACAACTTTGATGCTGCGCTTGGTGGAACCTTCACCGCCTGCGTCTGCATCTGCATCTGCATCTGCAACCACTCTCGCCATGGCTCTTAGTTTTCCTTGCTTGCTCGCAGTCACTTGACTGGCAGCCATCCCATCATGTCCGCATATCGGAGCCCGTGCTGGTAGAAAGTAAAAGAGTAGAAAGGTCCAGATAGCGTCTGTCGGGTGACGCTGCAATCGAAGCAGGCGACACATTGAACCAGAGCGGCAAAAGACAAAGATAAAGACAAAAGAGACCGCGATGCTCATCTCACCTTGCTGAAACTCCACGTATTCGCCCTCGTCCTCCCCGACGGCGATTTCACCGTCGGCGGCCCAGCAGCAACGCCTCTCATGGTCTGTCGTCGGCCGGTGACCAATCGCTGCCCAGCAAAAGGAAATGCCGCGTCGTCTTGTCGATCTTGATATCACTCACGGGGTTTGGCTGAATCTTCAAGGGAAGAGAAAAGAAAAAGAAGAAGAGAAAAAGTCAAGCCTCGTTTGATGACCGTTGGAAAATGCAGGGAGAAGCTGGTAATTTTTTTTCCTCCTTTGCAATTGGGCAAAAGCACGCAAGAGCCTGATAATGGCAGATTGGGGGGGGCGGTGGATTGGCTTTGGCTTTTTGGATTGGGGCTACGAAGTACGCGGTGTTATTAGTACAGGGAAACTGTGATAGTGATAAGCCTTTGGTCGCATCGTGTTGCCCCCTTTCAGCAACGGCTTGCATTCCTTTGCATTGCTCTTCGTTTCATCTTGTTGATGCTGCTGATAAGACACTGGACGCATCAATTAATTGTGCAGACAGACAGCATTGAAACAAGAAAGCAGAGAGATAACGAGAAGAAAGAGGCAGGGGACGCAAACGGTCAAGTATCCGCCAAAAAATTAAATCTTGAATTAAAATGTCCCAAATTCTCACGACATTTCAAACAACAACCACCACGTAATACATAGGAGCAGACGAGAAAAAGCAATAGCCCTTACTGTACAACTCATGTCATACCATCCCATCAACATTAACCAAGGCTACACCCCCCTACAATAAAGCCTCAATCAAGTCTTGATCACACTCACTTCCTCCCGTAGAAGCGCATCTCGGCCGCCCCCACGTCAAACACGGCCACGACGTTTTGCAGAAACACGTCGCCCAGGATATACGGCCCCGGCCCGCCGCTGGCAACGCCAATGGCGCAGTAGCCCGTCAGCGGGTCGACGAGGTCCTGGTAGATGAGGTCGGCCGGGTTGATCCAGAACTCGACGCCCGAGATGAGGATGGCAAAGTGCGGCGGGATGGCGTCGCACTGCACGAAGTAGGTGCCCCATTGGTACAGGTACACGGCGCGCGGCTGGAACGAGTTGGCGATGGCTTCGGCGAGTGCTAGGGAATTGTGTCAGCTGTGTCAGTGCGTGTAGGTAGTGTGTGAAGTAATTGATACTCACGGGGAGGGAGGTAGAGCATCGTCGTGCCCGTGTCGACAATGTACGGATACTTGGTCGTGTCCGTCGTCTGGTCCCATTTCATGCCGTCGGGCACAATCGTGTAAAACGAATACTTCCACGCAGTCTCAGGCTGGCCGATGAGATTTGCCTGCAAGCCCTCAATGTCAGTCCCCCCAAATCCTCATCATATAGTAGATATCATCATCAACATCATCAAACTCACCACAATCAGATCCGTCTTTGCAAACCCCCTAAACTGCCAGTCCATCGGCGGCAGCCCTCCCCAGGCAATGACGCCGTCCGTCGAGTTCTTCACCAGCGCAACGCTGAAGACGGGGTCGATGCTCCCCTGGCTGATGGCGCTGGTCAGGAACGGCGTGTAGCTCATGGTGTTCCACGGCGCCTCGTCACCAACATCACCATAATAGGCGCTCGTGATGGCGGGATACGCAAGGCCAAGGATGCCGACCGTGACGTTGTTACCGTGCCAGTACGTGCTGTTGGCCAGCCCGACCTGCTGCTTCGACACCGTCACGCCGCCGCACGAGATGTCGCTGTAGCCCATCGGGCCCGAGATTCGCTCGCCCGAGCCGTACTTGAGGTAGAAGTGCAGCTCGTCAATCTGCCCGTGGCCGAAGCCGTCGATGTACGGCTTGGAGAAGCCGCAGGCAGACTCGCTGTGAGCGTCGCCGCCCAGGTCCGCGCACTTGAAGCCCGTCTTGGTCGCCCACGTATCGGAGCTGCCTGTGTCAAAGAGCAGCCAGACGGGGACGCCATCCCAACCGCACTGGATGGCATATTGCGTCGAGGCATCAGTCAGGGCGCTGACGTTTTGAAACGACTGCTTGAAGGAACCGGGGGAGTTGGAGCTGAGGCTGCTTCGAACGCGGCTGAGCGCAGACACGGCCGAATGCTGCTGGCCCGGCTTTCCCTTGATGCCCTTGAGATGTGAGATGTGCATCGTAGCGCGGTCCTGGCTGGGTTCCTTGACGGCTTTGACCCGCTGGAAGGTGAGGCCGTTCATGGGCTTTGCGAGGTCCCAGTCAGGGGCGTGGCGTCTGACTTGGGGGAGGCCAGCGGAGGATGCGGTAATGACGAAGCTGCCGAGGAGGCAGATGAGCCATTGCGTGAGGTTCACGGCAACCATGATTGAGTTGGGATAGGGGGGAACAAATGCTCAACAGCGACAACTAACTAGGAGAAGGAGATGAAGTTGGATGAGAGGGGAGAGAGAGGTGAAGATGCGAGACAGGTGGTCTAGGTAAAAGGAAAACTGCCTTGATATCTTGAACTGATGGAGGTTAAACGAGAAAGCTGGGACATTGAAAAGGGGCAGAATCGAGGTCAAAGCACACACAGCTTCTCGACAGCTGGCCACGGGAAAAAAGAGAGAGAAGACGGTTGTTTGCATCAACGTGCCACCTGTTTCACTGACGGGTGTCCTTTGTGCAAGTATCGGATAGGGGAGCCGGACGGACTCGATGGTCATAAAAAAAGGTGAATTGTTTGCTTTCTTTTTTGTGGATAGACGGGAAGGATATTGTCGAGTCTTGTGTCGGTGCTTTACTTGGTACGAAGTTGCATCTTAGATGATGCAAGAGACACTGCAGCGAGATCTTCGTAGTGGCATATATCATATGCATTTGTGTGCAAATAGTAGTGAACCATCTGATGTAATTTGAAGAATATCTCTAAGAGGCAGCCGAGTCATCAAACCGATGCTTATAGACAACAATTTGCACGAATTCATCAGACTCAAAGCTATACGGCAGAACATGAATCTAGCACATGCGTACAAATTCAGAAACCTGACTCTAAACAATAAACTTGAAATGTCTAGTATCTTCCTGTTGATGACCCGACGTGGCATCCGCCTCTGGAGCTCTTTATCCAAGACCTTTGCTCTGACCCTGTTTTGTTTCGTGCCCTTTCCTGTATCACAGGTAATAATAGCTCTGTCTCTGGAAACACACGATAGATTGATCGAGTCTCCATACCACCTGCTTGAGATTATTATTGGATGCGCTTTATAGCATTCATCCAAGAGCTATGTTATATGCAGCCATTGAAGCCCGGTATCATCGTTTCGTTGCGATCAGAGAGTATGCCATTCTCCTTCCAACTCACCTTTAGCTTTAGACCAAAAATGTCAAATCAAGCTTAACTTTCAAATCCTTCCCAAAAGCTGCCAACATCCGTATAACACCCCTTAATAGAAACCCCCTTGTACAACTCCCTCACAGCCGTCGGGTTCGGATCTCGAGATGCTGCATATTCCCAGCCTCCTTTTCTCCACACCACATCTTCCAAAACAACACGAATATAGAAACGCGAAAACAACCCGAGCCAGATCTGTTACATATTAATCCTCTCCAGTTACTTCCCATCCGTAAACGATGCCGTCGAGTTTCGTCCCCATGTTCGTCATACCTCAGGTCGCACATCACATACAACATGCAGCACTGCCATCCCGATCCGTCATCTACGGTGGCACCTCATCTTGCACTCTGTATATCAACTTCGCTTATTTGCCGAGACAAGTAACGCCCAGTGTCTTGTCTAATCCCAGCCTGTTAACCGGCCGTACTTGGTTACTAATAGCTGAGAGTAACAAAAGAGGTTCGATGTCATGATCTAACATCAACTATAGCTCAACTTTATAGAATCAAACATTAAACAACATCTTCTCCAAAGAACTAACTATATATAATATCGATAAATCTTCTTCTCATCCTCGCCCACAACAAAACTCATCCCACTCTCCACAACCCAGCAATTACCCAAACAGGAAACCTCAAAAAGCCACGCCGTTGGAAACTTCCACTCTCAAGCAACAAAAAAACCACGGCAAATCCGTCGGCGCCCCCAATATTCCCGATCCCCCGATTGGCAAATCAAGTCGGCCAATTGCGCTTCTCAACGGCCTTATCCCGCGCTTCTTCACCGGGTATAAAAAAAAAAAGTTGCCGTCTACCGTTTAAGCCGAGGCTATATAGCTCACACGCCAGGATAGAAGTGTATCATCGACAAATTCGAATTGAATAATACCCCCAAAGACTCAAAAGCCCCCGTAAACCAAACGTAAATCATTATACAAATTCCAACATTAATAAAAGACATCCGTGTCAATTTTTAAATGCACATCACATACTTTTCTACCCTTATCAAGTGCCATCCTCTCGCCAGCCAGTCGCATCTCCTGCCAACCTGGGCTACCTCTGCGACACTATCCCACAACCACACCACAACCCGCCGCATGAACATCCAAATCTCCATAGTTCATAGTCACCCATTAAACTGCCACAAATGCCCTCCCTCGCCGCCACGTTGCCGTTGCCGTTGCCGCGCATGCTCCGGGGCCTCGATGCCCTCCAGCTCCAGTCTCGCCATGTGATTTTCGCTTCGTCTTTCAGCTGCGCGCTGCAGCAGCGCCGAGCCCGAGACGGGGGATCTCGTCTTCATCCTCCGTCTCCGTATCGTTCTTTGCACAGCTGTCGTGGCTCAACTATTTCAAGACCAAGACCATCCATTACGCCTCTAAAAACGACTTATACGACAACACAAACGAGAATGGCGTCCAAAAAAACCTTGGTTGTGAAAAAGGAACCGCCTCTTTCTTACATGGAGCATCTAAGTCCCTCCGTATCATACTACATCCCACCAAATCCTGCATCCCTCGACAAGAATAGCAACTCCAGCAACTCCAACGATCCAGAACTCATCCTAGTCCTCAGCTGGATGGGAGCCCGAGACGTCCACATAGCAAAATACATTGCCCAGCACCGCGCCCTCTTCCCATCCTCACGCATCCTCCTCATCCGCTCCCCTGCATCCCACGTCTTCTGGCCGAGCCTCGCCCGCAAGCACATCCCGCCCGCCATCCGCATCCTCATGCAATTCGCAGAGCCAGAGACCTCAGCAGCAGCAGCAGCAGTCCCCAGCAACGGCGGAAACAAGCCCCGGGTCCTGCTGCACATCCTTTCTAACGGGGGCGTCAGCACCGCCGCCAGGATCCGCGAACTCCTAAGAAAAGAGCTCGGCAGAGACGCCGCTGGAAACAAGCTCGTCATCCCTCGGTATGCTCTCTGCCTCGACTCCTGCCCGGGAAATTTCGTGTGGGAGAGCACGCATAGGGCCCTCCTCCAGTCTCTGCCTCGCTGGACTTCTCCGCTGGTCCACATGGTCATTGCCGTTGCCTGGCTGATATACAAGCTCCGTCTCACTCGGCCTGCTCAGAATCTCAATGCCGAAGCCCTCAGGAGAGGCAGCCTACTCCCAAGGGAAACCCAGAGAACCTACCTTTACGGCACGGCAGATGCTGTCATCAGCTGGCGCCACGTTGAAGACCATGCAAAGAGGGCAGAAGACTCGGGGTTCAAGGTGCGCAAAGAGAGGTTTGAGGGTGGAGAGCATGTGTCACTTGTTAGGAAAGATAGCCAGCGATATTGGCAAGCAGTCAAGGAGACATGGGGAGGGGACGAGGTTGGATTGGAAGCTGAAATGCTACCTAAAAATGAAGTGACAAAACAGGAAACGATCATGGATGTGTAGGTGGGTGTAATGAACGGACTAAAGCCATAATCGGATGAGAAAAGGGAAAGGAAAAGCGTTCTCTCAAAAGACGTTCATCCATGGTTGTAGAAATATTCAGGATAGAACTAGACGTATAAACCGTGAAGCCAGTGAATAACACCCCAGGTATCTTTTGTGCCATAAAAAGTATCGATAAGTCAAAATTGATCACACCCAGTTTTGTTGAAGCCGTTCCCTATCAGCACCTCCTTCATCAGAGATGGACTCCTCTCTCCACAGTAGGAAAGAACCCATGATTTCCGATAAATCACCACAACGCCGCTTTTTAATAATTAGCTATGCCGGTTGACGGGTGACAATGCAGATCCAAAACAAAAGAAATCGTGACCATGTGAAGGTCGTTTGTTTATAGCCGATGCCCCAAAACATCCTGTTTCAACTCCATCAACGCCCAGTATTGTACCCATCACACCTGTATATCCCGAAACCGTTGTATTGGCCAAGGAGAGACGAAAAGGAAAAGGAAAGTAGTTGTACGCCACGCTCGCTCGCAAGACAGTCGACTCAATCGACGCAAAGTGACAAGGGTTGGGTTGTATCGAGGGCTGTTCAAGTTTTGGCCTTCTTTCGTGAACTCGTCGATCTCTCTTCCGAAGCCCCCCGCTTCCCATGAGCTACAAGGCCTTCCTCTGCCGCTGCTCCCACTTCTTCGACATCACCAATTCCTTCGTCCTCCTCGCTGCACTGGTCACACTCCTGGTCGAAGTGGTGTTGCTCTTGATAAACCCCTTTGGAGCAATCTCCAAAGATTCCGTTGTTTTTCGCCTCAAGACATGACAGCTGTTGTGTGAGATCCTCCCATATTTGTTCTTCGCCGCACGTGGTGCAAGTGCCGCTGAAAATGACCAGACGGCACATGACTGTGTTTTTGAAAGGGGTCGGTGTCGATGATTGTTAAAAGCAGGGCCCAGGAACTACGCCCAATTGCGTGTTCCCATCAATGAACAGCTTTTGAGAAATTTCGACGATTCTGTAACCGAAAGATAGGAAGAGCAAGAAAGTCTTCCTTGGCATGGGGCAGTATGAAAGATTAGTCTGTAGGGACTAGGGAAACGGACATTAGCTCGAGTTGTCTCTGCAACCAACAACACATGAATTTATTCACATTGTGGAAAAAACAAGAAGGGGGGAGGATCCATACAGGCTAATGAAATTGTGTTAGTAGGGGAATGCACACGGGCCTCCGTCCACTTGATCAAGAGAAACACTCGTAAATTTTCTTCTCTCCTCTGTCCCCTCTTTAGTCGGTGAATTGCGTTAGTTGATTCAATAAAAGAACAACGAAATTGTTTGTTGTGCGAGAAGCCTGCGTCGTAATTGAGTTGGGTGCTGCCAGGGTTGCACGGATGACAAGAAACGGTGTGCCTTGTCGTTCGTGTTGGCTCTTGAACAGGCGGGTCGCTGCATATAGCACCAGATGACGGCCTTCAGGAAGACGAGGTGAAGAAGAAGGAAATGAAGATCATGAAGGAGAGGAAGAGGGAAGGATTAGTGCACAAAATGGCGTTTCTTGTGTGGTGCGGAACAAAGTTTCAATGCGGAAAGCGATGAAGACATACCAGCCAACAATCACAAGCTCAAGAATGGATCTGTGTGCGCATACTTTGACACTCGAATCCCCCTCCCAGATGGACAAACTCGAAACAGAAATGACAAAAGACATCCATTGATTAACAGCCCACCTGCATACGGACGCTTCTCCGCTCACTCGATACGGCCACAGCAGCACCACCGTCTGTCACTTGTCATATTCGGCCGAGCCCACCACGTAATTGATTGTGCAAAATATGTTGGCAAATAGAGGGTGGGTCTCCAGCTTGTAGTAGCTACAATGTTTGAACATCCAGAGCATACCAAGCTGCGTCGGCTAGGACTGATCAAGGTATCGATCGGAACAGACGGTCACCGGCCAGGCACAGGTAGGGAGTCGAGTCGAACGGAGCCGTCTTCGCGAGACGAGACACCGCCAGCGTCCATCCATATTGCTGCTGATGTCCTCTGGCCCACGCAATCTGGACATGCATGGAGAGATCTATCGTTTTTCCTAGAGGCGACTCTTCCCTTTTTTTGTCCTATAGTGGGTTAGGAGGGGTGTGCTGTGTCTTTCTTGCAGCAAGAGTTGGCCTGTTAGTTGCATGCACGCACCAATGAATGTCTCAAAGCCCGCCGGACATCTCATCGAATGCGAGAACCTCTACCGCTCTTACGGCCTAGTATACTTTCTGTTACCGCTCTTAATGTATCTGCGTCCATCCTTTGGAGGGTTGTGACGCTATGGAGCGACTTGGCAAGGGTACTACCCGCGTCTCCTCCCGTCCTGTCTTGCACCACGACAAGCACGGCTTGAGAGACACACTTGTGCGCTCACCACCTTGGATCGAGAGGAAGACAAAGCTAGCCTCGACACAAATGGACTTTGGCTGGACAAATGAAAACACACCGAGGAGCTGCCACGAGCGTCACGGGTCGCGAAGGAGCAGCCGCCAAAAGCGCAGCTTGTTCCATATCCAGCCAAGGGATCGAGGGAAAGTCTAGAGAGTGGAACCGCAGTCCACCAAGGTTGCCGCCGGATTCCTTCCGCCGCCTCGGGCGGGATATAGCGTTGCGAGACCCAAGATGTCATGTCTCCTCTCTCCACCAGTCTCTGTAGCCCGAACGGCGTCCACGACGGGCGGATGGGCGGGACGAGAGGGGGAAGCCCGGCGCCACCATGCCTTTACGAAAAGTATCATTGATGAAATAGAGTCGTAAATCCGATTCACGGCTGCGGAGGCAGTGAGCGGAAGATCGACCAACAGATTAGCGATGAGCGTGAGGGTCAAGGAAACTGACAGGGTGATTCAGATGCCCCCGGGAGTGGAGAGGAAACAAGAGGCCAGGCCAGGGGTCTTTGTCGTACACATTTTGCCAGCCTGCATCTGGCATCTGCTGCCAGCTATTGACGGCTACGTTCATTGGCCAGATGCTGCAAATTGGAGCTGCAATGCACGAGCACAAGTTCGGATGGGGGATGACGGAAGCAAAAATGGCTGCGTTGGTAGAATATGTGATATTTGGGTACGGATACAGTACCTTCCATACAAAGAATCACTTAGTCATAAGCACGCCTATCGATACCTCAGGTAGGCGTGTATCTTCACTTCCACTCGCTTATGCATTGGATCATATATCGAATCCATATAATATCAACTCATCATACTCATACTCACACTCCTACTCTTACTCTTACGCCATCAGCACAGACTACCTGCGATACCAAGCTAAATCCCGCCCCTGATTCACCACGGCCAGATGCCATCCTGCCGCCTTCTTGTCTCTCACCCGTTTCTCATCGTCGCCGACAAACATCGCCGCATGTCTCTCGTTCCTTGTTCGCCGTGCACCGGGAGCGGACGCTTCCTCTCTCTCAACCGCCTCTAACGGCCCAAGAACCGGTTCATCGTCTCGGCTATAAAACAAGTAACAGGGCCAGAGGACAGCATAAACGAGTCACATGCAGCCCGGCCTTCTGCGGCCAGATGAAGCGGCCCGGCCATTGTCGCGATTCATGGGAGGCTGGACGATGCCAGCAACCGTTTAAGTGTGTACTCGTATGTGTGCGTGTGTTTGCAAGGGCTGCCAGCGGAAAGTAGTCTTCCGCCCCCAAACCACGAGTACAGACGACATGAGACGGTGACTCTCTGCATGCATTCGAAATTGGGGCACGTATTTAGCCCTATAGCAGCTCTTGGACAGATAGCCCTTTCAAACCGCGTGCATTGCATCTGCATGCGCATTGCATATGTCTTCCTACCTATACACGGCCACGACTATGAAAGGTTTCGGCGTCCAGCTCGCAAAGCCCGAGACAATCCTTCGATCCGCAGGCAACATGGCTTCCGCTATACGCGCCCGGGCTCCTCATATGTTCAAAAAGTGGCTCTTGATAACATTGACGCCCTTCTCTACGGATTGCAGGTAATAGATGTGTTTCTTCCCAAGCACATGCTACCTTGGCATCTACACACAGCCAGACTCCATAACCACCAGCTCCTCGCAAAAAGGGAACAAAAGTCGATCGCCAGGGATGCTCGATCCTCCAGCCCACACCGCAACTAAGATAGACATTAGGATGGCAGGCAATATGACAGGTAGCCTACAGCAGGAAGATGCTCCCGGCGTGCCGTGATTTGTACGGCGCTTTCTTAGCCCAAGTCAAGTCATCCCGGCGGATTGTGCACATGCTCGTATACGCTGTGCATATCCCGTACAAACAGCTACTCAAGGTACGCGTATATATCGTATGTGTGGATAGGTTACCTGTATTCTCTCTGATTCGACAATATTTACTACAACATCCCCATCGAAGCCCGCATATTCTCGCATCAATCACATCGCTTCTCCAGACTCCATAACCCTCAAAAACTCATCTCACCGGCTCCTCGCCCCAGCACCACCCGATTGGACGCCTCTCACTTGCCTCTCTCTCCCTTGTTCCGCATGCATTTCATCTGCATCGCATAATGCATCTCGACCCTAAAAACCCCCAATCGCAGCCACGCCTTTTCGACCCTCCGCCAGCCGCACATGCAAGTTGCCTCGACTAGCAGGATCGAGGCCCTGCTGCCTGCAGGCTTCAAATCGCAAATATTTGCGGCAAACAAAAAAGTAAGACGGGGGACATCTTTTCAGCTCTTTTGCATCCCTGTCAGACCCATGATGATCGCCTCGGGGAGTGCTTATGTATGATGTATTACTCGTATATGCGCTCTTTCTTCTTTCACAATGGCAGTTGTAATATTTGATGTAGCGAATTATGCTAATATACAAACCGCGGCAACTCTTTTCAACTTCCATGCCGCTCTTCGCCGCTCCCTTCATCAGCCACAGCAGGAAGCACGGCCAATTCCAACATCAAGACATCGCATCGCAACTGATGCGAGAAATGTCAACTTTAAAAAAAGATAAAAAACACGGGGCAGAGATGCGCTGGCACATCTGTGCAGGACTAGGTGATCATAGGCCAAAAACAGCAACGTCCTTTCGTCACTCGACTATGTCCTAGAATTGTTCCGAATGGTAGGTATCCGTAGGCAGTGAGGAGTCCAGCTGGATTACGTAGATTGCGTAGCAGATAGGAAGCGACATCAAAGATCCAGTAGCTTTCTCTTTTTCTCTTCATTTTCTTTCTTCTTTTGTGCTTTTTTTGTTTCTTCTTCTTCGCTTTTCTTCTCTTCGTCATTCTGCTTCTCTAGTGTTGGCTTGTCGCTGCAAGTCACCTGCTTTGTGACATATTGAAGCCGACACAAACCATATTCTGGCATTCATCATCCGTCCATGGACAGGATTGCCATGATAGATATGTATGTCAGAGAATAAATACGTCACTCTCGCAGCAATAGGCCAGAGTCGTCGATCCACGGTGAGCAACATATCGACATGTCAAAGCAAATCCAAAAGTCACAGCGCTGGAGAATCCACACCCAGTTGCAACATCCAGAATCAGAGCAATGCAGTCTGTCACCTAGCTCTGTCAACTTGTCATCCGGTTTTCCAGGGACATTGACCTCAGGACCATGATTGTACTGCGGCAATACGGGAGTCAAGAACATAGTAAGCAGGCATGGACGTCGCTTGCACAACCAGCATGTCAGGTCTCAGTGTCAGACGGCCACCAGACAAAGAGAAAAGGGGGGTATACGTTCATCATATTAAACGGGGCCGTAGAATCGAATAGAAATATTCAGCGATCCTCGAGAGTGAAAGAAGGGAAAATGGCGGGGTATAAAAAATTCGGTGAGTACAGACGTGGACTCCATAAAATAGTGTCATATAGTCGTGGGCTTTTTTGTGTGTTTTGTGTGTGTTTTTTTCTTGTTCAAGAGAGATTAAAGTCGGGGAAGAAGAGCTCCGGGGGTGGTGCTAGTCAAGAAAATCATGGCATCTTCAAGGGGCGCTGAGTCTGCGGGTTTAGTAGGCCAGCATCCAGTGTCAAGGTCACACCCAGTCACGAAAGCACGCGGCTGCTTGCAATCAAAACACATGCAAGCTTTACTGGGCTCCGGGGGGAGGGGCACCGGCAGGAGGGCCTCCGGAGGGAGGTGTCGCTTGTCCTCCCTGTTGCTGCTGCTGGTACATCAATGACTGATACCACAGAGCGACATAGTTTTGATAACCACCATCTAGCGACAGGAGTCAATAGGGCTCAAGTTTCAACGTCAGATAGAAGACACTTACATTGGGCGTACGGATCTGAGCCATCGCCTGAAGAAGCCTGGGGAGGTTGGTTAGTAGACGAGTCGGGACCCTGCTGGGAGTAGCTCGGTCGATCGTCTTGCGGTCCGCGACCTCGGCCGCCGGGGGGGCCACCGCTACCGCTGCTCTTCTGTCGCTGCCCATGCATTAGTATTGACGTCTGTTGAAGGACTGTGCAAGGTGTCTGTCATCAACTTACCACTGCCTCTACTTTCTCGTCAATGGCTTGCTTAGCACGAGCGATACTATCACGGGTTCCAATGAGCGCAATCTCCCGCTGGACTTCGCCAGGGCCTGACGATTGAGCCACATTGATCTTGCAGCCAGTGCTGTTTTGCATCTCCCGAATGGTCTCGCCCCCTTTGCCGATGATCATACCTACTGCATCGGACGGGACGTAAATAGCATCGTTGATCTTGTCAGAACCGCCAGAAAATTCTCTCGGCGGTCCCTCGTTGCGAGCAGCGCTGGGGGGCTTCTTGGTGCCAGAGGCCGGACCATCGCCCCGGCTGTCGCTGTCCACAATCTCCATGATGAAATCCTTGGCCCGAGCGGCCGCCTCACGACTACCAATGAGATTGACGGGACGCAGACCGTTGACACTCTTAGATTCCCCGACAATGTTGATGTGGCAGCCAGATCGCTCTTGTAGATCCCTGATAGTCTCGCCTCCACGTCCGATGATGAGGCCGACTGTGCGATCCGGAACCATGATTTGCATATGGTCCTCGCCATCCCTCAAGGCCGCAGCTCCGCCCCGAGCAGGATCACGAGGCTTTTCTTGGGCGCGGTTAAGGGCTCCCATTCCACTATCCTCGATAATGCGATTGATGGCTGTCTTGACTTCGGCACGACGAGCACGTGGGCCAGTGATCTTGCACTGTCGGAAGGGACCACCATCGGTAGCCGCCAAAAATTGAACACGACAATTCGTGTCAGCTTCGATCCGTCGCAAATTCTCTCCTTGGCGGCCGATGATAAGGCCAACCAGACTGGACTCTATCTGAATCGTCTCGGAGTTGTCATCACCACCTCTCAGAGGAGATCTTTCTCGGCCGGCGGCGCCGCCACGAGGGGAAAAGGTGCGACCACGTGACGGGGGAGAGTAGGAGCGCTCGCGATATTCTCGACCCTGAGGAGGAGCCCCACGACGATCGTCCCGGTATGAGCTGCCATTATGATAGTCGCCGCCGCCGCGAGGAGGAGATCGTGATCTAGATCGGCGAAAGGACCTGTCAGAGGTTCTCGACTCTGAGCCATAGACGAGCGGGCGGTCGTAAGGCGTAATGCCCTTCTCGGTCGCATACGCTCTCGCCTTGGATATAACATCGTCAAAGTTCATCGTGCCCGAGTTGACGGGTCGAAGAGCGCTCAGGTCGACATTGCCGCTGGAGGCGGGAGCGGGCAGGGCAGAGCCGGGAGGAGCAAAGCCCACGACGCCTGGGGGCGGAGGTTGATACGACGCTGGCTGAGCGCTGCCAGGTGGTGCTGGGTATGCGCCAGCAGATGCGGGCGGCGTCTGGGTCGAGGCTGACGACGGTGGCCTTTGGGAAGCTGATGCGCGCGGTCAGTTTGGGGTCTGGGCTCCATCACAGGTTTATGGTGTCTCACCAAGCGCGGCCAAGATGCTCTGGATATCAGGATGCGCAGGCTCGGCCATGGCGACGGATTATTGCAGTATAGAGTGCAGTGTATGTATGTTCCAAGCCGGTAGAAAGCCGCTGCTAGAATACGGTACAGCGCGATTGACTGATGGGCAGAAAACGTCGGTAACCGGGGGTCAATGGCAGATTGAGAGCCAAAGCGAGCGAGCGAGAGTACAGTAACAGCAACAGTAGGTGGATTGATTTTGATTAACACAGCATAGGCAATGTTCACAGATTGGACACGCGCGCAATTTTAAAAACCCGGCGACCCAAATTGTAATCAACGTCGTATAGCCACTTGCGATCGGATTGGTATGGTATCTCGCTGGACACAATGCGACTTGCGAAAAGCAAGGTAGAAGATGGATTCAGGCACTATTAGTTGGATTTTTGCGAAGAAAGAGCGAGAGCGCAGCCTTTGTCGGACCAAGTATACAAAGCCGTCCAGGCGGTCGCAGCGCTAATCCCGAGGAGTCGCCTCACTCAAAGCCAGGTGAAGACAAAGGGCGCTTTGTCGCTGAGCCTGTGGATAGTGGTTGCCTTGAGGCTGGAAGATGGTGGAAGGACTGGCGATGGCCATGATATTGATGCAATTTTTCGTGTAGTTCAAGGCGACCGGATTAACGATGCGCCGGGGCAAGTTTGGGGTTGGACCGTCGAGCGTTAGAGCGTTAGAGCATTAGAGGCGGGACCCCAGTCGCCGTTCGCCGTTCTGGTACCTGAAAAGACTGGACTGGGTGACAAAAAAGGCCTCTCGAGTACGAGTAATGTTACAGCAATGCTCAACTACTGCTTTCGTCCTCGGCGCTCCGTTCGGAATACCACCCTGGCCTTAGCCGTAATTGACACGGCCTGGGGACTCGACGCTCGACTTGGCAGAAGCTAATCTCATGCTGCATTCGACAAGTTGCTGTACTGTAAGTGGCGAGCGTGAGGAGCGGGTACGAGTCCCTGCAGCTTGATCTAGGTGCCATCCAAGGTCCCTTACTCGTAAATCACACCAGGCCGATGCAAAGTGTAATTTCATTCTGCCAGACACTCGTTTGCTGAGGAAGCATGGATGACAATGACACCATGTGATTGATTGATGCTCAGGCCACGAGACGCGGCTATCGCGAAAGCTGCACTATTTGATTTGCACGCTGCTGGTCCGTTACCTAGTCCTGCCGAGCAGGCAAGGTTCGTCAGCAATCCATGGAGGTTCAGTTCAAGCTCAGCAACGGACAAGCAACAAGTCACATGCGTCGACAGGGGCACTTGATTGAGACAAGCTGCGGAATTGGCTGCCCGCGTACTCGTATGAATTGTCTCTGCCCGTATTTACTGCCCGTTCAGTGGTCGCCGGTACCCGGAAGGTCTTAGGTAGCGCGCTATTCACAAAGTATTCGTACGGTGACATGAGAAAAAATCCTTCCATTCGGGTCTCAAGTCTTTCCCGAACGCTATTGATTACGCGCGCCGCCGAGACTAAGCCGCACCCATTATGCTTTTTTTGGTCCGGTAGCCACGGAATCTTGCTCGTATAAGGTCAGCCAACGGTGGGCTGGATCGGGTTTTTGTGTGCTTTTTATTACGCGTGGCCGTCCTATTAAATACCTGAAGGGACCGTTGGTCAACTGACTCGTGAATTCTCGTCATATTTGTTGTATAGACGTCACACTCGTTCAATATGAGATCTCGCCCATGAAACGGATTGGCTTTTTCACTTGACTTTGCGACGAAGAAGAAAAAGAAGAAAGCATTGTTCGTTTTCAACGTGCCACCCATCGCACGTTTCATCATTTGATCCGCAAACGATCCCGGGGTACCCATCGACGGCTTCCGGCGCAGAGCAGACAACCGAGTAGCAAATATGTGTACACGCAACGTCATCGAATATCGCTGCAAGCATCAGGTCTCGAGAGGAAATACGCGTTGCTATCGCGACGATTGCCCCGGCAGGACAGACGACCTTTCCTACGACACCGAAGACTGCCCTCAGTGCGAAGGCCACAAGAGAGTCCAATCTGCGCGATGGTGTCCCATGGGCTGCTCGTGCAAATGCGTGGTCATGTAGGACCAGGTCGCTGAGCGGGGACAGAATAAATATCTGAAGCCTGTCGAGTTGTGCTTGTGCGACTGGAACAAAGCAGATTCAATCGGTGTACGATGCCGACTGAAGCTGTGAGCTTGTGTGTCGCTATATCGAGAAACAATGGCTTTGTTCACCAAGCCCGTCTTTGGACAGCAAAAGCAACAATATCGACAAAAAAAAAGGAGCGAAAAGAAACACTCAGAACGCAATATTGACATACTCACCGCGAGATATTGTTATTTACCTCTTTGAATATTTTTGCTATACCAGTCGGATCTTCGGCATGTTCGGTTTTGGTTTTGATCTGGAAATGGTCGCAGCTGCTATGTACCTGTAGGTGTGGTATAGATGATGATATGACGATAAAACGTGCTCATTTAGCTGCATGTGGAGGAGAAGAGGATGAAGAATGACGACGATATAAGAGCAAAGGAAGCACATAATTGGATACGAGATTTTTTTGATTTTTTTTTTATATCTCTAGGCATTACCTTAAATTATAAAAGTTGAGCGTCAATCTTATCTAGACCTACATCACACCCGTCTCTTCGGTAGTACGCTACTGCATTGTCTGCTCGTGCTTAGTAACCCAATGTGACGCGAAATCGATGCATCAAATCCCCCCAAATCCAGACTCGGACACTCGCAGTCCGCTCCCATTACCCCATTCACGACGACCATCGATGGACCTCTCGATTCCATCAAGACCAGGATTGCAGGCTGATCACTGCTGGCCCCCACCTGGGGAAAGCTTGCCGGCTAAAGCGCCGCCTAGCTGCTGACCAAACCAAACCAGACCAGACGCCTTTTAGCCACCTGCGCAGCGCCTCGCTACGAGATATTAGCTCCAAGCAGTAGCCTGGACTGCTCCACGGCCACTGAGCCACACGTGGAATGACACCCGCAAGCGCTAAAAGCCGCACTTCTGCAGGGCCTACAGGGGAGCTGCTGGCCAATCCCACCGCTCTCTGGCCGTCGTCTGCGAATCCCCAGCGTAGCATCCGCAACTTCTCCAGGTTCCCTCTCCGAGACATCGCCATTCGCTGCCAGACAAGTTCGCCAGTTTGTCGAGCTCTGTGATTCTGCTTCGCCATGGCCAAGAAGGCGCGTCAAAGAATCAGTTATGGTGAGACTCCCCGCCTGCATTCCCGCCATCTGTCCATTCCATTCCGTTTCTTTCCTTTCCTTTGCAGTTCGAAGTGCACACAGATGCTTGTTAATGAGCCCACCCCGCACGCGACCGACGGCCCAGATCAGACGAACCACAGCTCTCGTGCGAATGTCCGGGAGATGGACCATGCACAACAGCGCCGTTAACGAGACTCTGGTTTCCGACTGCTAACCGCCTCTTCCCAGTGCTCGAGAATGCCAAATCCTCGGCAGGCGGCCATCGCCTCGGCGTCAATGGCCTCGCCGTCGATGCGGACAACGCCATCCTGTAAGCCATGTTGCGTCTGCCAGTGTATCTGTGCTGTAGTCGAGCAGAACAGCTTCGCTAACATACGCCCTCTCTCTCCAGCTACTCTGGTGGCCGAGACGGTATGATTTGCGCCTGGGACCTGAACCTTGACCTACGGCACCGAAACGACATCATCGACGATGCATCCGCAAAACCAAAGCCGACCACGACGTTCCGAGCCCAGACACAGGCGCATATGCACTGGATCAACGACCTCGCTCTAGCACAGCACAACACCGCCTTGGTATCGGCATCTTCCGATCTCACTGTCAAAGTGTGGCGACCACACTCTCAGGAAGATAGCACCCGCGCCCAGAAGATTGGAGAGCACGACGACTACATCAAGTGCGTCGCAACGCCGCCAAGCGATATGAATGCCAACTGGGTTGCCTCAGCGGGCCTGGACCGCAAAATCTGCCTCTGGGATCTCAATGGCGGGGGCAAGACGCTCGAGGTCAACGTCAAGGGCGAGGAGACGACCGAGAAGGGATCTGTCTACGCTCTCGCCGTCGGTCGCAACCTCATTGCCAGCGGCGGCCCAGAGAAGACGGTCAAGCTCTACGATCCTCGTACTGGCTCCAAAGTCTCCAACCTCGTCGGTCATATAGACAATATTCGCGCCATCCTAATCGACGACGTCGGCGATACCATATTGAGCGCCAGTGCCGACAAGACTATCAAGATGTGGAGTGTCAAGGGCGGTCGTTGCATGTACACGTTTACAATGCATGACGAGAGCATCTGGTCTCTGTATTCGGATGACCCTCGCCTCGGCATCTTCTACAGCAGTGATAGGTCGGGTCTCGTCGCCAAGACCGACGTACGAGGTAGCCTAGAGGACATGGATGATGGATTAAGTCTCGCTGTTGCACAGGAGCATTTCGGTGTCTCCAAGGTTGTGGCTGCAGGCGGTCACATCTGGACAGCTACGAACCGATCGTCAATTAACCGCTGGGAAGACGTGGACACAGGCGCAAACCTGCCGCTTCCCGAAGAGTACCGCCGTCAGCGCGCAATGTCAGCTGCGTCCAACAAGACAAGACAATCAACGGCAACTACTCAGCCGCAAACGAATGGGTCGTCCAAGAAGGAAAAGGAGATACCCGCCGAGTCGATTCTGAGAATATCCAACACAGCCACCTTCCCGTCGCGCACGCCTCTGGACCCAGAACCAACCCCCGGTAATGACGGCTTATCAAGAAAGAATTCGGAAGTGGTCGTGGAACAACCCGAGCCGGAAATCAAGCCCATCCACACCCTGCCAGTAGAGACAATTGAAGGTCAATTCGGCCTTTTGAAGCACAAGCTACTCAATGATAGGAGGAGGGTCTTGACTTTGGATACGGCTGGCGATGTATTGCTGTGGGATTTGATCAAGGTATGCCTAACCACAACCCCTTCATTGCCGCTGTGCATTAAGGTGGCCCCATGCTTACAGCTATGCAGTGTAAACCTATCCAGAGTTTTGGAAAGCAACATCTCGAAGATGTCGAGAGGCAGGTTAATACGCGAGAAGCAGTGGCTCCCTGGTGCTCAGTTGATTTGAGCTCTGGCAATCTCACTGTCGTGTTGGAGCCCTTCAACTGCTTCGACGCCGAGGTGTACGCTGACGAACTCGAATTGGACGAGCCCATTGAATTCAGGGATGATCAAAGAGGTAAATGACAATGCCCTGTTCGTTCTCCAAATCTATGTTCAACTGGCTAACATGATGATCCAGTGAGCCTCGGCAAATGGATCCTACGGTACTTGTTTGCCAATCTTATTGACGAGGAAATCCGACGCGACGAGTCACATCGCTCAAAGCTGAACGAGGGCGTGGAGAAAAGACAGGCTGCCACCCGGGCAGAAGCGCCCACGTCAATCGTCATTCCCGGGCCTGGCATTGGAGCTATGTCAGATCAGCTCCTGACACCACGCGCGATTGCTCCTCATCTTCAAGTGACCACCCCTGGTCTGGCGATTGGGCTGGCGTCACCTGGTGTCCAAATGACGCTCCAAGGCGTGCCAGAGGAAGCAGTTGCGAGTCCTTTGGAAAGGGAAGCTTCTCGTCCATCAGCTGAGAACGACTACTTCACAGCTGGCATTGCGCCAGCTGGTGGCACCGCGGCTGCTCCTGCGGCGGCAGAGACATCAGAACCAAAAACGTCTACGGATAATAGCAACGAGAAATCCAAGGAAAAAGAAAAGGCTGCCGACAGTAAATCACCATTCAGCAGAAAATTCCGCATGTCATTCAGCTCCAAGAGAATCGGCCGGTCGGCATCTCAGGCAACACAAGAGAAGCCCGTCGTTGTAGACGACAAGGCCGACGAGTCTGAGTCTTCTTCCAATCACGAAAAGGAGGTTGATGACAGCTTCTTTGGCGTGATTCAGAAGATCCGAAACGAATATGACAAGCAAATTGCCGAGTCTCCCGATAAGTTCGTCGAGACACGAGTAACGCCGAGCTTGCCATCCGACACACCCGTTTTGAAACTTCCTCTCGGGACCAAGGTCATTATACAGGAGGAAACGTCGGGTGGCAGTGCAAACCTGTACCAAGGGACGGTGGAGAATCTCGGCAGAGATGCCGATATCATCGAGCAAAAAGCGCCCATGTGGCTCGGTGACGTGTTACTACAGAACCAGATCCCCCTGAAAGACCCCGTCAAGATATCCTTTGTCTTGCAACCCATGGGCAACCTGCCTCCCATTGCCACGGATGGTAACAGCCGTCTAAACGCAAACCGGATGCTGCGGGTGAAGAAGATTCTGGGCTATGTTTCCGAGAGGATTGAGCCAGAGCAAGAGGAGGACCCTAGCGCCCTCAAGCCCGAAGAGTATCTCGAACTGTATTGCAATGACCAGGTAAGTACACCCACAACCGTATTCTTATTATTTTGCTCCCAGGTTTCAAATGACTGACACCAAACGTCTGCTGCAGCTCCTTCATCCAACAATGAACCTGGCCACCCTCCGGACCCACGTCTGGAAAGGCGGAAGTGACATTATGCTCTATTACAAAGCCAACGGCCGCAAAGAGATCCTCCCATTGCCAACAATCTCTAGTACACAGTCCGCAGACGCGAGCGTACCACCAGTCCCACCACTGCCCACAGGAGAGGCGGCGACTGAGACTACCAACGGTGTATAAGTGTGAACGGCAACGCAATTGTTTGTTATACCTTGTTCTATGCTTTCTTTTATATATCAGATCCCTGACAGCGTCACGTTAAACATGATTTTTCTTCTTTCTCTCTCCTTGATCTATAATTTATGTCCGCGCCCGAAGATATATGGTTATCCTCTAAACAGTTGTCTGTGTCGTCTATTCTCATGTCGTTACTATACAAAATCATCATGGATGGAGGGGAAGGAGGATATACAGTATTGATACGCTGGTCTATTCATACAAAGAGCCCTCCTAATTCTTGTTCCTGTTTATACAGCCAAGTTGATACATATATATATCCCCGTCGCCATAGCGCCGATCTATATAGTCCCATTTTGATTCTTGTTTTCCCTTTTATGTTCCCACTCTCTCTAAAAACTCCGTGACGTTTTTTGGTTTATGAGCTTATGCTGTTCATGGTGTTGATGACCCATTGGTAGCTCCCCAGGAATATCGCACCGCCAATGGATATCCACGTCACCCGCGGCGCAATCCCAGCAAAGAAGGGCCGCACGCCCTCGTCCCTTACCATGCGCCGGAACACGTCGCCCACGGAAACCCGCTCCTTGGACAGCATGACCCTCGTCTTGAGCACGTCGAGCGGCGTCGTCGACGCCGCGGCCACGCCTCCCGCCAGGCTCCCGTACAGCGCGCTCTCCCCCGCCGAAACGTCCTTGCCGTCGCCGCGGCGCTTCCGGCCCCAGGCCTTCATGCCTTCCCACAGCGGGAACTGGATCACGGTGAAGGGCACCTCGCGGAAGACAGTGATGCCCCAGCCGCGGTACAGCTCGCGCCAGACCGCGGCCAGGCTGCCCCCGGGGGCGGAGTACCGGCTCAGGATGTGGCCCAGCGCCTGGGCGGAGGAGCCGCCGTGGTGGCCGGCCTGGGCGCGCTGCTTGACGACCTCTGTGGGCACGCGGACGGAGCAGGCGGCGATTTCGCCCAGGCTGGAGGCGAGCATGTGCGTGAGGACGTCTGCGGGCACCCACGTTCTTGAAATATCACCATTATCACCATTTCCACTACTGCTGTTGCTGCCGCGTATGCGCTGGCCGAAAAAGGCCTTTGCCGTCTCGTAGGTGCAGAAGAAAAAGGCCGCGCCGGGGGCGGACCCGACGAGGGCGGAGCCGATGCCGCGGTAGATGCCGGAGAAGCCGCCCGAGGGGAAGAAGCCGGCGGAGGACTGGAGGCGGGTCTTGAGGGTGTCGAGGGGGAAGAGGGAGAGGTCGACGGTTGTTCCTGCGAGGGCGCCGGCGAGGAGGGCGGATTGGAAGGATGGCGGTTGGGGAGCCATTGCGAGAGTTAATTAGATGTTTTTTATGGAACTAAGGAGTTAGAGAGGGAGAGGGAGAGGGAGAGAGGAAGGGCTGTGAAAGCCCAACCTTTTTGTCGGAGGGATTGGGAAGTTTTGGGGGGAAGTTTTAGTGATGCGTTTAATCGAAGCTCTTCTTTTTGGGGTGATGCCGATATAGGTGGGATTTGGGTGGTGTGGGTTATCGATAACCGCTGCAAGCCGGTCGGAAATGCGAGCACTTTAGGTGTGTTGCCGAGGGTGAGACTTTGCTTACATACCCTGAAGGAAGCAGAGTATTAGTATCAGGGCAATTGATAATTGCACAGGTGATGGAAATACATTATCGAGATTGCTGGTGTTGTTTATTTGTTCTAAGATTAAGCTTATTTACTTTCATGTGAGGCTAATTTGATGATGCAATTGCTGGAGATGTTGTGGTGGATGTTGGCTTTTCCCGAGGCAATGTGTATACGCATACAGGTACACAATCAATCTCATCTTATACATATGCCATTACACAGACAAGACAACATAACAGAAACGTCACAATTCCAATTTATGGCTTTTGTTCACATTTAACAATATTGAATAATAAAGGAACTCTCAGTCTTCACCCCCTCACATCGAATCTCTCATGCTCGTGCCCGCCTTGCTCGTCTCCTCAGCAGCCCTCTTGGTCCTCTCCTGCAACGCATCCATCTTCTCCGCCAAATTCTCCTTTGACGCCCGGTCCGCCCTGAGGGCCTCTTCGCTGTCGGATGCAAGCTCCGGCTTCCAGTGGCCTGAGCCCTTTTTCTGCTTGGCGAGGGAGTCTTTCTTGTGCAGGTCGTAGTCAACGCTGGTTTCTATAAAGTTCATCTGTTAGAACGGGCTATTGGCTCTTGGAAAATGCAATTATCTTCGTTGAAAGTGAGGATGAAAACGTACGATTTGATGATTCTTTCAGACCCAGTCTCTTAGTTGTAGAAAAGGCAAAGCCGCGGGTCGCAATAGCTCCGCGCGTCCGCAAGACGCTGGAGACGGGCATCATCTTGGTAGCACTAGCAAACATCATTGTGACTTGAATTGAGGCGATTAGACGTTTAAAATATCGTTTCAGGGAGGAATAGAGATAAAAAAAAAGAATGAAGGAGATGAACGAAATAAGAAAATCACGAGCCTTTTTAAATGGAAAGGGCTTTTCTAAACGTCATGTCACTCTCCACATTGCTGATACGCATCGAAACGTCACAGACACCGCACATCGCCAAGTCAGTCCAGCAAGCGAGGCTACAAGCACGGCGGCGTGTGACGTCACCATTGCAGCATGCTGTCAATCTCCCCCAATATAAGGAACAACACGATCCTCGGTAATTTCAGCACGATCGGGGACATCAAGATAAGCATAATTCCATAATTCCATTCTATACATTGAATTCGGGCACGAACCTCGCCGTTTTCATCGACGGATGAAGCATTTCAATTTCATCACGACACAACATAAATGCTGGCGAAACCTACCGTTATTACTCCGTGCACATCACTCCCAACATCAGGACATCCATCTCATCCAAAATACGCTCACATTCATCATCACAGTTTATCAAGAGGCATCGTCTGCATTTGTTTAAACATTCGTATATTCTTCGTCCTGTTGGCCTTTCAAGCCGCGGTATCTAAACCACACACACATGCGCCATAAAAATCCCGGACACACTGAAGTTTCCCATGAAATTGCAACACCAGGGCGTTCCAAAAAAAAAAGGGCCTGAGAACCCCGGGAACCCTACCCGCAAACCAGATCATTGTCATAGCTCCCCCTCCCATCCACTCCAAGATGCTTCGCAAGAAAATAATCAAACAAGATCAAACATATTTGTCTTTCCCAGACTAGAATATCCAGTAACACAGGGGCTCGCGTGTTGTCAGAGCAGCGAATAGAAGAACCAGACAGGACAGAATCCACGCGCCGCCTCCCTCAAGGAGGAGGGCCAAAAGTTGTTGTAGGCTGTAAAAAAACACACTCAAGACAAAAAAAGATCAAGCCGCTTTCCCCATTCGATTTGCACACAGCGGCGCCGCAGCAACTCCCCCAAGAAATCGACTCAGACCAACTCCCCATTATTTCCCGGTAATAAAAAAGATAATAAAAAAAACCGTTTCCAGTATGGTGATGCGCAAACAAGAACCGCTCATCTTTCCAGAACCCCGCCAGCCCAAGGTATTTCCCATATGTGACTAGACAAGAACAGCCGTGCCCCCCAACACTTTCATAAGATATCGCTTCTATATCTTTCTTTTTTTGTTGTCTTGATGACTTCGTAAACCCGTATAACCGCAACAAAGGGAGAAGGCATTTTATGGTTTTAAGCAGGAAGGACAATTCGCTTCCCAAGATGGTGAGACGCCGGATGATCGTAAAAAGAAACAAATCCCACAACTCCACTGTCGGTTACCGATGCAACACAATTATAGAGAACTGCAAGGAAATTTGCCGTGATACAAGGAGGAAAAATAAAAGGAAAAACGCCATACGTGCCCCAGCAGCCTTGATCGAACAAGGCGAAATGGCAAGAGAAAATTGACAAAGCAAAAAAACAAAAATGGTATCGATCTTTCTCAAGTCGCGCCGGTAATATCCTCGTAAGAAAATCCTGTCGAAACAAATCGGTGTATCGCGATTATAGGTGCTTATACATAGGAGTGGGTGGAGGTAGTGTGTAAGAGTGTTGTGAGGAAGGTGAGTTGTTTTTGGGTGTATAGAGATATAAAAGGGGAGTCAACAGCCTCGAGGAACCCAGCCCGCAAGAGAAGTGAGGGATGTCACTTTTGATTTTTTTTGTCGAGTTTCACTTGTACCCGCCAAGACCAGAAAAAAGAAGCTTGCTGCGAATGGCGCAGTGTCGATTTTTTTTCCATCCAACGATCACGGCAACCGACAGCGGTGCTTTGAGGTCGTCTCCATGGTTATCATGCCATGGCAGTCTCCCTCATGCGAGGGAGCGCAGACGACCCGCTAAGCACTCTACCATCGGCGAACGGATTGCTGCAGTCGGGCAGGCGATAGTGAAGGGGGCGGGCTGGGCACGGAGGTGCCAGTGGCAGGGTTGACAATGGGGATGGCATTGCGGGGACGAGCAGCCATCCGGAAGGCGACAGTCAAAGGCTGGACGCCGGGAGGAGGAATAAAGGGAGGAGACGAAGAGTTGAGAGAAAAGGCGGGGGCGACGGTCTGAGGCTGCTGGGTGGGAGAGGCCTCGGGAGAGTTGCTGGCCAGCGACGAGCGCTCAGAAGCAGAGATGGACACCAACTGTTGCAGCGGCGAGTCAGAGAGGCTGCGTGAAGGGGAAGAATCCACCGGACTCGGAGGACTACTCACGTCGCTTTCAGTCAGCAGGTTGGGGCAGAACTCCAGGTCGTCTTCGAGGTCAAAGGATCGGCCGGCCTCGAACCGGGTGCGGAACGCAGACAGGGCGGCCGTCTCGTTGAGCTCTCGCATGCTGCGCACGCCGCGGAACTGGCGTTGCGACTGCGAGACGTTGAGACGAGGGGTTCTGCGATTGCGGCTGTTGGTGTGGTGGTGGGAGACGGGGGCAGCATGCGCAGTATGCGCGTTGAATCCGTAGTATGAAGACATGATTGCGAATCTGTGAAGTAGCTAGGGATCCAGCGTAAGGGTTTTAGAGGAGCGACGTTTCGAGTGGTGCTGGTGGTTGAAGATTTGAGATTGTGTGCGTCAAAAGCGGTCGCGGAGGTGGTAGGGCAGGAAGAGGGTGCAGCAAGTCTTCTTGGCCTGAAAAGCGAGATTAAATTAGACAGATAGGACAACGAAGCAAGATAAACTCGGCGCTGTTGTCGTGGCGAAGCGATGTACTAAAGAAATCTAACTTTGTGGAGGAGAAAAAGTGTTGAAGAGATGTAGAAATCCGTTGGTGGTAATTTTTTACTTTTTTTGGTGTCGAAGGTGGTAAATGGATGGTAAGTTGGCGGTAGTCAGAATGGGATCGGGTTTGGGGGCGGGTGGTACAAAGAATAGAAAGGGTGGGAAGCAGAAAAGCAGGAGCAGGGCAGAACCTCTTGGGGGGCTGGCAGCGGCCTTTTTGTTTGGTTGAGGGACCTGGAGGGACGCGAGAGAGACTTGGGCACAGCCTGTCGAATAAGATTCCGGCGAGCCAGGATAGGCCGTCTTCGCCACCAGCTAGCGATTGGGCTGGCGTGCAGCAGCGCTACTGGTCCTGGCCGGGGCGCCGTACTGGGCCTAGGGCCGCTGGGGGGGTGCGTGGCTGCACAGAGGGTGTGCACTGTGTGGTTTTCCGGGCGGCGGCGGTTGTGCAGGTTGTGGTTGTTGTGCGTAATACCAGGTACGTACCAGGGGGGACATTTGTAAGAGTACTCGTAAGAGTGCAAGCTGGACAGTCACCTCAGTTCAGTCAGCCAATCTGCCGTGATGGCGCACTGTGGCACCGTGAGAGTGCCAACGCAACGCAGCGCAACGGCGAGGGTGCTGGTCCTGGCACCGCGTGGTGGTTCGATGGGGGCCTGGGGGGACCGTGCCAGGTCGGTGGCGACCGCACTGCAGCTTCGATTCCGCACTGTACGGCGCTGTGCTGTGTTGCTCTGCGCTTACTGTACCTATGTACTGTATTGACTGTACTCGTATCTACTATGTGCTCGTAGTGGAAACGATTGACTGGATCCATCATCTACAGTATTGAATTGAATGCTTGCAAGCGGCCTCTGCGCAGTGACAAATGAGTCTCATTCGCCACAAAGCTCGCCCGACTCCTGCTACAGATTCTCAGACCAGGTCTCACTCTCACCCAAGAAAGAGAGAGAGAGTGACAGAGAACCCCCCAGATTCTGTTGTCGTGCACGGACAGGCGGATGCAGTCGCTGCTCGTACATGTACCAGGTTGGTCTGGTATTCCGTACAGGTATTGCTGCACACCCACGCCCGCATTCACACAGAGTACGGAGTACAGGCACTGGCTACCTGGCAACTGAGACATGCCCGCAGACTGGACTGGATGCAGCTCTCAAACCCCAAACCGCGCGCATCCAAGACCCTACAGTAGGACATGCATACACGCTCCTACAGTGTCCGCGCCCGGCATTCACCATACTGTACGAGCACAGTGCGGCGCCGTACGAGTCCACGCTGGACCGGCTGGTTTTGCCATTGAGTCCGCCTCTGCCCCTGCATGGCTGGCCGACGACTGTGCAAGCATCCATGGATCTCTCATGTCCCAGCAACTCAGCGCCCCATCGCCAACTGGAGCCTCTCATCCACAGCGTGCCAGAATCAGCGCCACCAGCGTGGATGCTCTGCGCTGGCCGGTACCAGCAAATTGCGTGGCTGACTGCGTGGAGGACAAGTCACCTACTGCGTGTCCACGTCTTGCACTGTGGACTCACGGCTTCACCCCAAGAAATTAAAGGCAGAATATCCATTCATGGTCAGTGCCGCTGGGTAAGTTTTGCACTGTGCTTCTGGGAGCAACTAGACCCGTCCAGTCACATTGCGGTACCAAGATCCTTCTACCTAAGGTATCCAGAGCTTTGTGTACGAGTACAGTAAACTGGACCTTGACAATACACACTGTCCGAATACTGTACAAATCACAACATACGGGCGCTCGTACAGACACAGTACCAAGTGCGAAATAACGGATCGCTCTTCGTTGGGGCCCAGGATCTGCCGGCCGGACCTCAACTGGGCCCCCTCGTGGTTGCTGGCCCATTCCAGCTCGCCAACAAACGGCATCAATGATCACTTGACTGCGTCGTTTTCGCGGCTAGTGCGCCGTCGGTACGTGAGACTGCTAGTCCGCGATCTGCTGCTGACCAACTCGGTGCCAATCCTCCAAGCGATGCCGCCTCGCTTTTGGCACCTGGTGCCGAGCACAGTAAGTCGCCATCGCTGCGAGGATCAGGAACAGTAAGATTGAAGCTTCTGGCTTGGGCTCGCTGCTACGAGAGGACTAATAAAACTGCTTGCCAGCTTGTCAGCCGCGGACATGGAGCATCTCTCTTCATGGTGAAATTTCGCCATCATCTGCTCGGAAATTGGGGCAATTCCGGCTGTCTGTTCGTTTGGGTATTTTCTGGTCCGGCGCCTGGGGTGCTGTTGAGATGTCCACCTCGTGAATTGGATTGCCGCTCCGTGGCATCAACTTGCAATTACGAAGCAATCAAAGCGTATACAACAGACTGAGATCCATCACTCCAACTTCGATGTACGGCACGGCAAGGTTCGACTTGGTTAGGTTTCAATCTCGGGCCAGCAAGGCCCGCATCTGCATGGACGGCTGCTACCGACATGCTGGCTCCAGTGTCAGTCAGTCATGCCCTTCTTTACCTTGATTTCATGTTTATTTTTGTCTTTGTTTTCGCCGCGTGTGGTTTATTGACTTGCAATTCGATGTTTTTGCCGCACAAGCGCATGCGTGTGCCGAGACACTTGCGGGAGAGACAGTGTCAGAACCGCTCGACACCACCATGGTTCGTCCTTGGACATGGCACCAAAGACGGAATCGCCATGATGTGCGTCGCATTTCTGGCCTGTTTCGACACTCTGAAATTGCACACCCCAAAATCCGCATCGCTAGGGGACCGACTGAGAAACGCATTCCGTTTCTCGCCTTGTCATCTGCCTCCATACTTGGTACCTGCGCCAGCTACCTTCAGGGCTAGTGAAACCTAGGCAGCCCCTGGCAGGGAGAAGAGGAGCATTGGACCCCCCTTGGGTCTGTTTATTCACCCGCCGATGCACAATGGTACGGGCAGTTAAACATCACTCCAAGGCACTCTGATCGTAATCTGTGTCTGCCTGTGCCATGGAATCCATATTCGCCACATTGGCCGATTGACTTTCCCCTCAGGGATCATCACAGGTACCATCTCGCGGATACAGGTACGAAGCCATGAGCTCTTTTGCGCCAGATGTGGACGATAAGGAGGACACTTTCCAACGGCCCGGCCGCGCACCGGCTCCAAACTCTAGAGAAGCCTTCAGGTCATTTCACGCCCATGTTGTGTGACTGCGAGCAAGCCATCAAATCCACTCACACTTGCAGACCCCAAACCTCTCACCACTAATCCACTCTGGGGGGAAAGGTGGCGGCTCTAGTAAGCTGGGTGCTGGGTTCTTCGCACATCTTGATCCGCACTGTGGCGTGGTGGTTGGGTGGTCGAGGTGGAATGACGATGCTAAAAAGGATGCAGACACAAGCGCCACGAGCAGCAGCAAGGTTTTTTGCTCTATCAAATGACAGGTCGAACCAACGCCACTGTCGGCAGCCAGCCCGGGTTGCTGCTCACTGGCGGCACAGCATTGAATCCAATCTGATGATGGGAATCCTTTCCCGGCGTTGCTTGCAGATCCCACCAAGGGATTGCTCCTCCAAAGCTTGCCAACTTGCTTTCCGTAGTTGTCTAGCAATCATGTCTTATACAGATCAACCGGGTTCCGACGAAAAGTACTCCGTATGGATATGGTGATGGATATGGGTACCGATCATGAATGCAAATCCGCCTGCACTTACACGCAGATAGAAATTAGGAGGCAACTTTCCAAGAATGATCGGCTCATGGCTGCCCCCCAAGAACAATCTAATTTCAGGTTTCACAGCTGCATTGGATCGAGCCGGGCTTCGACCTGTTACACCGCGGCATCGATCTGCAGAGAGCTGCTTCGCCTCCCCCATGGCTGGCTTGGTTCGACTCCAATGCAACGAGGCTTGGTTCGACTCCAATGCAACGAGGCTTGGTTCTGGCCAATCTGATCTACATACTCCAGATGGAGGGGATCTAAGTGGCCGCTGGCGGTTGGAGCCGTGCGTGTAGCAGTAGCATTCGCAGTGCCCGAGAGCTATTCTTGAAGTCTTGCTGCCACATCATGCCATGTGTTTGACCATGCCTCCAAGGGGATGCCGTCATCACTGTTACCCTATCGCCTGTCGGTGGTCTGCTTCAGTAACAACTCGCAGTAGCGCCATAGCCGCTGGTCATGATGCCCATCTGCAGTCCTCCTTGCTGTAGGACCTATTAAAAGCTAGTACTATGCGGCATACTGCACGATTCTCACGGTTGAGCCGGTAGCGTTGCGTCTCGTTGCAGAAGCAAGCTATTACTGTACTACTACGCCGGTTGAGACTTCGAATAGAACACTGCCATGTTGAGAGCGCTAAAGGAAGCGTCATGCAGCCACAAGCGCCGACGTTTGTACAAGACGGCCACTTCCTAGTGTTGCCAGTACAGCAGTTAAACGCCGGGTCGGCTCCGACGTGACCCTGGGATGAAGAAAGAAGATGGATGGGTGGTCTGGCTCCTGGTTCGAGTAACAGCCATAATGTGTGGCACGGAAGCGCACTGGTGCCGGCACAAGCTACAAGCTGGTTGCTCGCGCTCGCGCTCAGGCTCGCCGCTCAACTCTTTTCGATCCTGGCATCCCTCATCTCATCTCCCTGCAGACAGGCTACGCAAAGCGCACAGCATGTCTCGGAGCATTGCCGGATACAGGCTCAGGTCTGCACGGACGTGTAGTTACAGTACAAGCAGCAAACCATTTCGAGGGCCATCTCGAGAACCCCAGATCGCCCGCTGTGTCCGGCTCGGTTCGCCGCTCCATCTTGCGGCTGCTGCTTGCGCCCGGCACCTTTGGGCTCTCCAGGCCCGTTGGACTGTCGGCATCTGCACCCCATACTTGAACTTCGGATTCCGTACTCGGGCCACTGCGCTTTGATATTGATGTTGAGCGGCTTTGGTTGTGCCTGTACCTTGTGCCTGTACCTAACAGCGAGTAGTCCTCGTACTGTACGATCGATCGTCAGCTTATTGGCTCTTTTCCGGATGCACTCCGTAAAGGATGAAGAACGCCCCGTTCCTTTGCTCTTCTCTGTCGTTTTCTTTTGGCCTTCTGCAAGGGTTCGATCCCGGAGAGCGTCAGTCTGCCTGCACTCCGCGGGGTCTGCAAGTCCTACGAAGTTAGTACATGGAATATCTGTTCGCCAACCGCCCAGACTTGGAGTACTCACCAAGTACCCAAAGCAGCATCTTCAGGTCCCCCTGTCTCTACCTTAGCTATGCCCTGGCGATACCCTGGACGAACCCCATCAAAGAGCGGTGTGGCGGCAGGCCATCAATGTGATTACCTGCTTTCATTGGCCAGACCCTTGTCCATGGATATCGTGGCCTGATTCCTGTTGGCTGTCCCGAGTCTGTGAGGTGGAGAAGCAAGACATGGCTTTGTGGAGTCGTCGCCCGCATGTGGAGAGACGAGCCTTTGACGCTCTCCGGAGGTGACTTGTGGTCTGGAAGAGAGGTACTTTGGGTTTGGCCAGCGTCTGGAGGTCAGGTACATGCCTCCTGGAGCTGGTGCTGGTTCTTGATGCTGGCTATCAGGGTTGCTCGGCCACCACTGGGCGGAGCGAACGGTAACGCAGCCACTCTTCCACTCTTTCAGCCCAGCCACACGGTGCGAAGCCATCTTGGCCCCAGAGTGGCTTCGTGGCGCCGGGTCTTCCGCCCTCCCCTACTGCGAGTCTTCCGGCTTGTTGAGAGACAAGCAGCGCATTCTTTGTGAGCTGCTCGTTTGGGCGGCCACACGGACATGCCGACCGATAAGGTGCTGCGGTGCCAATAGTAGCATATGCAGACTCCCGAGCTGCAGCCAGACAGTTCTGGAACTTGTATCCCACGTCTCCGATCTTATCCATCTCTCCACTTTCAGGCCGGAGATGCTAATTAATTCAGGCTTTTTCTCGGATTCCCCTTCTTTTCCTTCTCTGCCCTTACATGGAAGCACGCAGGGGGTTCGTGGGATGACGTAGAGCGCAGGAGAGGACGTGCTTTGTTGTTGCAGAGACTCAACAACGGCCTGCCGCTAGGTGGTTCGACCGATGGCTTCATCATAGCGCATCGCCTAGTCTTTTCGGCCGATTGAGGCTGAGTTGGTTTTACGAGGGTGAAACTGGAGACATTAACAAACAGCCCCTGAGGTGGCTTCGAGTTATTTTTGGTGAATAGTTGTTGAACCTGTCCGGAGAGCCGCAACGTGGTCTGAAGCAACCGGCAGCACCACAACAACCCCATGATGCTCCGTAGAGGCAAATGCCAACTCGCCACAACTATTGCAACTGCCCAGACCTGGTGATAGCTGCCACAAGGTTGAACCTGCAGTGGACGACCCAATCCCAATATGCCTTGCCCTCGGCTTAGAGACGGTTGCCATGTCTTCGTATGAAGGAAACGCTTGTATCCTCGGCAACTTGGCGGGGTGACCCTCGGAGGCGGATTATCCCAACCGACAAATCCAACCTCCGGCCAGTTGTTGACCGATATCGTCCGTCTCGGCGCTTTTGCTCATACAGTTGCGCTGCCAGGCGCAGTCAGAGATTCCCCCCTCCCTCAGTCCGTTTGTGCGATTCGCATTCCGAGAATTGAAAATCGCAAATCATGGTTCCGTACGGACTCCGGCTCCGCTCGGACCAGCTCACAAGGAGGGGCTCTGCTGTCGTGGCGGCGGCGGCATGTCTGTCGCTCTACATGCTCATCAGGCCATCGCTGTCGCCTCGGACAAAGTCGCCCAAGACAGACATTGCGCGCGTCAAGGACCGTTCGGGGACCGATCCGGAGGACCCCGAGAAGGCGGCGCCGTACCCTCCGGAGCTGTTCCCGGGCGGCAAGGACGTCCAGACGGTATATGGCACCGTCAGGGTGTTTGAGTGGGGGCCTGAGGAGGGCGAAAAGGTGCTTCTGGTGCATGGCATCGGCACGCCGTGCATTGCCATGGGCGGAATTGCCTGGGAGTTTGTGCGGAAGGGGTACAGGGTCATGGTCTTTGGTAAGTCTATCTCTGTCCTCTGTTGTATCTTTGCGTATATATATCTATATATATCTTCATGAGAGGGGCGACATGAACGGGACTGCTACTTACACGGCGTCGCATGTAGACTTGTTTGGGAGAGGCTACTCCGATGGCCCTTCCAATGCGCCGTACGATGAGTGTCTCTATACCACTCAGATTCTTCTCGTCTTGGCATCTTCGTCTCTGTCCTGGACCGGCGCCTCTTCCTTCCACCTCCTGGGCTACTCGCTGGGGGGTGCTCTGGCAGCAGCCTTTGCGGCGTATCACTCGCACATGCTGCGCTCCCTCACCGTAGTCTGCCCAGGAGGCCTCGTGCGCGAGTCCCACCTCAGCTGGAAGAGCCGCCTCCTGTACTCCCACGGCGTGCTGCCCGAGTGGCTGCTTCGGAGCTGGGTGCGGGCACGCATCGCGCCGCAGCACGGGCAGAGCGCAGACATTCCTGATGGCGACGAAGCGGCAGAGGTCAACTTTGACGATGTGTCCATGGCTGTTGGGAGGAACAGTTTCGTCAGAGTTGGGGACGTCGTGGGCTGGCAGCTGGATGCTAACCCGGCCTTTGTCGACTCGTACATGAGTACGATTCGGTATGCGCCTATATATGGGCAGCATGATAAGATGTGGGCTATCTTGGGGGAGAGGCTCGCTGCTAATCGGGAGCTTGGCCAGGGGCTGCAGAGGGTGTGCGTCATCTTGGGGGATAAAGACACGTTGATTATCAAGGACGAGTGGATTGAAGACACCAAGGCGGTTTTGGGAGAAGAGGGCGTAGAGGTTTGGGTGATTTCTGGGGGCCACGAAATCGCCATTTCAAAGGGCAAAGAGGTAGCTGATGTTGCCATGTCGTCGTGGAAGAGCAGTCGACATGGTAATAGCAAATCATCTAAGAGCAGCAGCAGCGGCAGCGGTAGCGGAACTCGATCCAAGAAGATTAGACATAGAAATTAGAGCTCGGATGGAGAAGCTTATAGAAGATAGAGTTCGAATGGAGAAGGTTAGAAGACCGGCGCTGTTTTATTTATATGCGTCTGAGTATATATATATAGTCTTGATGCATCGATTTCCTCGAGAATATCCCCCACCAAAATCCATGCCATGACTGGGTCCCGTGTACTCCAGAACAAAGAAATACAAGAATAGAAAGAATAACGCTATTTTGGGAAATTCAGACAAAGAAAACTGTTTCAAGTGTTCCAAAAAGACACCCTTCCAAGACGCCATGTACCCAATGCTTTCATCCCTCATTTCCAAATAATATCATGTGTATGGTAAAAACGTGCTTGGCAACCACAAACGTTTCTGGAACGGAGCTCAACGGCGGTTAATTCTACTGATTGTTTTTGTGAAGTTGGCCAAGGACAACCAGTCGGATAGTTCGAAAGTAAGCCCCAAAGTCAGAAACCACCCCTATCTTAGGTTATTTGCATTCGGATTCTCAGTTAGTATGTTCTTCGGCCGACCTTTCGGTCGGTTCTTCGGTCGGCTCTTGCGACGTGCCTACTTGTCGAGATTTCGTGCCTTGACGAACCGGTTGATTTGTTCCCTCGTGAGCTTATCATTGTACTGTTCATAGCACTCATAGAAGGATATTATCTCCTGGGTCGCGTCTACCATGGCAGCAATGTCGACATCGCTCTCTGCCAACCACGCCGCGAAATGCTGGACACGGGTGATCCTAGCTTCTTGAACCCTCTCTTTAACCTCTGGTGTCGAAGGGATTTCGGAGAGAATCCCGCCCTGGCCTGATCGAGCGGTGTGTGCTTGGCTGAGAGCGGCTTGTGCAGCTGCCAGACCGGCGGCTGCGGCAGATCCTGAGGCACTCTGTCCCGGAACCGTGGAGTTTGGACGCAGAACGAGGGCCAAGAGGATTGCTACCAATGCGACAATGTGTGGCGAGCAGAGAAATGGTAGGTCCGTCATGTAATGATCGTTGATGATCGACTTGGCGAGCTGCACGTCTTCATCGACCAGGGATAGCTCGCCGCGTAGAGCCAGCAGACTTCGGTAGGGTTGATGTACAATGAGCTGAGAGCTCATCTCGCTAATAAGGTAGAATTCGCACTCTCCAATCTTGGACGTGTCCAGCCCGATGAAGTCCTGCCAGAGCTGCCTGGCCTCGGTCACAATCAGGCGGATGTGCTGCGGCGCTTCTTCCATCTTGCAGGCCAGGTATATCGCAGTGGTAATGACGAGATACGGGTTCGTTCGACGGATTTCGACTCGCGTGTAGAAGCGCTTCAGGTAGACCTGCGCCGTGGCCATGGCCTGCTGGCGGATGGTGAGACGCTTCCCCAATCTCAACAGCTCTAGTAGACGGACGGATTAGTTGAGCGGAACACAGGACACCGATGCTGCGACGCGCAACTACTCACGTTGATTGAAGTAGATGGCCATGTGCCGCGGCTGTGGGAGAGGGAACATGCGGACGAGCTCGGCATTTTCGTCCTCCAGCTTCTGGCGCATCGAGGCGAGCTCGTCCTTTGTGAAGAGCCAATGCCGCCGCTGCGTCGACTCCCAGTAGTTGGCGGACATGGCTGCGGAGACGGGGCCGCGAAGGGCACCTCTCCGTCTGAAGGGGCACTGGGAAGCACTGAAAAACACAGGGTATACCGAAAATGAATATTCCAAATGATGATTGTAGGTTTAATGTGTGTGTGTCGCAATAGTAATCCCGTAATCCTGTATGGATGAGATCGTGACCAACCGCGAGTTAATCTTGGGGTCCGACAAGGCTGCGGGGCGATAAGCGATCTCGAGCCTTATCGGCCCCCCTAATTGCACAGCGCTGTGCTTCCCCCCTAGCAGCGCCTTGCAGCGCCTAGAAATTATTACGTAGTGGCAGTCCCCTCCCCATATCGCAAGCAATTCTCCCCAAGATCCGCGGCCTCGATTCCTGCTGCTCCCGAGCTACGACGTCAGTAGCTGTCAAAGGCCCGCAATCGCTCCCAATTGGCCATCGCCTGCCAGACCGCAAGCTTCCAGATCTCTACGATGAGTTTGAGATAGCACCCAAACGAAAGACAAGACGACGCGCCCGCCTGAACCCACCGCGGGCATCGCAATTGCCGCCTCGACGTCGCCTTCGCATTCGAGACATGCCACAGCCATGACAGCCAGGCCAGCTACCGAGGTGGAGAAGGGGCTTCGTGAGCCGCAAAATCAGAACCAGAACCCAAACCATGATCGCGTTGAAGCTCTCTGGGCACAGCTGGGGCCCTGTGCCAATGGAGAGTTGGACCTGAAGGGCCTGCAGAAGGGCTTTCGGAAGATAGACCATCGTGAGGATTTTCCCTCTTTTCTCTTTCTTTTCCCTTTGTTTCGCAGCGTTTGCGCATCCCGCCCCGCATTTTTTGTCTAGGTGTTGACGGTTTTTTTTTTACCTCTTACGAACAGCGCTCAAGAATGCGGATGCCATGTTGAAGAGGATCATGGAGGAGGTTGACACCAACGGCGATGGAAAGATTCAATATGAAGGTGCGTTGTCTATTGTTCTGGCGCAAGGCGTGGGCTTGTGTTCTGCTCAACGCAAAGCCGCTGCCGCTTGGAGGCGCTACAAACACAAGCTACCTACGGCTACTAACGGGATTTTTTTTTGCGTGGTTTCGCAGAGTTTCGAGTTTTTGTGCAAAAGGCGGAGAGCCAACTCTACGACTTGTTCAGATCCATCGATCGCGACGGCAACGGCAAGCTGGACAAGACAGAGCTCCAGGCAGCGTTTAAGGCTGCGGGGTTGACTGTATCAAACCGCAGGCTGCACGACTTCTTCAGCGACATGGACTTGAACAACGACGGATACGTCAGTTTTGACGAATGGCGGTAAGTGAGACAAAAACGAAAGAAATATTCCCTTGATTTGCTATGGGCATAGATTGGGGGCTGGTTGATCGATCTGGGGCGGATCGCTGTCAGGCGCGCACTCCCAAGGGGTCATGTGCCGCGGTCTTGAGTTGGACAAATGAGCACGCTCACTCAACACCACAAGACTGATTTCCCCTGAAACCACCAAACATGCGCCCCTGGCTTGCCCTGATGATTTATATGCCTCACGGAGAAATGCTCCGAATGGGTTGTGACATGGAAACCGTTCACCAGCTGACCGAACAAACGTCAGGAACTTCTTGCTTTTCATGCCTGGGAACCAGGATGCGTCCCATTTGCAGGCCGTGTTGTCCTTTTATTACTCGGTGGTTAATGTCACGCCGGAGGGAGACTCCCTTGTGAGTGGGGAAACACTGGAAGGCTTAGGTAGGGCCGGCTCTAGCTCTTTTCTTAATATTCTCTTTGGCTCTCTCCTACGAGTTGCCTTTCCCTCCTATCCGAGGGCGCCCCCAGAGCTTCCATCACCTCCTCCGCCATCTCCTGCGCAAGCTGCTGGGACAGTCGAGCCGGAGGTCCAAGTGCCGTTACAACATGCAAGAGGAAGTTTTGTGGACGCGACGGCGCATGCGTCTGCTATCGGGATTTCAGAAGTCGAGCAAAGCCCGTCAGGGGCAGGTGCTACTCCACAGATCGACGGCGATGGCACCTCAATCGAGCACCGTGAAGAGTCCTCTACCGGAGCTGCACCGACCAAGAAGAAGTTTAGACTGACAGACTTTGCTCCCCATCCAGGTTACTTCCTTGCGGGTGCCATCGCCGGTGGAGTGTCGCGGACGGCCACGGCCCCTCTCGACCGATTGAAGGTCTACTTGCTCGTCAACACCAACAGCGGTGCCGAGACGGCGGTAACAGCGCTGAAGCAAGGCCGTATCGTTGATGCGCTTAGAAATGCGGCGAGGCCCTTTAGCGATGCTGTGAAGGACTTGTATCGATCGGGCGGACTGCGCAGCTTTTTTGCTGGTAAGCTTATATATCCTTCTAGTCCTAACGCCGGCGTGTCTTTTGATATTATCTGGGCTAACGTTGACATTTACCTGAAAAGGCAACGGGTTGAATGTTGTGAAAATCATGCCAGAGACGGCCATCAAGTTCGGATCGTACGAAGCGACCAAGCGTGCCCTGGCTAATTTCGAGGGCCATGGGGATGCCAAGAACATAAATTCGTACTCAAAATTTGTTGCTGGCGGTCTGGCCGGAATGGTTGCCCAGTAAGTGGTCACTGATGGCTCCTACGTTGTTCTGCGGAGACGTGACTTTCTTTCAATTCTTCCTTCTCCCTTATCATTTTTCTGACGGCTTGTGAAAATGCAGATTCTGCGTCTATCCCCTCGATACACTCAAATTTCGACTTCAGTGCGAGACGGTCAAGGACGGCCTTAAGGGGCGTGCCCTCGTTCGCCAGACGGCCATGAAAATGTACGCTGATGGCGGCCTCCGAGCCTGCTACCGAGGTGTCACCATGGGATTGATTGGCATGTTCCCATACAGTGCCATCGACATGGGCATGTTTGAATTCCTCAAGAATACTTACCGCATCCGTTACGCAAAATATGCAGGATGCCACGAAGATGACGCCGAGCCTGGCAACATCGCGACAGGCATCATCGGCGCAACATCCGGAGCCTTTGGAGCGTCGGTTGTCTACCCGTTGAACGTGGTCCGGACACGATTACAAACGCAAGGCACCGTGATGCACCCTCAAACCTACACAGGAATCTGGGACGTCACACAGAAGACGATCCAGCACGAAGGAGTTCGAGGTCTCTACAAGGGCCTGACGCCAAATCTTCTCAAAGTTGCCCCTGCGTTGAGCATAACGTGGGTGGTGTACGAAAACGCAAAACGCATTCTCGCATTGCACTGATTGAATTTATGTTTTCATCAATCATTGGCTCAACGAACAAGTTTAGAAAGGATATGATGATACCATACGCGCATCGATTTATTGCATTAGCATTGTCAATCTCATTTGTCGGACATATTGGTTGGTAGCGAGCTTCATTCGCATTTGGACGGCCTTTTATTGGTGTCTGTTTAGCTCGAGATGAGGCCAGGATTTGCTGGCGAGTGGTTACGGAAGGGTAGTGGGCTGGCTTTTGATCGGCAGCCACGTGCTTGATTTGAGTGCTTCGATGTGGTGAGTTGCAAACGAGAAACCACCATTCCATATTTTTGAAAGTCTGAGGCGGGGGAGGGGAAGAAATTTAGAAACGAAGGATAGAAGAGAGAGTTGGTTGGAAACCGACTCTTTCCACTCGAGAAGCTTCACGAAGGGACGCTAACGCATAGGAAGGAATGTACGAAATTTAGCTACCATGTTATAGATTCTGTAAGAGACTTGGTTCTCAATGAACCATTGCATTGAACGGAACTAGGAGCCGTAAAAAGAGAGGGAGTTGCCAATTTGTGAAGTCTTACGTCGGGATCGGTACCCGGAAAAGTGGAGACGAGGAGCTCCGTGACCGGTGGGCAAGGGCCGGGGCAATTTCTGGAGCCGGCGTCTTGGCCGAGCGTCTTTATTGCTTGATTTGCCCAGCGCCTTTTTTGCTCAGCTGGCCGACGCCATGACCAGGCAGCAGGGGGATTGGGCAATCGGGAAGCTAAAAAGCTGTGTGGAAGGGGGCAGCAGCCATCATGACATGGAGGAGGAGGAAGAGTGGCGGGAAAGAGAAAGTGATGGACGTTGGGGGGAGTTGTTGTCATTGATTCATCAGAGATGCGCCGAATGACGAGCGCGCTTTGTCTCCGGGTTACGTTGCTCGCTTACGCAGCCTCGTGGGAGTTGGAGATTTTATCGGACGGGGTACAGTAGCAAGCAAACTTGCATAAAGGCAAAAGAAGCAAAAAGCAAGTAAAAACGAATCACAGCACGTGCGTGGCCCCCGGCCCGTAGCGAGGAGCTTACACGTATGGCGTCGCCGTACCCGTAAGAGGAGAAGAGAAGAAAAACAAAAGAGCTCCAGCGCCCGGAACTAATTCGCTGGAGGCTGCTGCTGATTGGGGGTTGGCTTTGTTCCTTTCTTGCTTGATTTGGAGTTAGCTTGGGGTTAGGTGGTGGACGGGTTGGGGGGACTTTTGCAAATGGCATTAGCGGGATTGTTGGCATGGCGTGCGCCTTTTGCAAGTTGGAATATTTTGTGAATTTTCATCTTCTTTTTCTGTATGTTTGTCTATTCTTGTTGCCCTTTGTTTGATTCTGAATTGAGAGGAAGATTTTTTCATCAATTGAGTTATTGGGATGACTGTTCAGTCATGGGTTTTAGAGGGGAGGTTGGTTGTTTGGTTGTGTGAGTAATACAAAGTAGCGGCTCTTCTTTTATCGCAACCTCAGCGGGTCCGAAGAGTCAATGGATTAGCGGATCGGAAGGAGCAGATGGAGGTGTGGAGAGGCGGAGAGGAGAACAGAGCCTGGAAAGAAGGCATTTGGACATGGATAGTACCTTGAACGGACGCAAGAACTGGCTGCTCACACGAGGTGGCCGCATGTAGCAGCCAGGTAGCGACGGGGTAAAGTTGAGCGCGCTTACAGGCCATGTGCTTGGTGAACTGACTGCTATCAGCGAGCGAGTGTACATATTGGCATGTATAGCACAATTACTAGGGAGCTTATCCGGCTCTTCAACACCACCTTCGCTTCCTCTCGCGGCCTCTCCCTCTTTTCCCTTCTCTTCCTCTGCCTTTCCCCCATCTGGCTGTTCGCTTCTGCTAAATAGAGGCCTTTTGGCAGAGGATACGAGCAGCTTGCCGGACTCCCAACGCGCGTCTTGTCTTAAATTCAATCGCAATTTCCCAATCGCCAAAAAGCAAAAGGGCTGCAACTCCACTGCCGGCGGCTTGTTGGTGCAACCCACTCTGCATCTGTCGCCTCATCTAAAGGCTTCTAAAGGCTAGACACAGGCAGGCCTTCGTCAGCTCGCCGTGACTCTTGTTCCCGCTGGCTGCATCTTCTGCTCGGTTCCTGACGGGTCTGACGACATGCCGGCCCCGTACTCCGATAACCTTTACTCGGGCGATGATAATCCCTGGAATGACGACCAGAACGATGCGGATGCGGATGCGCTGTCGCCCGCTGACGGCTACTTCCACGCGTCGTCTTCCGGTCTAGAAGAGGCCGCAACGTCATCGCCATCCCCTCCCGTTCGGCAGCAGCGCCAATCAGCAAACGTGCCTTTTGTGCCCAATGTCATGGTGGAGGACCCGACTCTGAACGAGGATCGAGCTGCTGCAAAGGCCAAGGAGGCTGAGGAGGAGAGGCTGATAAATAGTGCCTCTGCTGGCCGGTCAACCCCTTTGACTGATAGCCAGCCTCATCACCAGCCCGTGCCGTTTTCTCAGGGCCAAGCTGGCTTCTACAGCCCTTCCCATCCTTCTCAATCCTCCCCTGTTGCGCCGTATCCCCGGCTTGATACCCATTATCAGTCGACGCCGGCTTCAGCGTCGTCGTCATCCCCCTCCTCTTCTGGCCATCATCACAGACGTAGCATTGACGAAGAGATATCGTCCTTTCAGCCTACAAGTCCTGCAAGCCAGACACCCAGACAGTATACGGTTCGTCGGCCATCTGACGCACCTCCCGCATACTCCCCTTCCGCTTCTTCGCCGTTGTCCTCCGGTTATCAGACCTTTGCCCCCCCACAAGCCGGTGCCGAAACTATGGGTGTGCCTGAGGAGAACCAGACCTTACTCCCACGTCAGCCCGAGTCTATGGGCGGAGCATCAAACGGAGCTCGAGAGCCACTGTGGCGAAGGATTAGGAACTCGACCAACTCTTCTACTACGAGGAAAAGGATTCGAACCATCCTTGGTGTCCTCGTCATCATTTCTATTATAGTTGCCCTCTTCGGCAGCACCATAAACATTAGTAGCCCCAAGGTGAGTAAAGCTCAGCTCGTGCCATTTCTTTCCTCATGGGAGTAATGAATCTATACAAAAGTGCTGCAATCCTTGTATTACTGTGATCACCTAACAAGACAATTTAGAAGCCTGGCATCATTGACGAGTCACCTGTAAAAGCCCCTCCGACCAACAACCCTCCCCCAATGTCGTGGCCTCCTAGGAATAGCAGAAACTGCTTGGGTGAGCCGCACAAGTCGGCGAAGATAAACGAGGTCATCAGCTTTGGCAACAACAAGAAGCTAAGCATCGTTCAGACGCTTGAGAAGGACAATGGAAACCACCGAGGAGTCACACCAAATGTATACGGCGAAGTCATCTTGCAGCCTGTCGATCCCTCGTCTACCGGCGACATTCAGCTTGAAATCACGACCAACTACCAGGGCCTTCACGTCGATGTTGAGTTTAACAAGCGGGACCAACGATTTGAAGTCGTTATCCCCCGCTGGGTCACCTGGAGTAGCCCCAGCTCCTGGCAGCCATGCATTCAAGTTCGAATTACAGTGTCCATTCCCCGTGAAGCAGCGCTCGAGTCGATCCTCGTCGATGCTATTCACCTGGATGTCGCTGTCAGAGATGGTCTTGTTCTGAGCTCTGCTACTGATGCCCAGATCAAAACCGTCGCAGGAGATGTTACTACGGGTCGTGTGTCGGGGGATGTGGCGCCGTACACTCTCGCCTCACGAAGTATCATCGTCGAGACTGTCAGTGGCGATGTTACCGGCTGGTTCCCTCTATACGACCTTCTCAAGGTTCACACGGTTTCCGGCGATATCAAGACTGACATCACCCCGAAGCCCTCGTCTGACAAGAAGCCTGAACAGGCTGTGCTCAACATCGACTCTGTATCCGGACATATCAAGTTGACTGAACCCTTGGGCTACGACAGTGATAAAAATCGCGAGGAAAGGTTCCCACCGCGAGACTACGCCGTCAGCGTGTCGTCCGCCTCTGGTGAGATTAAAGCCGACTTGGCTTTTACCTCAACGGCTAAATTCGAGACGGTGTCTGGCGACCAAAAGATCAGGCTACAACCAATCTTTGGCTCTAGCTCTTCACCACCCTCCATTTCGACCGACACAAAGAGTGGACAGACTGCATTGACAGTCTTTGAGCCGCTGTGGAAACACTCTGCCGCTAGCATTGGCGGCCACTCCGATCCACTGGAGCCTCCTGCCCGCGATGATGATGAACCGAAGAACGACGAGCCTTGGATCATCATTCACCCTGACGAGCGGCTAACCAAGCTTCCCCCGCCACCGTACATGGATGTTAAGCCGAGCATGGCTGCTGCTGCCAACGGTGGAGGTGATGAGCAACCGCACGGACTAACCGACCTCAAGTCTCACCATGCTTCCGTCAGTGGAGACTTTAAACTCAACTATCCCGCTTCGTGGGAGGGGAAGTTTTCCATGACTACCTTCTCGGGCTCACAGGACATTCGAGGCAAGGATATCAAATATACGCGGGCGGGAGGCATCATCAAGCGTATCGATGGAACCAAGGGCGATGGCAGGTCGAGTCTGACTGTCGACTCCATGTCTGGCCGCGAGGAGTTGGTTATAGGGAGTGTTTAAATGGAGATTGATCGACAGTGATGGCAAAAAGAGGAGGCTGTTTAAGATGATACCACAAAGCAGAGAGCGAGAAGACAAACAGTGCGTGGGAAGGACAGATGGAGTTGGATATGAGACTACTCGACAAGTAATTGATTCATCAGAGAAGAGCGAAGCGACATGTTTAAGGAATTTATCCAGGAGTTTGACTCTTGAAGAAAATAAGCAAACGAATAATGTTTTTTCTCTTTTCCTTTTCTCTTTTTCTTTTTGTTATGAGAGTATGAAATGGAAATGATGAGACATTCTCTTTACCATTGGGGGATACGCCGCTCTTTTTTCGTCGTGAGCATATTTGCATGGTGATCTGATTTCTGTTATTTATCTTTTCTTTTATCATTTTCATTTTCTTTTCCATATAGGTGCCCTGTAGGAAGAACTTTTTTATATTCTGGAGGGAAGTGAGCAGATAGCTCCAGCTATGTCTTATCAAAGCACAACATGACAACTATAATCTAAACGTCTCAATTTATGCCGTCTATACGTGAATCCGTTATCTAAACCAATTTTCTTGTAAAAACCAATACATGTAATAGCAGCCAGGCCAAACTAGCCTGCTGCAACCTCCAACTGCAGCCTCTCGCGTCTCATCAACACGGCACTGACCAGAGTCAAAGCCGCTGCAGCAATGACGAGGCCATAGAGCGAACTGATAGTTTTTACAATCGCGCCAATAGCCAGCTCCCTGACATGTGCATCGCTATGCGTCAATATAACAGACTTGGCGCCAGCAAGTGCCGACTTTAGGTCCGCCTGGCTGTAGTCAAACTCGCGCAAGGCGTCCCGAAGATATCTCAGCCCGAGGTTTTGATAGATGGAACCGGAGATTGCCAGTGCAATGGCGATCGAGCCCAGCTGAGCTACATTGATGAATCCAATGGCGGCGGAAGTTTCGTTCGCTTTTGCCTTGGCGGGGGCAATTGCATAGGCAAGCTGCGCCGCGAGACCGGAACCAACTGCAATGAGAATCTCATATCCGTATATCGCACCGACGCTGGTGGTGGGTTTCACGACGAACATGAGCGCGCCTCCGATTAGCATGAGGGCTCCTGAGGGTAGGTACCACGGCATGTAATAGCCAAACACGGGCAGCAGGGCGCCTGAGACCATGGTGAAGCTGACGTTGAGCGTTATAAAGGGGAGCAAGCGCACGGCGGCCTTGATTGCCGAGTCGTTTTCGGTGAATTGGAAGAATAGGGGTACGTAGTAGACTGTTACGAAGAGACTTGCAGAGGCACTCGCAGTCGTGAAGTAGAGGAGAAGCATCGTCCGTCGTTTGAGGAACTGAACGGGGAACAGCCGGTTCTGCTCAGTCGTGAAGATGCAAAACGCCTGCTGAACAGCGTAACTGACAAGAGAAAAGCCAAAAGCAACCCAAAGACCAATTGAGCCCCCAGAACTCCAATCCCAAGCGGTGCCAGCATACGCCAGAACAACCATAAAGAGCGTAAAAGTAGCTGCGTTCAGCACGGCTCCAACCCAATCAACGGCTGCTAGCTTCTCCCTTGCGGGGGTTGTAGGCTGGGGATTGTGGCGAGGGAACCAGAGGATGTAGACTGGCGCTGTGACGGCGGCCAGGACGAGGTTGATGTAGAAGGACCATCGCCAGGTGGCGCCGCTGCTGGCGAATGCGCCGCCGACGACGGGGCCGAGGATGCAGCCTGTTCCCCAGCAGAGGCCGACGAGGGCGTTGTAGAGGGCTCGTTCTTTGAGGCTGGTGAAGACGGCTATGTAGTGGAGGCAGCTAGATGACACAATTTGGTCAGTGTAAAAACTCTTGAGATTCTATATCATATGCTGGCTGTCTCACCCAAGATACATTCCGGCTCCTCCAACTCCCGCCACGACTCTACCCACAATCATGGCGTTCATCGACGGTGCAGCTCCGCATACAGCGCTTCCGACTTCAAACAGGATTATGCTTGCGAGATAGAGCCATTTGATTTCAAAGGAACCATAGAGAGAGCCGAGCAACAGGATCGTGGCGACAGAGCCCATAGGAAAGCCGATGCCGACCCAGGACAGCTTCTCGATTTCTCCTAGAGATTCCAAGACGGGGCCTTGGACGTCTGCTGCTATGGAGGTGTCTAGGCCTGCGAGTATTTTGTTAGTTTGCTGAGGATAATGTAATAATCTCTTTTTGTTTCATGTCAAAGCCATACCATATAGAACAGCGGTGAGGTACAACCCTACGCAAATGGAATACCATTTCCAGGACGAGATGGATTGATTCAAGGGCGGCGAAGTGTCGACTGCCTTTTCATTTTCAGATGGCCCCTGTCTTTCCGTGTCGTCGGTTGTGTTGCCATCTGATATGACTGGAACCGCTTGCTTGGGCGGATCCATTGGCCTGGTTTGTTTTGAGTGACGTGATAAAGGAGATTTTTTTTCTCTTATTTCTCTTTAATTTGGACAGTTTTGGAGCAACTGGTAGTCCTTGGGGATTATCTTCTGTTGAAGAATGGGGCGGGTTGAGTCTCATCATATACTCGAAATCTAGACAATGTACAAAAACTTCAACGCCTGAATTATCAAGTCCTGCATAGCTACAGCAAAAGATTCCAAAGCATTCTACCTGTCAAACGCCAGATTGTGGAAACCCGGAGAGAAAAAAAATTGGGCGTCAACCTTATTACGTGGCTCAGTTTCGGCGACAAGTTGGGATACTGCGTCCACACGAAGCATATGAGCCTACGATGATAGGCTTGTTTCCCCTAAACGGCTTATAAATCTCGGTGTGTTGTTTATTTTAGAGATACGGAAAAGTTATTAATATCTCTCCGTGGGTGATAGTCTGCTTAGGGGATTGGAGCTAGATGTGTTGCTAGTTTGACGGCTAGGATGGGTTGATAAATTGAGTCGGGGGTTTTACTAACATGTCCGCTTTTTGAGATGTGAATTGCGAAATAGATGTAGAGACTATAAATAATTCAGCCGTCAAAATATTTATTTTCTGTTCGTGGTTTAGAGGTGGATGTCAACCGAATTTGCACATTAGCTAATAATAAGCACCATTCGCTTTTCACCTCTGACGAATCAAAATACTCTGCGATGAAGTAGACATCCCCAAGCGATGCTTCAGACTTTCAACACAGCTACCTCCCTGAGCTTGATGGCAATATTCTACGTTGGGCCAAAACTACTTTCTTAGCATGAACTGCAGCATTGTGACAAGGCTCATTTACATGTCCATTGTTCTATAATTAACTCTTCAAAATATTTCTCTCTCTTTATTCCATGTAAGATGGATTGTTGCAATAGCATCTCACTCAGATACACGGATAACATACTTGCTCGCACTATTCTTGCCGTCTCTTAGGTCCTCCAGCGCTCTCGAGATCCCACCGAACCCACCATCAACGACTTCAAAAGGATGATGTGAGATGATACCATTAGCCAACGCATCGGAGAGGTAGCGAAAATATACATGTGCAAACGACTTCAGCGCAGTGAGATCCCTGCGCTCAACTTCAGAACTGTTGACGTCGTTTGGCTCCCAGAGTGCCGGTGCAAACGACACAGTCGTCTTAATCCCGGCAGCGACTTGCGGTGGCAATTCTTGAGGAAGAACCATGCTGAGACGCCCCTTGACAGGGTCCATGAGTTTTACCATGACGGACGTTGTATCAGGTGTACTGATAGCATCTAGCCCATACTCGAGCTTCGGGGCCAGTCTTTGGATCTCGGCAGTGACAAAACCCGGGCCTTCGCGATAGTCGATGACACGATCTCCCTTGGAGCTATCGAGAAGCGATTCTACAAATTCTGTTCCTCGCCCCGCAACGGCATAAATCGGGTGGATGTTGGATAGAGAGGCAAGCTTCACTGCAAACGCCCCAACTGACGAAGCGGCACCATATATGACGAGAGGCGTGGGATCTTCTGCGGGGACCCAAGGCTCAGGCAAGCGCAGTTCTTTGTACAGATTCAATGCAGCTGTGATGTAGCTCAGTCCGAACGTAACAGCCACTTAGAATCGCCGGTCCACGTTAGCAATTGATTGGGGTAACATCATGGGCAGTTATGGGGTATACATACCATCAAAAGATACCGAGTCTGGTAAGATGTATGTCGTGTGCCTTGGGCCAACAGAGTATTCAGCAAATCCACTTCCATGATTGGTACTTTGAACACGATCGCCTGGCTTGAATTCGTAGACTTTGGACCCTAGGTAGCCAGATGTTATTATACGGTGCCATTTCTTATCTATAAGCAAGTAAATGGGATAGTCTTACCAACTGCGTGCACGTAGCCAGCAACATCCTTGCCCGGATTTGCGTATTGTTTTGCTTTCAAGTGTCCGTGGAGTTGAATGGCAACTTCGGGATCTGCGCCTTTCCAGTCAATCGGATTCAGTCCGATTGCCACAACTCTGACAATGACCTCTTCGTCTCCTGGAGTGGGGATCTGGCTGTCGAGAATCTCGACTTCCAAGCTGGGCAGAACAATAGCTTCCTTCATAGTGATATTGGGCGGTATAAATACGTTGCTTTGTACAATATGTTGCTTATTGAAAGATGGAAGAGAGATGAGCATTTATATAGTTCGTTGAGTTTAGGGAAAGGCCATCCATATATGGCGGGTGGCGGCAGACTGACAGATGGTTCGAATTTAATAGAAGAGCTAGCTATAGCGCTTTGGATTTATTCTCCATCATAAGACAGAGTTAGCCCAGCCGGAACATTTGAATAATGTGTTTTTTGGAATCTTGCGTAATAAAAGATAGCAGCTCTACACTATTTGAACTTTAATTAACAACAGAATATCTATTCTGGCTTACTGATGTGTTTCTACAAACCAGTTACCAAAGTGACCAATGTCACCAGCAAAGGTGCATTACAAGGTATGATTCAAGGTATGATTCAATATGTTTCCGTCTGGTGTTTCGGTAGTTGCCGTGATTGGCTTCTTGTTTCGGGATCATTTGTCAAGCGCCCGTGTTGGCGTCAGATCCTAGACTTGTGCCCCCAAGCAACTTGCACGCCACCGTTATGAATCCGCCTAATGATCGAGGAGAAAAGAACAGTCTTTCTCTCTCTTTCTCTCCATGGTAAACTCAAATTATAGTAACATTGCAGTTGTCTCAGTAGAACTTCCGTAGTTATAAGAAACGATCCCATGATTCCCATCCACGGCGTGAAACTTGTGATTTGCCTCTTCTTCTTCTGCACAACTCCTCTTTGTCATAATTAAAAATCCTGACTTCATCATTAACCATGCAATACGAAACATTTGCCATCCTTGGAGCGACAGGCCAGCAGGTGATTCATTCTACTGCCTCTGCATGTAAGCATCAGTCGACTAACCTCGGGCTAGGGAGGGGCCGTCGTGAGGCATCTTGCCAAAACCTATCCTAATGCTAAAATCCACGCCATTACAAGATCCCCGGAAAAGCCGAATGCACAGGCACTCTTGTCACTAGGCCCCAATGTATCCCTTGTTCAGGCAAGCTTTGCAGACAGGCAGAGTCTGGTGGAAGCGTTTTCAGGAGCAGAAGTAATTTTCTTAGTTACGGACTATTGGAATACTCAGAATAATGCCGTTTCGGCCAACCTCAATACAGAAATCACAGACGGTATGGCGGCTATCGAGGTTGCTGCTGGTACGAAAAGCTTGAAACACTTCGTCTTTGGAACCTTGCTGGACTTTGCACCTCTATCCGACATGAAATGGAGAAACATGTATCACTTCAGTATGTCTATTTTCCTCATGTTTGTGCCCGTTTTCGGGTTATTACCAGGCTAAACGTTCGGTAGACACTAAAGCGGTTTTGAATCATTACATCAGAGCCAAACCGGATCTGTGGGCAAAGACAACCCTGATATTCTCTCCCATATACTATGAGAACTATCTTACTTTTGACCAAAAGTTCTACCCAATGCTTGGCGGCCCAAGGAAGGTACGTGTCACTTTCTCTTTGGTTTTGCTACTTATACACCCAGCGAAGTCCTCTTTCTTTTAATTGGTTAAAGCTAAGTGTGAAACCCTAGGTTGGCGATGAATATGTTGCATGGTACCCCAACGGTGGTACCTTGAATCTGTCATATTTGAGTATTGAAGATTTGGGCAAGGTGTTTGGGGCAGTCATTGAGAAGCCGCAAAGCTACTTCCAAAAGATGGCGATAATTGTTGGCGAGTTCTTTTCCGCCCAAGATCTAATTGGACAATGGGCAGATGGTAATCATCTTGATCTTCACAACTTAGCCTGCGATATGTCACCCACTGACTTGAATTATAGTTGTTGGTGTCAAGGCTAGGATTGAAACTCTGTCGTCGAAGGAGTTCATTGACAGGGTTGGCCAGCTTGGAGGGCCCGAATTCATGGCTCTGGAGATTTACGAACAGATGAGATGTCTGGAAGAATTGGGTGATCTGAGAAAATTCCAAACGGAGATTCCGATAGTTGATATGAGCAAGGTAGGGCTCTGATCTTAGCCTGGCTATATAGCAAATGACGCTTTCTAACATTGCCAATTTGCAGGTAGTAGAGCTTACGAGTTGGAAACAGTGGATCGCGGCACAAGATTGGACCGAGTTTTTTCGTTTTGTCAGCAAGTGATTTGCAATATCTGCGAATTATGCCGAATAGTTCTCTTGTCGGTAGCTCTGTTTAAGGAAAAATATGCCAATGTCGTTTAAAGCTCTTGCACTGTGCATTTTCCTTTACGTAGAACAGGATCTTATTTATGTAAAAACAAGGTGAACTATGGAAACTGAGGCATGTATGGGCTTTGTACATTGTGAATGGCTGATCATATTTAGTTGTATCTAGCTTTGTAAAAGGTTCATCGGCATTTATGTCTGTGTAGAGTCTATTTCTGTGTGGAAATTATTGTCAAATTCCATCCTTTCGCCGTTAGCTTGCTCGCGTAAGCCATATTATGGTTATCACTAACCTTACTCTTCATCCAGCGTAACCAGTCGCCCCAACTTCAATAGTTTCACCATATTAGTAACAGCAGTAACAGCACCTACACGAGTAAAAGCTACTTTATCCACTATCTTTGGATATGTAATGTACGAGATTAACAAGCCGGGCAAACAATAGTGCCAATATCTTAGAGAAACACGAATCTCAAAGCCGGGATAAGTCAGATGAGAAAAGCTCCCATTGGCGCAATTGGCACAGTTAAAGAGCTATCAATCTCGGTTGGTGGCTTGTGCCCAATGGGCTACCTTGCTCAATCGATCGGACGCTATACGTAAATTTGCCGATCTAAACTCTAAAGTCCTCCAGCTTACAAGCAACTGATAAGTAAGCAATCTTTCATGTCCGGAGCATTCTACCACTTAGTCAGAGAGTTTCGCCTCAATGATTGCTCCGTCTCTCAGCTTCAAAACGGCATGCTTGACTGTTTTGACCGTCATCGGCAGTGGTACCCCATCATCCAACTGCTTTTCGACATAACATGTCCGCACGGGGAGTCTCGAAGAGGGGCAAGGGGCGCCCTCGGAAAGATGGGAGTGTTGCCGATTCATCCGCAAAGGTTCGTCAGTGCTATCCGGTGTTCTAATAACCTAATCAAACAGTGCGAGCTTACTTGACAACGTAGATTCAAAGAGAAAAGAACAGACAAGCTCAAAGCATATTCAGAGCTCGCAAACGAGCCACTGAGGCTGCAAGTGAGCTGCGAATATCCCAGCTTGAAGACATAGTTGACCGGATGGGGGATACCTTCCTCACTCTTGTGAATCATGTTATCCAGTCGAATCAGAAGCAAAAGGACCTTGTGTTGGCAGGGAGGCTCCAAGAGTCCATCCACACCTTTCTCACTTTAGCTGCAAGTTCGTCGGACCCAAGGTGGGACTCTCCCGACACTGGAAATCAGGGTGACATCCACCAATCAACTCCGCAGCCGGCCCGGAATCATGGTAACGAGATGATAATTGGGCCAGAAACAATCTTCGGAGAGACAGGCTCATCCCAACCAGTCTCAGCTTTGCCGATTTGGAACTCACAATATTCGAGCAGCCTATGGGGTCTTCTTGACCAATACGACTCAACTCCATCTTCGTTTCCCGAGCTTACCGGGTCTCCTACCAATGTACTGGGAAATGGTTGGACAAAGGATCTACCTTTTTCATACACGGCTACTCTTGGCCAAGTCGTTGGACATCCCGTAGCTCAGTCAATGAGTACTCTCATCATCCAGGCCACCCTATACTATGTCTACTACATTCTGTTGGAGGCAAACGACCCGTTGTGCTCAGATGCGGCCAAGGATATATTTCGCTATGCGCTCAAGTTACACTCGAGGGATGAATTATTATTCAACATTCGATGGTTCTTGGGGCCGGGGCAGCGAGAAGCCTATCGACTGGGCATAACGGGGTTTCAGATCCTGAATGCCCAAGACAATGAAGGTTTTCTCACATTGAGTCCTGCTGTGGATTCCGAGGCGTTGAATGATATTCAAACGCAGAAGCGACATAGCTCCAGTCTGCAACAGTCGCTGCTTAATGCGAGCGGCGTCGAGGCTTATTTGCTACACCATGGACTTCGGAGGATAACCCAAGATATCCTCGAACTTGATCTAGAGCAACGGGACAACTCTCACGAAGCACAGATGGAGAACGATTCTACGAGAAAGCCCAATCTGATTAATGCAAACGTGTTTTTCCCCGCTGTGCCACAGGGAGGAAGCAGAGTGACGACAACCCCAACTCAACGAGCCCCTACCAAACGGACTGTGAGATTCTCGGAATCTACCTTTATACGGTTTCTAGCTACGCAAGCGTCACATTGCCTAGCTTATGGACCTGGGTATCGAAAAGACCGTTTGCCTGATTTGATCGAAGCCGCTTCTCTTCCGCCTGGATGAAATTTGTGACGAAATTGACCAGCAAACAAAGTTTTGAGAAAGGAACTCGGTTCATGCAGGTAGTGTGTCACAATGAGGAAACGGTGTTGGGCGTTTGTGCTTTGCATTAGAGAGATATCAATAATCTAAAAGAGTTAAAGGAATCCTCTGAATCTGTTGACTGAGAACTACATACCGCAGCCTAACCATCCCGTATCCCTTCCCCCCTTTACTATCGCGAATTTCAACGCAGTCAATAATAACACGTGTATAATATGGTACTGATGAGTAGTGTTTGTTTCACGTTTCAATCACATCATTGTGCTGTCCTATGTGAAACCACATAGTAGTATTATTGCGTGGCTGTTCCAACACATTAACACTCATTGATTTCGAGCTGGTATCGGCATCTTTATTCATAATCCCGTTTAGGCTGAGTAATAGCCACATATCAAAGATATAACAAAAGCGCTCAATCATGGGATTTTCGCCGCCTTTACAATGATTTGTAAGAAAGAAAGCGATCATTGAATCCTCTCGGTAGCTCAAGCTTAGCAATACATTGAGCAACTTTTCTCTCAAACAGATACGGCAGGAATCGAAACCCTGTGTTGTAGTATATGGGCAACTATATAAATAGTCAACCCAAGACAGGGTGGAGAGATCACTTCACTTTCAGAGAATCCTCATAAACAGCTTGACAGACAGAAAACATGGCCTCTTTTGCTACAACCCACGTCAGCCCCTATGATGCCCTTACCAATGCAGTAGCAGCCAATCCACTTACTGGCAAATCTTTCCTCATCACGGGCGCCGGTCGAGGCGTAGGCGAACACATTACGCGGGAAATTGCGGCAGCGGGCGCACAGCGCATTGGACTCGTTGGTCGTAACCTCGAACGTATTAATGAGGCCAAGAAACGCTTTTCGGAGGCCTTTCCAGACACCGTATTCGAGGCCTTTGCGGCTGATATAACCGACGAAGAAAAGATTGGGCTTATTTTTAAGACATTTGGTGTTCCTGACGTCTTGATTAATAACGCTGGTCATTTCCCAGACGAAGGGCCTTTTATCAAGGAAAACTTGAAGAGTTGGTGGACCGGCTTTGAGATTAATATCCTCGGCACGGCTACCGTCACCCAACAATTCCTCAGAGCCAAACCTGAAGGCAAAAGTGCTATTGTACTCAACGTCTCTACTCTCGCCACTCACATGCGTTTCCCAATGCACGGATGGTCAGGCTATACGGGAAGCAAGCTGGGCCAAGCACGAATCTTCGAACACATCCGCTTCGAACACCCAGACGTCCGATTCATCAACTGCCACCCCGGTAGTATCAAATCCGACGGTTTCGCTAAATCTGGTGCTCCGGAGCCACCGACCGGCATGACGGATGGGAAGGTTGCGGGTCAGTTTTTTGCTTGGCTTGCTTCTGACGAAGCGGAGTTTTTGAGTGGAAGATTTGTCTGGGCTGAGTGGGATGTCGATGAACTTAAGGCAAAGAAGGGGAGGATTCTTAAGGAAGATCTCCTACTTACGACGATTGACGGCTTTGCTCAGGGCTGGTGATTGTCAAAGACTGGAACACAAGGAAGAGAAGAGCAGTGCAATCCAAAGAGACGAATGGCCGTTATCTACATAGCTACTACACTACAGTTAGACATGCAATACAAACCGTATTTATCTCTGAATCCATTAAACAGAGAGTATAACTCTATCTTGTATAATTTTGTTCAAGCCAACAAAGAATCACTGTTGAATGATGGTTGAATCGGTCGGTGAACCTCACAGATATGAAAATAGATGTAATGTATTATAAATTATACTAATACAAAAAAAGGGGTATAATCTTATACAACCAGAAGTAAAGGCATATAAACTCGAGAAAAAAAAGAAAAAAAAGAAGAAAAAAAGAAGAAAGAGAAGAAGTAACCTATTCATTTCGTGTGATGCAGTCGGGGCATGCTACCCATCAAAAAATCGTCGTATAACGTGATCATCATCCATTCATCTCATCTCGCCCCCTGTCTCGTCTCATTCATATCATTTCATGTTTCTGCCAAATATGCAAAAAATTGTCGATAAAGCATGCGTACATATATATCATTGCCATGCTGTTATGCAACACTCCTCCCATGCTTGCTCATATTGTCATTGTTTTCTTCATTATATGTACTCCCCTCCTTTTTTTTCCTTTGTTAGTTTGCTTCTCTTATATAGGTATCATTCATCTACCGTCCAGGGCAGGTCCCTGTTGCCGACTTCGGTGCACGTCAAGTACCCGATGCTATCGGCAACGCGGCTGGAGCCGCTCAAGTCTAGCTCCAGGCCGCTGTTCATAAGGGGTCGGACGACGGACCGTGCCATGGCCTTGAGCTCGTCCATGCGCTTCTCAAAGCGCCGCAGGTTCTCGCGGCTGTAGAACTCGGGCGTCAGCTTGAGGAACTTCTTACACTCGTCGTGGCCGAGGAACGTGTTCGGATTGCCGGAGCCGAGCGTGCGGTAGGCCCGGCCGACTGCGGTGAGAGGCGGGGCCGGAGGAGCAGATGGTAGTGGAGCGGCGGGGCGGTTTGTGTCTCGGGATCCCGGGCGGCGGAACTCGGGGGGTGGCTGAGGCGTGGTGTTGTCGGCGATCCATTGGCGGAAGAGGCTCGTGGCCAGCCAGTCGAGGTAGCCGTTGTTGGGGCTGACGCGCTCGCCGCGGGACGTAGTTAGGTTGAGGCGGAACAGGCGGCCCTCGACGCGGCTGACTGTCTCCTCCAGCTCGTCTACCTTGTCCTCGATGATGTCCAGCACAATATCGGGCATGGTGGCGCGCAGGCTACGCTCACCCGCGGGCCACTGGCCAACGACGTGGATCAGGGCCTCCTGGAAAATGACCTTGCTGCGGGCCAGGTAGCCGAGCCGGAGGTATGAGATGGGGTACTTTGCGATCTGCTTCCACAGGCGGGACTGGAACTGAAGCAGGTGATGGTCCACGCGGGGGCCGATGACGGGGAGGGCGTCGTATTGATCAGCCAGCGTCAGCAGGCTCTTGCATTGCACGTAGGCGTCGGCAACGTTGATGCTGTCCAGCACGGGCGGGTAGTTGTAAAAGGTGCGGAACAGGTTGTCGTAATCCCGCAGTAGATCCTCGTCGGCCTGCGAGAGAGTCTGGGGCTGTTGGCCGAGGCTCATAACAGAGCGAGAGTAGTCGCGCTTTGACGGGTAGCTGCTGCTCTTGTGATGTGAGCGCGACTGCGATGATGTCTTGGGGCCGGGACCGAAGAGAGACGACCCGAGCGAGCGCCCGTCGTCTCGAGGCTCGTCTCGCTGGACCAGCATGGGGATGTCGTTGTCGCCCGAGCCCGAGTCCAGCTCGTATCTCCATTTCTTCGTGGGTGTGGCTCCTCCCAGCTCAGAATCTCCATCTGCTGCGGATGCGTTGCCGTCCTCACCGATCTTCGACAGCTCGTGACCGCTTGGCAGCAGTGGTTGGGCTCGCGACCATTCGGACGAAGTGCTGGCCTCGAAGAAGCCACTGCATCTGGTGAGCGTGTGGCGGTGCAGCAGATATCGGTTCTCGACGGGCCCGGCGCGGATCAGGATCTCGACATCGCCGCTGTGGGAGAAGACGGGGAATTCATTCTGCGGTAAGTACGAGTTGGTGCCTCCGACTTGTGAGCGGTTGTAGCGCTTGCTTCGTGCAGACGGGCGCGAGACAAGGGACGAGGTGCCGCGGATTGCGAGAGACGAAGGGGGATCGGGTTGAGAGACCATGGGGATGAGGCGACTGTAGATGTTGAGATGGTGCGGTTGCGGATAGGATGATGGTGTTTGTTTTTGTTTATTTTTTGCTTCTTTGGGGTATCGACGATTGGATTGGATTGTTGCGAGTCAGCTTGATTGGCGCTGCTGCATGAGCAAGGAAGAGTTGAGCCAGCCCAGCCCTTGTTTTTTTTTCTCTCGCAGGTAGTGGTGGAAGTGGGGGAACGAAGAAGAAGCGTCACCAGAATTTGATAACTCGACTCTGCGAAACCTGCGCGAGGTGTGTGATAGATGATAAGGGGGGAAAGGATAAGAAAGAAGAGAAAAGGGAGGATGGCGATATGAAACGACAATCACAGAGGCACTATGGAAGATTTGAAATGAGATGAAAACTTGAAAATCGCCGTCGCGTCGAATCGCTGTCGTGTGCATGCATCGAATGGAGCTGAAGGCAGACTCGGTGGGCCAACGGCCAGTTGGAACTGTTCGCTGGCGCAACCGCTGCAGTGCTGCAGTTAGCCTCGCCATGCAGGCCCGAGACCGCTAAACCGGAACGCCGGTCGCCTGTAGGTTCGGGTGGCGACGGGCAAATCAGCGGCTGCAGGTGCTCAATCTCTGTCTGGTTTCAGACACTGGAGCGAAGCTCCATTCAATCCATTCGATCCCCATCAAACAAAATACACATGCGTACATATGCATGCCCCGTATCGTATCGCATCGGTAGATGTACATACGCGGTGGCCAGGGGTTGATGCTGGGCCTGTTCTGGAGATAGAATGCTGGTTTCTTCTCTTAGACCTTGAGGGTTTGGGAGGCAGCTCGCCGGGCATGTGAAGATGCTGTATGAGACCGGGACACAAATTCTCTCACCCCCGTATCTTGACCTTTGCCATCCCTGAAATGACAAAAGAACATGTGCCTGGCAGCAAGCGGCATTTGCTGGCCAGCCGATTGGATGCCAGCGCCCGCTTGTCAATCAAACCATGCTTGTGATGGCCTCGCCTGATCCATTCGTTCAGCCGGCATAACAGCGGCACTTTGAGAGCTCCAACCCACTACGGCTCTAGCTCGCCTCTTTTCTTCCCTTGTCCCACCAACCAAAATAGCTGGGATGCAACCTTGAATTTTAGCTTCAATCCCTCCCAAACCAAGCATTTTTTACTTGCCCCCAGCTGTGCTATATACTATAGCTATCCATATCCCGATCTCTATCTATATGGAACCCCCTTGATCGTGCTACCGTGGCGTCCAAAGCTGCCCCAGCTGCCGTTGCAGCCTCGGGTGGAATGAGCTCGCAGACGCTGGCTTTCCACCATGCTTCAAAGCCCATCTCCGTCAATGAGTTCCGCGATGCCGTGCTGGCAACATGCCGGCCGCGGTTCCCTACGGCTTATTATGCCCGTCCACAGCGTATAGGCAAGTCAGACACGGAATTCCTGGTGATTTCACGGCTGACCTCGTTCCCCCTCATAGCCCTGGCTGTCAGCGGAGGTGTAGACTCAATGGCAATGGCATATCTCTTCTCGGCCCTCCTCAGGGTATACAGGGGCATCAAGATAGCTGACAACCCCACCGAGAGTGCCTTTGGGGTTGTTGTTGACCACAAGCTGCGCGAGGAGAGCTCCCAGGAAGCTTCCCGCGTCACCCAGGAGCTGAAGCGGCTCGGCCTCAAGGCCGTCATCAAGTCCCTGAATTGGAGAGAGCATAGGTGGCATGGCATTGAACCAACCACCTTGCCTAATGTCGAAAGCGTTGCTCGGACTATGCGGTACCAAGCTCTGGGGTCTACTTGTAGATATCTCCAGGCCCCTAGCCTCTTTTTCGCGCACCATCAGGATGATCAGTACGAAACGGTCTTGATGCGGCTGCTCGCCGGTCATGGATACCGAGGCCTCCAAGGCATACGGCAAGCCAATGCAATTCCAGAGTGTTACGAGTTGCATAGCGTCTACAAGAGTGGCCTCCTCGATGACCAGAAACAAAAGCACCCTTTCCTAAGCTTCAAACCACCGGCACGCGCCATGAAGCGACTGCGATTCTCTCTGAAAGACGACAAAGAAGCAGAGCCGTGGGATCAGATCAAGTCATATCTCAGCTTGGATGAAAATGCGAGGCCATTTCCCGGGCATCTATCCCGAGATTTTGATCCTGGCGTACCGTATCTGACCCCTCTGCAGAGTGAGGACGGTGGTGTTATGATATACCGGCCACTCTTGGAGTTTGATAAGAATCGGCTTATTGCGACATGTGAGGCTAATGGCGTCCAATGGTTTGAAGATCGTACCAATACGGATCCAACACTCACAACCCGTAATGCCATCCGGCAACTCACAAGAGCCCACACGTTGCCCAAGGCTCTACAGAAACCCTCTATCCTGGCCCTAGCTCATCGATCGAGACAGAGGGCTCAGCTGGAAGAGGCTGAAGCCCACAGATTACTTGTTCGAGAAGGAGTCATCAAGGACTTCGATCCAAATGCAGGCACTTTACTCGTTGACGTATCCACAATTTGGAGCGAGAAGCCTCGTCAAATGAGGCGGCCGTTTGCTCAGGCCAGAGAAGAAGCACGCAGACACTCCCGCCGGCTGATGGCTACCATGGCAATTCGCAAACTCATTGCATTTGTAACCCCGGAGCTCCATCTGCCGCCTCTCGCTAATCTAGACAATGTTATAGACCGGCTGTTTCCAGATTTGTCAGAGACAGTCGATACGGTGCTAATAGCGCCGCCAAAGGCCTTTTCTATCGCAGGCGTGCTCTTTGAACCCGTGTCCAAGATGAATTCAGCATCGTGGCTCTTATCGAGAGCACCATATTCCTCGAGGCAGCCGTTACCGGAGCGGAAACTACCCGGCTACCTCAACTATAGAGCAGGCGTCCTCAAGTTGGAAGCCGATGGCGATCATCCAAGCCGATACCGTCATTGGCGTGGGTGGAAAACCGCTAAACTATGGGATGGGCGCTTCTGGATTCGGGTGAGCGCCTGTGTCGCCGCAAAGTTCCATGTGCTTCCCTTTCTACCCTCTTACGCAAAGCCATTTCGAATGGCCCTGCCTCCGAGAGAGCGCGCCAACTTGGAAAAAGTTCTTAAACACTATGCTCCAGGCAAGGTGCGATACTCGTTGCCCGCCCTCTATAGCGTTGAAGAGTCTGGCCAAGGGGAGAACTCGGAGCCAATTCTGACACTGCTGGCACTGCCGACTTTGGGAATTCACGTCCCCGGCCTTGAGAGGTGGGTGAAATATGAAGCAAGGTATAAGAACATAGACGTCACCTTGCTCTCATCTGCCAAGAGAAAGGAAAGCAGAATGTCAGTTCTGGGCCGTCCCCGTCCCCCATCCAGAAAGCAGAGTATTCTGCAGATTCGAGGAACACGGAAGAGTAGCCAAGCAAGGCGAGCTCTCAGCGCATAGAAATTCTCGGCGAGTCAATGATATAGAATTTCACTACATTAGTAGTGAGATTTAGAGCCCGGCGATTGCCCCTTAAGGTGAAACGCCAATGCATAAAGGGCCAATTTATGTGTTGCAGACCAACGGAACAGCCCGCTATGGAGTAGCCATGGAATAATACCGTACGCATCGTGTCGTATTAATACCCGTATTACTGATGGCTGTGCGCGTGACCAACAGCTGTCAAAAGGGGTGAGCATGCTTTGCTTCCAGCCATCAAGACTGTGCTTTTGATAGGCCGATATCCGGCACAGCCTCCTATACCCATAATCAAGGCACTTATACGCACACTTCCCCGGTACCGGTGCCAACAAAGCATAACATGTTATTCTTCTGCCGAAGCGTAGACTCATTCTCTTCGACCGAGGGACCCGGTACGTGCGAGGTATCACTAGGCCGATATTTCGATGCGCTTTTAAACAGCTGGCGCGGTTGGGCTCAGCTCTAGGCGACGTAGTTGCTACCTAATATGTGAAAATTTTTATATAAAATTTTATGCAGAGCCCTGATTCATGATGTCTGGCCACACAAAGAAAAAAAAAGAAAGAAGCAATATATTTTGCCACGCCAGTGGAACTACAACGATATCTGCCTATTGGAGGTTGATGTGAGCACTTGGCACTTGAATATTCCTATATGGGAAAAAAGAGTCGATATTTCTCCGTACCTTCCTTCGGATGGACAGCCCGCTTTTCTGACTGGCTGTTGCCTTCGGATAACGCGAATCAACAACGACGCGTGGAAGGCGGCAAACATTCACGGTGGCAATATCATCTTCTCCTTTTCCTTTTATCCTTCGAAATCCAATTATTTTCTTTCTTGTTTTTTGAACCTAAACCTAACACTTGGAGCTTGAACTTGAAACCCTCAATCATGCAGCTCGTCGTCAGAGTCTGTCCGCTAGATGCCCGCATTCACACGGCGTCAAAGAGAAGATCCCAGATCCCTCTTGTTCAAAGACCAGCAGCAATCCAAATCGCCTCATAACAATCAAGACATTTTCCATGATAAAATGCAATAACAAGATACAGTTGAAAACCCACCAGGGTACGTCTGTCGTGTCCACACAAACAGTCATGAAAAGAAAGGAAGTGAACAAAGGAGACTGACGTGAATGGAGTGGAGATGCATCTTTGATATATGACCTTGGCCCCGACACACTGCGATGGGCCAGCTCACCAAAGACACGCGAACCAGTAACATCGATCGTCCCGCCGATCGTATCACCATCATCACACAAATCTCCGGATCTGCAGCAGCTGTGACATCCTGCGTCACGTTACTGGGCGCCGTTTTCAGACGACAGTCGTGACGACAACCGATACGGCAGACATAACATCAAATAAGATGTCTGACCACGACTCTCGGATGATACGCCATAGCCCTGCTGCACACATTTATGAGCGATAACTGGTATGAGATTCGGGGCGACCTCGCGGGCGACGTAGCGGGCGAGATCTCACCTCTATAACAGCTCCCCGATCTACTCTTGCAACTGTTTGCACAGACTTGATGCCATTTTTTGGCTGAGGCGCTTCGTGAAAGTTTCTAGCACGCTGGAAGCTTCCTTCAGATATCAACTCGTTCATGTGGAGATGGTCGAGAAAGTCAAAGTCAGGGCGAACACCAGCGAGGGTTGCCCCTCGGCGAAAGTGGTCTGCAATGTGATGCATTCTATCCGTATAGCTGAGTCGGCACTGTTGCTGGGTTTCGGGCTGGGCGTGGAACACGACCTCATCACAAAACCAGCAACAGCTCTTGCTTGGCAGTATCATATCGAGATGGTGGGCCACAACGTGGTCTACCCAGCCGTCGATGTCACGGAGATCGAACGTCTCTTCGCAATCGCCATGCCAGTAGAATTCGCACGGGAGCCGTCGCCTATGCAGTAGAGAATCACATCAGCGGACTGACGCAAAGCAAGAAACATGAAGATGCAGCAAGGACATACCCTGGTAAGGCCGACGAAACGGAGGATGAAGATTCAACGGGGTCGAAGATGGAAGAGTGACGAGTCTCACCACTTGTGATGGACATGACGTGCGTCTCTTGAAGTTGCTCCAGCTGGAAATCGGAGCTTCCTAATACCGTGGAACGGATCTTCGTCTCTCTATGCTCCTTCAGGAAATGGGTTATGTCTCCAACAACCAAAGGGATATGCTGTTGTCCCGCCATGCTGAAGGGCCACTGCACGTCTTCTGGGATAGCTCAGCTTGCAGCTATCAGGCCTACTCAGAATCGCTCTCTGGCAATTAAACAAGCGACTCGATAGCCTAATATGTCGACAAGCTTCCGTGCTCAACCACCCTGATGATGGCGGTGATGATCGAAGCTCGGTTGGGATACCTCAAGAGACGACCAAGCAAAGTGGATGGGCCGTGATGCTAATGATGCTTATGCTACAGCAGTTGGGATGTCCTTGTGCGAAAGCGTTTCTGGATACGGCGGCGGGTGCCGTCCTGTTGCTCGCAAGAGAAAGAAGAGAAAAACTAGGGGCAGGGTGGTGGTTGGGAAAAAAAGCTCTCCCTGCCAGTCTGCGTCGTTTCGCTTCGACAGAGATGCAGAGAAGGGTGAAAAAGACCTGGGCGGCTTGGTGTTTTAATTTTGGATGCTGCAGACTGTCTGACTGGACTCCACTACTAACTAATACTACCTACTACTAGGTGGTATAGGTATGCAGGTAATGCGAGGAGGGTGCTAAAGTATTCGACGCTTATCGGGCATGAACACAGATCGTCGAAATGGATGCACGGAAACTATGTGTGAGAAAGCGGTCTCGGCCATCCATTGATGGGCAGCGTTATAATACTGGTCATCTGGACGCTCGCATACATCTAAGGCTTTTTGGTGTCAATCTCACTGGCCAACAAGACGGTTCTGAACAATCAGCGTGGATGATATCTACACGCTGCCACCAATTTATCCGTGTGCAATGAAAAGAATTTTTGGGGGCCGTGACAAGCCGTTATGCAATCGACATTCAACGAGTCCAGGGCAATGGCTTCTCTCTTCCCTTCCCGCCTCATTAGAACGACCGAGGTTGAGCTCAGGTGTCTAATCGGGGCCGCGTCATAGGCTGTCTCGCCGCCAACGAATGAAACGGCAGCTTCACACCGATTGACGAAGGCTGCTAGGCAATTACGACTTTCATCAATTGGCCGCGTCTCTTGGGGCCAGTGAATTGTAGTAAGATGGCGGCACGGCGGTAAAGCCAAGTTGTTGTACTGCGTTGGCAGGCAAATCAGCGGGCTGAGAGCACACCACGGCTGTGAGCGGGCTCCGGGCTACTGAGCCAGGATTATGGGACCCCCAAATGTTCTGAGGCGAGCTACGGCGTCCGTTTTTGCTTGACCGTGCCTCGGCCTCTCTCAAGACGGGCAAAGAAGCAAAAACCGCGGGGGGATCAGATCCAACTCAAATCGTGCGGCTCCCTGACCTTAGTGGGGTCCCCACTGTCTTCTCTGTCTGGGTCCAACCCCGCCAACCCAAGTAAGACCTGGAGCTCTCGATACGATAGGAAAGGTGACGGGGGAATACGCAAAATAGTACAAGTGGCCGTTCTGCTGGGTCTCTCCGAAAACCACGGAGCAGCTTCGGAGGTGCCAACGGTGCATGTTGCTCTGTATCGAAGCCCGAAAATTGCTGATCGCTCTGTTTTTGGGCTAGCTGTCAGGTTGCCGAATACCTTGTCTTTACTTCCAGCGTAGACCTGGTGTCTTTCCGGTGACGCTTGCTTTCATTCACAAGATTTGCCACGGCAAAGGTAACTAAAGGAACTCATATGCGGGACAAGTCTAGTGAATTATTTCTTCTTGGCACCCTGCAGACGCCATTTGCACGAATCTGACAAATACGAAACACAAGAGGTACAGTAGCAGCATTTGCTAGTTGCGATTTAGGGCAACGTTGGTGTAGAGTTCCCCCGTCTCAAACACTGACACGCATCATCATGCCTGCACAGCCCATTCCGATAAATTTTCTCGAACAATCAACCAAAGTCCTATTGACTTGATGTAATTCCTGCTGTATGACGCCCTCGTAGGTGTCAAATGACTTATTCCTGTCTGCCTTTTTTGCTTCCCGTGACCGCGAGATATTTAATTAACGTTGTCTGGGGTGGCGAAAAGAGACAATAAGGAAGACATGGGGGTAAAGAGGCTCCGGCGAGATAGAAGCGAGAAGGTTGTACCCATTCAGCCCATCTAAAATAAAAGTGACGTCGCGGATCCTTTCCTGGCGAATGCAATTGCTCGCATTTTCCCGTTTGGCTCAAGAAACTCCTCCTTCCAGCTCACGCTCTGCTCCGTACGGACGGATGCATGTCTTTCCGTAGGCAGACGCAAGATTGGGCACCAACCCACAAGAACCAGTACGAGTACCAGTCCGGTCTGAGCGATACATGCCTGTACGAGTACTTTGCAACTAGATTTCAACTAGATTTAGCCAGAGTCCAGGCACACTTCAACGTTGTATCGTACGAGTATGAGGTTTTGAGTTGTGGATGGTGACTGTAATAGCTGGGATGGGATGGGCATGGTGGCGGGTCGGCGTCACGGCCCGCCTCCCGTTCCTCCGCTCTAGGCTGAGAGCAGCTTGGGGGTCCGTTCCGCCTCGCACGGAGACACGGAGGGCCTCAGCAACGACGTAATTGTGCAGAAAAACGCCGGGATCCTTCTTTGAAAAAGCGAAAAGACGGTTTGTTTTTTATCATGGTGTGCTTCGGAGCCTAGATGCCTTTATTTCGTGGGCTGTGCTTTGTAGGAACCACAGGCTACAGTTGTAATTTAGTAACGTTTCTCTCCCTCTCTCTGTCTCCTCTCTCTGGTCTATTCTTCCGGGCTACACAAAACCCTCGCCTTGACAATGACGTTGCGGAACTGCATGTGCCCGCCGTTTTCGTCCCCGTGCTTGATGACGCCGGGGAAGACGACGCAGCTAATCTCCCGGTTGGCCAGGTTCTCCTCGTCCTCCTCTCCGCCCATGTCCTCCATGGTGTCCGGCTCGAACAGCACCTGCTGGTGAGGCAGGATGCTGGGCATGTACACCCGCAGTCGGGCCTTTTGCACTACGAGCAGGCGCGCGAGTTCGATGGAGTTTTTGATGAGCACGCGGAGGGCCGAGTCTCGGGCCGTAGCTGAGTTTGCTGCGGGGGCTGATGATGATGACGATGATGATGATGGGGAAGTCGTAATGATGCTGTCGAGCAGCTGAGTGATGCGAGATATGACGGCCTCGGCAAACGCGTCTGTGTTATCGTGAAGGTGGTGTGCCTCGCGGCGGAGGAGCGCAAGGGTGGATGAGCGCCATTGGTTTACGACATCGGTCGAGGCTGTTTCTCCATGTTAGTCTCGAAATCTTTTCTTCTTCCCTCTTCTCTCTCTCTCTTCTACAGATAAAAGGGGGGGTAAAGGGGGGTGGGCGGACCGCATAATGAGGAGAGCAGCTGCTCCATCTGCTGAATGTGCTGCGTATCTTGTTCTGATAGGCCAACGTAGTAAGCGTTGAAGACCATCTCGACGAGGATGCTCGAGACGATGGACTGCAAGAGGTGGACCTTTGATGTGTGTATGAGGTCTTCGTACATGGGCACAAGCTGGCTGAGTTCTGTGAGCGTGGCGTCGCTGGCCTTGATCAAGTCTGCCTTTCTTGTCAGTCCAATCAACTGCCCCCTTCTTTCCAACAATCGTCATCCATTGAGGGGCATGAGAATTTTTCACTCACCCAGCTTTGCTTTTCGGAAGTTTGTAATGACCCAGTTCTGCAGCCCGTTGCCCAGCTTGGTCATGCCATCCCCAAACACCTCGTCGCTCGTCTGATCGTCCGTCCTGGTGCTTGTGCTCACAAAGTCCTTCAAGCCCCTGACCTGACCCCTCAGCCTCCGGATCTCGTCGTCTCTCTCCTGCAGCTCGCGCCGGAGAACCTCAACGCCCTGTCGCAGCTCCTCCCTTTCGGCCTCGCGCACATCGACCTCGGCCCGGAGCAGCCTGAGCTCCGTGTCGGTGCGTAAGTACTGCTGGTTCAGCGCGCTGTGCTTGCCCTGCCAAAAGGTGGCCGTCTCGCTCTCCGTCTGGCTCAACTTGTCGAGCTCCTGGTGGAACTCGCGCTCCATAATGGCCATTTCGCCTTCTAGGTATGCGATGCGTTCATCTTTTTCGCGGAGGAGATGGGCCGTTGCGGCTGCGTCTGACTGCTGCGAACGGCGATACTGCTTCGAGACCGGGCTGCCGCCGCCGCCGCCGCCGCCGCCGTTATTACTATTGCTGCTGGCGTTGCTACTGGATACAGTATGCGGACTGGATCCCCTAGCCGTGCTAGAGGAGGATGAGTTGCTGGCTACACCGTCTCTCTCGCGCGCTTTTTCTTTTCGTTTTCGTTCCGCGAGTGTGCCGCTTGCGTTGTGAGAATCGTCTCCGCCCGCCGAGCTCGTATTGACCACAGCCGCGCGAGGCGGCATCACGGGCATATTGTCGGCGTTGCTTGCTGTGCTGCCATGGCGACTTGCATGCGATGCGTGTCCGGCTCGCCAGGCGGGCCCGGTGCTGTTGCTGCGCCCGCCTCCGCGGCGCTTATCAGATGGGTTCATGTTTCTCGTATCGTCTCGTCCCGAGTCGCGCCTCGGATTCGTGTCGGTTCGTCGTCAAGTCGCTGAGCTGATGCCAAAGTAGAGGGCTAGACGATGCTGGCTCGGCATGATGGCTGATGCGTCCAGCAGGCCACTCTGGCAGCTTTTGCTTGTTGCTCGCGGCAGGCGACAGGAGATGGCCCGCTCCCCTGATTGCCCACTCTCCCAGACAAAGCAGAAGCAAAGGAAATTAATTCGACGTGCTGGTTTGGTGGCTGCCTGGAAGGCCGTGAGATGCCAGGATATGCAACGCCTCCCACAAATCTGCCGAAGAGCTTGTGCAAGGTAGTTGGAGGGGCTGGGCGACAAGGCCGGAGCGGAGCTGCTATTTCGGAGACGGCGCGGGGCGTCTTGCTGGGCTCCATATGTTTGCTGTGCTAAAATACAGCAAAGTAAAATTCGCAACTGCTGGCATGCGCAGAAAGAAGTGTAAAACTTCATACATGAATGTATCGCTAGCACGTCAGGTCCGCAAAGGTATATCTCAACTTTCAAGAAAAAACCATTGGCTCACAGAGCAAAATAATTGAGCTTATTCAAGGGGGATCTCAATGATGTAAAATCAACTGCTTGCTCGTACGGCTCCACGGACCCATGACACACGGCCATGACCGGCATATGCCACCAAATACTGAGCCGTGAGCTACATCAAGGCTCAAACTCAACCTCCGCTTCAACTTCGTATGCCGCATCGTCTGTTCCTGGAATGGGCTTGGCGCCCATTCTACAGAGCGCCACACGAGTGATGGGCATATTTTCGGCCCACAGATAGTCATCGTATCTATTCAACAGGTCGCGTGCATCAATTGTCAACCTTTCCCGCCTGTTCCGGCTTCCCCTGGGGCCGAGATTGTTTTTGACATATACGGTGTTGAAAATGGTGGCGTGAAGCAATAGCGGGCGGTTTTCATCAATCATTAATCCAGAGTCTTGGAATGGCTTTTGTAGCTGCTTGCAAAAGTTGTATAAAATGCCTTCAGGATCCGAAGGAGGTGCGTATAAGACAGCAGCCCTTTCTGCTGGTTGTATTGAATGAAGACCTCGTATTGTCAGAGATAAGCCGTTTGTCTTGGAGAGGTGACTGCCATCATTGCTGCCGCCTGACAATGCCAAGACAGCGGCAGATGTGTCAGCATCCTTGGCCAATCTCGTCTCTGCGAGTATTTCCTTCAGCTTTAGGCCCTTGAGTATATTCACTGCCTTTTCTACACCGTCCTTTTTCAGAGACATGACTCCCAGTGTCAGGTGTAGCGTTCCCAAGGGCCGAACGGCGTCGTCCGGCAGGCCGAAGCTCATGGCACTGGTAACGTCGGCCCGGAACGCCGTGAGAGCCGTGGCTAGCTGCACCCCAGCGAGGGGTATGCAGAGGAAATGCGTTGGAGTAAGCTTTGGGGGCATGCTTGCAGTGGGAGGGGGTGCGGCTGCAAGTGGCCGTTGTGAATGGTAGTATCTGCGAAGGACCAGTGGTAAGGAGCTGTCATATATGATCAATACTTTGGGCTAAATAACAAGGGGTCAACAGTGTAGCGTAAGGATGACGATGCAGTGTAAGGACACAAACGACGCAGTGGGTAAGAAATGCGAAGGAGACACGGAGTAGAAGGCATAAGATGACTGAGACAACGCAATGCCGGGCCACGACGATGCTTCATCGGGTCCGTTGCAAGGTCGTGAGTGGCGCCGTCATACCCGCATCATATCCGACATCTCGAGTGCGGCCGCCCGACGAATAGAACCTAGCAAATAGCAGTCTGCCGTGTGTAACGTGAAGCAATGCAGATATCAAATGCTCATCCACTCAGCGCAGACTCGGTGGGACAAAGGCTTTTGTACAACTCATTGCTGTACAGTAAGCTCCGACTCGAGGGCAAATCAACGCCACGACGGCCCAGCCACTAGCCTGGACGCACGGGCTGCAGGCTTGTCTGACTGGTCTGCGCAGATTGAGATTTGCATCTTCAAACAAGTGTCACAGGTAAGGATGGAGATGATGGGCAATGCATGCGATCTGGGCCTCAACCAGACCTTCTACCCAGCAGACAAGGCCCCTCCATGACTCGAGTTTTGGATATTGGATACAGGTCCTGACTATACCCCACACGCCAATATGTAGAGGGAGTGATGGGTATTGATGCTTGGTCTTCGAATATGGCAACATACCTGAGTCTTTCGTCAAGCAGACACAAGATGCAGTGATTGTGTTTTGGATAAACTGACTTCGATGTCTTTGATTCTCGTCGTACTAAGGTAGATGAATGAGGCAGCCACGTGCGTGTTGATCAGACTTGCCGATATTAGCCACAGATCTCCACCAGATCGCGCCAAGCTGCATTGGGATGGTGGCACAAACTACGTAATTTGTGAGCACTCGATACAAGAAAAGAGACGCCGCCATTCATCAGTGGCTTTATGCAGTGGAAAGAGAAGAGAAAAAAGGTAAGGGGGGAAAGAAAGGGGAGAGGAGAAAGAAGGAAACGACAAGATGATATTTTCATTGACGGCAGGCCATCATGGAGTTCACTTTTTTAATTTGTTGGTATCTCTTCTACGCTACCCCTCTCCTTCTTGTATAGGCTTCTTCTTAGTGTGTAAACCAACTTTTTTGAGCTCCCAAAAAATATCATGATGCTACCATAAACCCATGATTGCGCATGTAAAGACAGCCTTGCGCGTTCCCTATATCCTGCCAAGTTTCAGGCGCCAGCCCACGGACGACGAATACCAAATCTGCGATGGTCGCGGCTCTTGTTGTTGCGGCCACCACGTATAGGTGATGGCATGCGTAAAAAGGAGTCGTGAGCGGACGGTATGAAGAGTATAAAAAGACAAAAGCGATGAAAGAGAGAGAGGTTATATCGAGGAGCGGGAAACGTGCAAACGTGCTTCGTTTCACCCCTCGAATGAGAATGTACAACAGCCTGGAGCAAAAATGGCTCCTACTGTGAAGGCAGCATCTTGAGCTCTCGCGTTGCTTGGCAGAGTCAAGGCGCGTAGCCTTCAAAAAATGTTGTCATAATCCAATTCGAGTGACGACGATTCAAGCACTCTACTCATCCTCATCCTCTTTGTAGAATTTTCTGAGTCCCGTCTCGACTTCCTCGTAGTCAGACTTGACTGCCGTGAGAGCCTCCTTGACGCGTTCGAGGCACACAGCAGCATCTGGCTCCGGAGAGCCGTCGAGGTTCTCCTGCTTGCCGTATCTCTGAATCTTTTCGCAACCGTCTCGGACCTTTATCAACCCCAGTGTCGCAGAGGAGCCTTTCAGGAAATGTCCGAGCTCTGATAGTTTTTCGAGATCCTTATCGCTCCTAGACGAATCGAAGAAATGCAATTGTCAGCATTATGCGAGATGCAATAGCGTAAAGATGGTGAGAAAATTTGTTTGCGTAAATCATAACAAGGGTCATCGAGTCCTATAACAAGGCTGTTGGGAGAGGTGCGGGGAAGACATGAGAAGCAAAGGGACAAAGAACAAGTTGGAACGCAGTGCAAGTGATGGGTGGCGGGGTCGACCTACAGGGCCGTGTCCATGGACTCGAACGTCTCCTCAGCTTGCTCAAAGAAGCCAAACACGATGGACGAGCTGAACTCGTTGTCACCGGGCTCGTCCATTTCGAGAATCTGCTTGAAGGTGGTGAGGTCGATAGCATCGCCGAATATGGATTCGAGCTCCTAGACGGACTCGAGCGTTAGCCTGTGCCAAACTGAGCTCGCGAGCGCAGCGATACCAACCTTGTCGTCGGGGAGCGCCATTGCTAGAGATGTGTCAGGACCGAAATGTGCGCTTTTCGGCTGCTGAGAGAAGAAGATGGCCACGATGGAGGGGTCGAGCGAGGTTTGGTTTGGTGTGGGGGCCAAGGAGCGTCCGAGGTGAACGGATTTAATAGTTGGAGGAGATGCGACCCACAGGCTGAGCTGGGCGAGCGAGACACAAATGAGGATCTACGGGCGACCAAATCGGACGGGAGAAGCTGCGCTGCCAGGACTATACAGGTGAGAAGAAATGCAACCGGTCAGTCAGATGCGAATAGGAAAAAAAGAAGAAGGGGTGGAAAGAGGAAAAGAGCAAAAGGAGAGAAAAAAAAAAAAGGACCAGACATGGAGGTTTTTAGCACGACAGGGGATTGCACGCATGAGCTGCGAGGCGAGAGGGGAGCAGTGCAGTGAGGGAGGGGTCTCGGTACATGTGGCAGAACGGCCGACCAGCGGAAGCGAGCGAATGGCCACGATGCCGAGATCTGGGGGGGGATCGTGAAACAAGGCAAGCTGGAGGACATTGACTCACTAATGCGACTGTTGCAGTGAACGAGGGTCACCTCTTTTGCAGGCGGCTGGAGAGGACACGAGGCCGACACGCGATGCTGGGGGGATGTTGAGGTCAGAGTTGAAATTGAGCATCGCTGAGGGGCAGAGGAAGAGAGCTGGAGAGCTTTGGTGCGTGCTGGTACAGGGAATACAGGGAATACCAGCGAGGTACAGGTACAGGTACATGTACCTTCTGGAGAACCACCCGACCCAACCTCACATCAGTCCTCAACTCGCACTAACCGGACAGGCATCGGTCGAGCACGTCTACAGACTGGAACTACGACAGTCGGGTGCTTAGGCCACACAGGGCGGTACTATGGCAATATGGCTAGCGGGTAACGCTACGAGCTCCGCGTTATTGCAGATGTACAACTTCCATGGCTCTAACAAAGTACCTACCTTAGTAGCTGGATGATGCTGGTGAGATTATATCAGCCCGATACTACCTCCCTACCTGTATATGTAAGTGCTACTGTAGTAGGCGGATTACTTTTTTTATTTTTACTTTTTAATCTTTACTCCCTTTTTTGGTCCTTTTTTTTGCTTTATCCTCAAGTAGGAAGCGGAGGATGGTGGCAATGAAAGGTAAGCTTGCAGCCATCGTGGGTAAATTGGTGATTGGGTGACCAGAAGTCACTCAACTGCCTGATCCCCCTCAGCCAAGGCGCGGCCTTGTGCGCTGCGAGCAATTTACCTGAGGGAATTGCCATGGAGAAAATTTTTTCTCGTCCAGTCTCTTTTCCTTGTTATTTCTATATCAAGCCAGAGCATGACCGGGAGTAGATGGGAGGGGCGCACATGATTGGACGGTGCGGCCTCCCTCTGCATGTTTTCTCTTTTCTCCTGCGCGATGCCCAAGCGGCGCTCCCACAGGCCGATGATGCAGCTGGAGCACACAGAGTCAAGCCCAGTGCTAGTAATAGCCGTCTCTCCGGGCTCTTGTCACTGGCCCATCCAGCTGATGGCACAGAAGGGGGGCCAGGGCCGGTTTGCAGGGGGTTGAAGCAATTCAGGCCGCTGAAGGGGGAGATGCACGTACTAACACGCAGCTGAGCCCAGTTTAGCTTAAGCTGATGCACGCGCGCATGGCCAGAGCTGTTTATCTGCGCCAAAGACGTCAGTGGGGGGAGGGGCACTGACGTCTGTGTCTGCCTTTGTCACAGCGGGCCGCATAGTGGGGTTGCAAGCCTGAAGATTTCGAACTTGTGTGGTTGGAGTGCGCAGGCAAGGATCGGGTGTCGAAGATGTACAAGTACTTGGGTGGGCGTACAAGCACAGCAACACCATGTGGTGGTTACATTAGCTCGTGTACGGAGTACCCAACGGCGTGTTTTTTTGTTTCATTCTTTTTTTTTTTTTTTTCTCACTCTCCCTTGCTTGTGTTCTTGCTGCAGGCGGCGGTAGCCTCTCGCATTCATTCACGGAGTCGGGCGAATCTCCATCGGCTGTTTGTGGCACTGTCATCACATCACCGCCCATCGCGAGAATCTCGGCAGGCGGCGCCAAAAGATGATGGATTATGCTGGGGTCCCGCTTCTCTCGTTGCGGTTACTGTGCTACCTAGTAGTCAGGACATTAGTAGTATATGCTGGCATGTTCGGAGCGCCGCTTGGACGGGAAATGGCGCGATATCATCTCTCACCCAAGCACAAGGACATCTAGACTCGGGTAAGTAAGTGGTAGAGCAAACCCGCCGTCGCGCCGTCGCAGCTTAGCTCAACTCACCACTCAAACAGGCAACGGGGAGAGACCTCCGTATGCTGGCGGAAAGCAAATCCCCACCCGAGTCAAGGAATGATTCTCCCCCTCTTGTGTGCGATTCTCTCCGGGAAGTGTCCTGTGCTCAGTCATGCAGACCTGGGTACTAGGTAGAGATGCCGCAGCCGGGGTCCCGCGTGAAACCCAGGCACAAGCATCCATCCATTTAAATCCGCCGGTGACTGGGAAAGCCAAGGGCCAGCCTTCCGTAAAGCTAATTTGACGCACAAGTTCTCCGTGCAGGGGAGACTGGGAGGAGTCGAATCAGGAGCAGAGGAACAAATGAGGGTTTGGAAAAAGAAAAAGAAAAGATGGAGGGGTGGACATGGAGGGGGGGACTCCTGGGGAGCACAGGAGGCAAGCGAGGAATGAAACAATTCCACATGTGCGAGCGGAAAAAAAAAGACAAGAAAGAAGCAGGTGGGTGAAGAGTTGTGTGAAAGGGAGGGGAGGGGAAGTTTATTGCTGCCAGATTGAGGCATCCCACATGCTGTGTGTGTACATAAAAGATAAGGTCACTGCAAGTAAAGTAGGCACATTCGGCAAATGGTCGTGAGCATTCGATATGAGAGACGAGGAATAGGTATTCTATTAGAGGCCCAGTACACAGTTGCCTGGGCGGTATGTCGATACAGGTACTCGTATTTAGCATCATTCGAGTCTCTGAGAGTTTTGGATGCATCAGATAGTAGACTAGAGCCCGTACGGATGGAGTCGAAATTTGACCGCTTCAGCCTCCTACGCCTGCCACTGATGGCTTCCCGAGCTGATGGCACCTATTACGTCTATGGCTGCAGGGGGTTCGTGAAAGCGGGAGGTGGTTACATCATTTTGCAAGGCCCCCCCTCCCTCCGGCGATGGATATGGCCGTTCTAGATTCCCAGCAGCGCAAATCCGCGCTGATGCCGCGCTTGAGTCGAGCCTGGGGTTGTCACCAACGGCGGAGTTCATCGGTGCTGGTATTTGTGTGTACAGCACTCCGTACTAAGGTGCCAACGTCGAAGTGGTGAGGCGTGTACGGAGTGCATTCCGAAGAAGGGGTTGGAAGGAGTAGAAGAAGAGGCGTGCAAGACGTCAATACACATTGATACCTTAGCCTAGTACCAGCCTTACTCATTCATGAGACCGCGTAAAAGAGCTACAATGGTTGGTGCCGCGCTCTGTTTCAAGGTACCTGTACCCCATATGTGCCCATCCCAAGCCCTCAAGTGCTCAACTGTCCTCGGCTGGTATTCCTACCCAACTCAACATCTCTGCGGGCATCCAATTATGCCTGATGGTGCACCCAAGATGCACTCCATGATATCTGCTGCAACTGTACATGGATCAGCATTGAATTTACAAACCTGAGGTAGTATCTGTGGTCCACTGATGGTAGGTACAGTAAGCAAGCCAAGCTGCAGTGGAAATCATACCGCAAGGTTGCAGCCCAGTATAAGCACTTTGCGCAACACTTTGCGCAACGGAGCCAAGCCTGACTGCCTATAAGTGCATGTACTGAATACTGTACTCTACATTGATCTTAAAGCGAATTAGCCATCCATGATCTATTTCAGCTTCTTTCAGGGGATTCTAGAATCACAGGCTACCGTCTCCGCACATGCTCATTCACGAATACCTGGATACTATAGAGATTAGGGGTTCACTCACATAAGGTGCCCAGGTGCTTAACAAAAAGAAATGTACACACCACCTTGCCCTTCTCCAGAGACCTCCAGACTTTGTACCGGTACTACTGCCTGTAAGCCATCCCAGCTGCCCACTTCAAGCTTCCCACACTAGCGGGGCTCGTGACTCCCACCTCAACCACGGATGCTTGTACTCGTATGTAGGAGCCGCCTTGGTCCTTGCTAAACTTCCGACGTCCATCAAGATGCCATTGGATTGCCAGATCCTAGCCGACGCCGGTCGAGAAAAGTTACGGGGGCAGCACCAGCAGCTGAACCAAATGCTGCTTAGCACGAGTGTGCGTGTATATGCAATCTTCTGGTAGCGAAACCCCTTATTATGCCGTTCTCCTGGAGGGGGTTAAAACAGCCCAGCTCCGAGAGTCCGAAGATCCACGGCTCACGCAATAGCCCACAGTTTGCGCCCAAGCAAAACCGCTAGGCCCTACGAGGGCCGCTGGAAGCGTCACGTTGTGACCATGGACACGACATGAAGCTGCTGGGACGCCTCGAGCTCAGACAATCAATCAACCAAAACCGCCCTTTGAGGAGGGAGCGGCAATCCTGCGCGAGGAGGCTCATCCCAACCGCCGTGGCGTCGTCAACGGGGCGAAACAACGTCCGCAACTGCTTAACGAAATATCCTTGAAGCCAGTATCCGGCTTGGCATGCCGTTCGTTTCTGTCTATCAGCGTTCTAGACTTCGAGCGCCGTGTAGTTGTGGTCAAACAGGGCGATGATCGGCAGCCCCCAGCACACGCCTCTTGACCACCAAGTGACATGGACGCTGTTTAGCGACTCAGTTATGATGTTGTGGCATCAGAGAGCACGGTGGCCGGGTCTCACGTTGGCAACCCGCGGCGCAGGGCGAAGGACTGGCGCTGGCGAAGCAAGGATGGCGGGAGTCGCGCGAAGCAGCCCGCCAGGCAGCTGACTTGAGTCGGTCTTCATATGGAAGGGCCGGCCAGCGCCGATGAGCAACGACTAGGGAATCCTTTGGAATCGTATCACTCAGGATGACCAACGCATGATGACCCAATCTGGCCAGGCAACCCTCCACTGACCGCTCTGATACGAAAAGGGAGGGAAGCCGGAGGGGTCTGTGGCAGCCAGCAGAACACATGCACCCTTTAGTCAAGAAATGAAATCGCCATCTCCACGAGGGCGAAGGCCTGGTCACTGGAGCACAACGCAGTTTCCCAGTGTCTGTTGGCTTTCAGCGCGGTTAAAAAAGGCGGCATTAGTAGCTTCCAGTGTTTAAGCTTATAAGGAGGCACCATGCTTCAATGCTTAATCGTATCCAGTCCAAAGCCGTTCTGCCAAGATTTATAATAAACCCGCACGTCCCTGGACAAAAGCTATATTTCTGCCAACTGCCGTCTCATTAAAGACGACATGGCATTCCGATATTTGGCCCAAGTGTTTGACATTGCTACTCTTCACCGTATTTAGTAAGCCTGACTTGCATGTCTCCTGCATGCTACCGCTACCAAGCAACTCAATCGTGAACTATTTGAAACATCTTGCCAACCGTAGAAACGCAGTCCTAGCTCGGCTGTTGATCCTAATGCTTGTTATTAGAAAGAAATACAACACAATGGAATCTTTGGGCGTTCATACCCAGGGTACGGACAACTCGCCATGCGTTGGGTGGAGATCGATGCTAAGGGCCTTGTAAGTAGTAAAGAGAAGCTCGGGAATTTCATCGGGTCTTTCGTCGGGACTTTCATTATGTCGGAAACGAAGATAAAAGCCATATCTCTACTCGCAAATCCTTCTAATTAAACCTCACGAAATCATAGTGTAAGTTATTGTTACTACACTTTATCTCTAATGGCTGGCAAGAGGCAGAAAGCATATACGCATAGGTAAGATGGAGTTGCGAATGTCTATGAAACAGCAGCAGATTATCTGGAGCAAAGACCTTCTTTAACGTCTCTTGGTCGTATTGGATCGAGGCGTTATTTGTTACCACTTTGTTCCCTTTTCCATTCATTTAGCTGTCCAAACATACTTTTGGCGGTTTCAGCAAGATCACTATTCTCTTCGTCATCTGCCTCGATGCTGGACAGTGACGATAGCTCAGGCTCCAGCTTTTTCCACAGCACCCCAACAGGCACACTCTCTTTTACAAAATCCAGAAGATGCAGCAACCACTCTGCATCATCTCGGTAGTCTTCGATAATCTCCTTGATCGGGTCAACTGCCACTTCGGGAAAGCGAGCAAGCTGCTTCACACAGCCCGAGTAAGGCGGCCAGTTGTAGTCGGCAAGCCAGCCGAGCAGGTCCCTGGCATGGGGCTCCATCTGCTGCGCTGTGTGGACTCTCTCCGAAAGACTTCGCTCTGCCATGTAGTCCATCTTGTGCTCTGGGGCCCATGTCAGCTCGGGGAAGTCGATGAACTTGATTGCATCTCTTGCCCGGCTTGTCAAGGACGGCAGCGAAACCCCTGAAGGACTGTATGCGGTATTGGCAGCCAGAGCCTCTATGCCGGACTTGTAAAGTCGCAGTGTTGCGAGGGGAAGGTCGCTGAGGATGCTGTCGAGACCGGCACAGGCAGTGTAAAAGTCATCGCTGGATTTGACGGGCTTGGACAGGACTGAGCTGATGCCTTGGATGACTAATGGGTCTTGAGCGCGCGCAATGAGGATATCGCGAGCTTCTGCAGCGAGTTCTGCTGCTGCGCTATTGCTCGGTGTTGTACCGATCCAATGAAGAACACGGTCGAGAGACCCGCTGCCAATGGCTTCGTCCAGGGCCTCTCTACTCCACCCGGCGTCTGTTTGCTGCATAGCACTGGCACTTCTGTTCAAGTTTGTAGTAATAGTAGCGATACTCCTAATATGGCCTCGAGGAATATGCGCGCGGGGGATGTTGCATCTGCATCTGTAGTGTGTACTCGCACAAGTATAAGCACTCCTCCTGGTTCTCTGGGCTGCCGGGTAAGCGGCGATGGTGGGAGTCACGCAGCACTTCGGGATACGTGCGCCGAAGCCGACCTGGACTTTGGCCATGGCAGAGACAGCACACTTGCACTTACACTTGCCAGTCTATGGTGTTGCCGTTGCCATGTGGAACCACGTTTTTATCGCTGGCCGTCTCACCTTGATTTGACCTGTTTTCCCTCGCTTCATAAAGCACGCATCAGCCAGCATAGCATCGTCTGATTCGGCTCGTGCAGGTGGATCTTCGACATGCCGATAATGCAATTAGACCAGTGTACTGTACACAGGTACGAGGACGGCACAGCGATCTGTTTGGCTCATCCTATCCTATGGATGGATCAGCCTTTTTCTCCCGCTCTTCGCTTTGACGCCTAACCCAACACAGGCGCTGCGCTGATCCCCGTTGCTGCAATTCTACTCTTGGGAGAAGGAAGTGGGAAAAGGAAAAGAGGACGGACGACAAAGCATCCAGTTCATGATGGAATCGACGGCGCCTGCGCACCCTCAACCCCCCCTTCAACCTCATCCTCACCCTCACCCTCATCCCGACATATGGAGACACACGGGCGACGACGACTCGACGCTGCTGGACGATCTGGACCATGAGCCTAAGGTGCTCAAGTGGTATCGCGACTGGGACGAGTGGCGGCGCGACATCCAGCCCTATGTCGACGTCTTCATCTGGCGGTACATGTGGTCCGACAAGGCGGTTGACGACCTGCGTGCGTGCCCAATCCCGCCTCAGGTGCAGCAGTTCAATCCTCACGCCAGAGACGTGTCGGAGCTCACCAAGGACGAGTTTGGCCTCTACCATAACCAGAACAAGATCTACTACTCCAAGAAGCAGGAGTATGACCGCCAAAACGAAATGGTCGACAAGACCAAGGCGCTGATCCTGCGTACCATCGTCCCGGCCAAGGCAGAACTGCTCGACGAGAAGCAGTCGCTGCGCGAGTGGATAGCGATCCTGAAGGCGACGACGGCCCCGACGTACCGCCAGCGCATCGAGATTGAGCGGAGCCACTACAACGGCGTGCTGGAGCGCTTCGACCTTGACAACAACGAGGCGGATTGGGCTCATGAGTGGTACAGCGCCGTGACGAGATGCCACAAGCTCAACTTTCCGGAGACGCACTGCGGCACCTGGCTGCGTGATTTGGCCGACTGCATCCTGCCCTTTTCGCCGCCGCTGTTTGACAAGTTTATGATGGGGGCTGACAGGCTGGACCTCGCCGCCATTGAGTGGAAGACGGAGGCTGAGGAGGCTATTGCTTTTAAAAAGACGCACAAGTGCAGCAACAGCAACAGCAGCAGCAGCAGCAACAATAACACCAACGTCAATAACCGACAGGAAGCAGAAGCTCCGAGCGAGATTAGAAGCAGCACTGACGTGACATCTGCCGGACGCATACAAGCAGAACCTTCGGACGAAAAAGAAGTGGTAGAGCTGGATGCTACTTCGCCGGGCGAAGAGGACCGCCTGTGGACGTTTCTAGAGGTGTACCGAGAGATTCGCGATCTTGAATTTTCCGGGTCGGAAGTAGACGTGGCCATCAACGACGCAGCCTCTGTCAAAGACTCGGAGTCGCCGCTGTGTCCCGCCTGTAACCTCAAGGGCCACGAGCTGCGGCACTGCTGGTACGCGTTCGAGGAGCGCCGGCCGCGGGGTGTGATGCTGAGCCGGGCTCGCATGAGGCGGGTGGAGAAGGCGATCCGGACGGACAAGAACCTGGAGCAGAGAGTGGACGACATTTATACGGCGTTTACCGGGGGCCGGTTTTACCAGCGGCAGTTGATGCTGGGCTCGACGCAGTCTGCTTGGTAAAAAGCATTTTTTGAAGACTTTTCTCTTTATCCTTTCCCTTTTCTTTTTTATTATACATAATTGGATGTTGAGAATGAGTTGATGAACAAACAGACAGACAGATAGCATTGATGTATGATATACGAAACTTTAGCGGGATTTGGGAAGCGATGGATTTTCTTTCAATTTGATTCGAATTTACTTACTTATACAGCGGAATGGAAACACATTTTTATCTTTATTTTACTCCCCACGTTTCTTTCTCTTTTCTACCACGACATGACCCATCAATTCTCGAAGCTCGCTGATGGATGCCAATTTTAATAATTCATGGATAGCTCTACAAGTATCTGAAGAGCTGATGAAGATAGTCCTCGAGCTTACATACATAAACATCCCGACGTTTGCTCACAACGCCATGGCCTAGACTGCTATATAAACCAGACGCCGATACCAATACCGATGCATATACAAGTACAAATTCCAACATCAGCACAGAGCCCAAACGCCAACACATATACTGGTACAGATAAAGATACAGCAAAAATACACATCTCCGGTTACCTTGGACTATACCTCACCGAACTGGTCTCAGCCGTCATCGTCGGAACCCCCCTTTGGGAATCTTCTATTTCGAACCTCGAAAAGCAGCAAGATCTACCATCCGAGCAACAGGCCCCCTTGTCGCTCGAGAAGCAGCACCCATTCGTATCGGAACAGCAGCACCCTTCACGGTCGCTGCAGAAGAACCCCCCGCGATCCCCCCAGCAGCACCCGTCGCGATCAGAGCACACGACGCCGCCGCGGCTCGAGTAGCAGCACCCCTCGGAGTCGGAGCAGAAGCAGCCGGAGCCGTCGGCGGGGTGGCTCTGGCCCCAGTGGTCGTAACGGTCGAGGTTGGCGCTCATGGGGGTTGTGAGGAGGTAGCCTGTGGTGTTGATGCTGGTGCGGCCGTCGCGGCCGGCGATGAGGGATGGCAGGGAGGAGTTGCTGTTGGAGGCGTGCAGGGAGGAGCGGACGGCGACGCGGATGTGTGCGTCGCTTGGTCTGCGGCTGTTTTTGGGGGGGCGAAGGGGGTTTAGGAGATCTTGTCAGTCTTCATATTTCTATGCCGTGGAGGGGAGCAGATACGCTTTCTCTGTCTCTCTGTCTCCTTTCCTTTGTCGAATACAATACACATGCTGTGCAACACTGAGATAGCTAAGAGATTGGGGGATTTACAGGGTGGACGCCTCGTATGAAGGCGGGAGATCGATATTACTGTCGTCCCGGAGGAGACGGCCGACATCGCGAGGCCGGGGAGGAAGAAGCGGAGGCGGAGGCGACGGAGCTCCGGCTCTCCTCGGGACGAACTTGTCGCTGTTCACAGCATTCATTGGAAAAATGATCCAATACGAGATATAATTAATTGAAAGTAAAAAGGAAGAGAAGAGGGAATGAAAGAGGAAGAGCCGGGATTAGGAACATATGACATAGAGAGGGAAACGAGAATTAAACTTCGACAGCAATGACCCCACGGAACCGGGAGCTCGGGAGCTGCGTGCGTGGCGTGGCGAGAATGCTGGAGCCAAGACGGGAGGCTAAGCTCGTTTTCTTTTTTTCGGGGTATCACACATGTTGCTGACGAGATAGCAAAAACATCTCCAGTAAAAAAAAGCCACCATCTATGTAATCAAGCCTTTGTCTGTGGTGTTGAGGGGGGAATGTTTGAACCTCGGTTTGTGTGGCGGTGGGCGTCGTCAGCTGGGCTGAGCTGAGGTCAAGATGGAATGACATTTGATGCGGCATGATTTGCGGGGAGTTTTATGAATTGCTTTGGTGAAAAATGTGGTGATGATGGCTATTTGATGGGAATGGGCATTTTAGCGATTCTAATCTCGTGAATGCCATCTCTGCTTTCATTGTGTGTATTCTGTCTTGTCCAAGATCAACCAAATCGGCCGGACATGTCAAGATCGGGTGGCGAGATCCGGGATCCACAGCGACAGCCTAGTTATACGGAGTAAAATGGAGCAGCACTAATTCCATTGCTGCTAAAAGTATCAAAAGCCTCCAAACACGATGAATATCGACCTCCAACCATCAAACAAACGCCGTGTTGCTGTCGTCGGGTGTCACGACATGCCCCAGACTCCATCCGTGTGTACATGCACTACCGAAACAACAATGTTCCTCCTCCTGAAAACTCCCAACCTGTACCCATGAATGATATCCCTGCCATGTACCAAAAATAATAAAAAAGAAAAATGTACAAAAACTTGCAACAATGTCCGAAAGCAAATACAACAACCCCAACCCCGGCACTTTTTCTTATGCACATGTGCCTGTACCCTGCTCACCGCAAAAACAGCCGCTGGCCATCGTTATACTTGCAGCCGTGATACCGAAATGGACGGCTCAGGCCGACTTGGCGGTGCTTTCAGCCCAACGCTTGACGTAACCGTCGAAAAGGCAGATTCGTCGGGAATGATGCTCCTCCTTCTCGCAATGATGCGGCCGTCGTCAGCGGCAACTGTGCCCAACGGCAGTGCTGTGCTGCCAACGGCCGGAGTGTCGATGAGGGCGAGGCCCCTGTTGCGGCGCATGTACTGAGAAAGCTCGACGAGGCGGTTCAGGACGCTGAACTCCATCTTCAGCTTGATGCTGTAGACGAATGGCTTCCACGCCGTCTGGAGGTCGTAGTGGTTGGTGTACTGCAGAATCAGGATGCTGACGTCGAGGGCGATGATGACGAAGTTGATGAGGATGAGATGCACCATGGTGGTCCGGTTTGCGCCCGTCACGAGCCCCCTGTAGCTGCGCAGGATCTTGTACGTCTCGTGGATGTACAGCACCGAGATGATGACTACTTGGACGAAGAATACGGTCAACCCGATCCTCTCAAAGATAAAGTACGGCACCTGGTATTGCGCTGCGCTTGGCGAGTTGCAGAGAAATAGCAGCACGGTAGTGGGCACCAGCAGCCAGACGGAATTGACGACGATCATGATGAGGATGCCACGAAGCAGCCCTTCGCGAGGCAGGATGATGTGCAGCCGCGAGTACAGCACGAGTGACTGGCCCGTGACCATGGCCGCCCAACCGACGATGCCCAGCGCGGAGTAGACGTACGTCGACAACGACAGAGAGGTGCCCATGCTGCGGAGCAGGAATCCCACGGCGTTGAGGGCGATGCCGCAGGTGGCCACCAGGAAGCTCCAGCAGTAGAGGCCGCGGAAGCGCTTGAAGGTGACGGCGATGTGGCAGACGAGCTCGCCGACGTTGTAGAGGGCCAGGCTGAAGAAGACGTACATGACGATGTGCGTCAGCTCGTCGTGGACGCGGCCCTGCGACACGAGGTTGCCTGCCATGGCCATTTGTCGATGATTCTGATTCGGGGCGGAGGAGAGGTGGGAGAAGCGAATGGCTGAGATGTAGATGTGCGGTTTGGGCGACGCTCTGCCGGTGTCAACAGCATGTTAATGTTGACTTGGCGGGCATCAAGACTTTGTTCCTTTCGATTTATTACTTTGGCGAGACTCGTTTTGACGACCGAACTGGAATAGAAAGATATGGAGGAGAGCGAGATGAAGGTGATGGAAGAAGACTGACGAAAGCCACGTCCCGACAGGAAGTAGGAAATGATTGTGCGAGAGAAACTTGAAATCACCAACAGCTACCGCCCCTATATACGAAGTAGATGTAATCGACGGAGATGTAGGATGGAAAGGGTGACTATTAGAGGTGATTCTTTTACAAAAACAGCAAAGAGAGAAGCAAGAGAATGCAAGAGGAGAAGTCAAGGGAAAGGCAAATCGGCGATACAGATCGAGAAGACTAAGACAAGACACGGAGCTTGTGCAAGACCAACGACCCGCGGCACCGGGAGGTCCAATACCGGCATCACTACACTTTTTGATTTGATGCTTGCATATGCATGTTCATGTACAGGCGCATGTACGCACTACGAAACATTGGCCTGGGAGGGCCGTTTTTATGCTTATACTTGCAGGTCTCGGTCTGTCTGGAGCAATGAGACCAGACCAGCCACATCCCGCTGGTCACTTGTCACCAGAGATTTCGGGAGGGCATTTGACCATTTTTTGGCTGCAGCCTTGGGGGGGGTCTAAAAAGAGGCGAATCAAGGCGGGATAAAAAAGCAAGATTGCAAGCTCCAAGTAGTGCCGAATGGTCCATCCATGGGTGATGCTGAAGCGAGACTATATTGCATGTGGTTGGCGCGCTGGGAAGTGAACCTTGCATCATATTCATCGGGGGGGCTCCACGAAGTCAATGCTTTGGATGGACTTGATTTGATGCTTTTACTTTTTAACAGTATGAGTGGCCCGACGATTGATATCCACTTGATGGAGACGGGGGAGACACATACGTGTAAAAGGTGGACATGGACATGCATGTAAATTTGCCATCGCAAGTCATGGGGGATCATGGCACGCACCCGAGCTCAGCTTTGGAAGACAGGGCGATTCCAGCAAAGGCCTCACCGCATCCTTGGTCTTGGTTGTTGCGTGACCCCCCCTTAGTACCTACATGTTACGAGTATTAAAACCGGTATAAAAGATGGTAGACGAAAAAAAAAGCAAAAATAAAACAATAATTGTGATACATGTCTAGGTCGGCAGGCTTAAGCGAGCCATCATGGTTTAAAGGTGCGGGAGACCAACAGCGGCAGCGGAGCTGATTGGATAGGCTGAATATAGCATACAAAGCAAAGGAAAGCTGTTGAAAAAAGCAAAGAAAAAAAATATTCAAGGAATAAAATCGTAAGAGCCGCAGAATGGGCCGATTATCATGGCCCGATGTTTTGCAAATATTCCGTCCAATCTTTGATGGTGGACCAAAAACACAACACATACACACACCAACCCTGGTCTACCAAGGTATGCTATGCTCTTTGCTTTTTTTCTCACCTTCCAAATCATTTTTCATCTCTTTTCTTTTTTTGGACTCTCGCCTCAGCTGTAAGGGAGAACAAGGGTACTCGGAGTTAAAAAGCAGCCCGCGGTGAGTCAAATGCAAGGGTTGAATTCTTGGGTTGGAAAAAGGAATGCACAGCACAGCACATGCTGCATGTGAGTGAAGTGGTGCTGTATATTTGATACGCCTTCTTGTTGATGCACCGCTACGTGGGTAGACGAGACTTGCACGATTCATCACACGCCTTATTTAGCTGCAGTAGTTTTGAAATTGAGCTCAGGCTGTCTGTATCCATCAATACCAACAAAATTAAAATAAATACCTAAATAAAAAGGTGCAGAAGAGGTCACGGTGATGAAGCTGAAAGAGGGGGTGAAAAAGAGCTGAGCAGCCCAATCTCCGCCAAAAACTCGAGAGTAGCATCGAAATATCAACCAACCCTGTTCCCGGCCTTGCAGCCCGAGTTCCCCCCTCCCCTCTTCAGTGTCTCTCTCCAGCCCTTTTTCTCTCCCTTTGCCGGCTCGTTATTGGGTGGCTTGCATGGCTGTGAGAGCTAGCGGCAACGGCGAATGCATGGCTAATACATGTCCACTACCATCGGGGGGCCACTCCTACCCAATGCCTTGGGCGCCGTGAAACTGGAATAAACTTGCTTGTGAAGCGTTTTGAGTGCATACCTTACCTGTACATACATAGCATGGCATGACATGACATGACATAGCATTACATCTCATACATACATGATGCCGCTCCTGTTAGGCGTCATGGGAGCCCATCCGGAGTGGGAATTACATGTACAAGTATGCAATGGAGAGACGCCAACAGGGTCCTTTTTCTCTGGGTTTTGGGACATCACATCCCTTCGTCCATTCAGGCAAGACACGGTGCCTGTGCCTCTGCCCAATGAGGCCTCTGCGGGGGAATTCAAAGTCCCGCGGCGCTGGAAATTGCTTGTACTCGTACAGCTTAGCACGACTGACTGTCTCATTCCAAGTCTTCCCGTGAGGGACGCGGCATGGACAAGGTCCCAACCGTCGGAACCGAGGCCGGGGTCTTGTATTGCCCGTCTCTCGATCCGAACAAGCTGAGCTGGATGGGAGATAGTACAGCAGTGCTAGGGAGACAGGCGAGCCGTGCCTAAAGCTAGACATGCGGTGGAGATTGTCCTGGGCCGGGATGTGCTTTATGCAATGATGTGCGTGGTGCATTAATCCAATGTACAAAGTTGGGCGTATGATCTATGTTGAGTGAGTGGTTGAAATGGACGTTGCACAGCTTTGTTGTACCTAAGGTAAGCAGACATGTCATTGATTATATGGACTTAGATGGCCATGCACTGCCTCGGGTTCTGTCTGTCAAAGAGCTTGTATCCACTTGCAGCTCGATCGATCGATCGATTCATCTGGGGAAAAACCACCACTGCTATTAATACACTAGATTGGAAGAAGAAAGAGAAAAAGAAGAAAGAAAAAGAATATAGAATGACAAGCTCATGAGGCCGGCTTTGAAGAGAGAACTCATTACTACTGCTGCCGGATGATAGATGCCCGCGTGCTCCAATCTCAAAATATCACCTTTGATGCTACGCTGAGCAGCCATGCCGCATCGCTCCAGCTTCCCTCGTCGGTCGTTGGAGGCGGCACAAAGTCCTCCGGGTCCAAAGGGCCTTCGACGTGACGCTGAAGCCAAGCACTCCGGTCCTCCTGTGATCGCGAATTCGCCAGCGACTCGTCATACTCTGACTCCTCATCCGTCTCCTCCTCGTGCTCATCCACCGAGAAGAGATTCCATCCCATGAAGCTCGTCATCCACCCGGCTTTGGCCCCCGTGCCTCGCCGCATCAGCCTCTTGACTGCGGCCTCGGCGTCCTCTACCGTGTCTCGCTCCAGCTCCTCTAGTCTTTCGTCGAGGTCGATGAAGTCGGGCCCAGCAAGCGACTCTTGGCTCGGGAAATATGAGCCGTCGTCGATGAGCCGCTCTACAGGCGTCATGAGTTGACTCCGGCTGCCGTGAATGCTGTGAGACCGGCTGTGTATTTTACTGCCAATGACGGAAATGGACATGTCATCGTCGGCTAGACTGCCACGCCTGCTTGTAAGTAGGCTCGTCATCTCTCTTTCGCGCGCCAGCTCATCCTCAAACGCCACGTCTTCGATGCTGCGGATGCCCGTGAGACTCGTCGAGCTCTGCCGCGAGACAAGCCACGACTGGCCTTTGAATTCTCGCGCCTCAAAAGTCATCAATGCGCCTGTCCTCAGCAGCCAATCGCCGTCAGTTCCCTCGTCGTGTCGCCGGCGGGGCGTCGATGTGCCTGTCGCAGACTTCTTCGCCGCATGGGTGAGATGCGACGACGACTTGCTCTTGGTGATTGGGGCGCCCGAGGCGGATGGTGTCCGGTTCTGCGACCTCGACCGTGACCGAGGCTTGGTTGCGGAGCTAGCCAGCAGCCGAGGCGTGGTGGGAGCAGACTTGCCCTGCAGATATGAGGTGCTCGGTCGCGACAGAGGCACAGCGGCGTCGACAATGGCTTCGTCATCATCGATGGGAAGCTTCGTCGTCAAAGGAGCTAGAGAGAGATGGTTGACATTGGTGGAAGATCGATTCTTGCGACGAACGCGTTCGGCGTGAGGAACATATGAGACGTCCATGGTGGAGTTTGACCGCCGAGTGACGGCTTGACGAGATGCTGGGAATCAAACGCTGCCAGCTGCGAGTGCTGCAGTCAATTCGTTATGCTTAGAGATTTAACAGCACATGTAAAGATGAAGTGCTAATGAATTGCATTTGGGAGAGGGGACAACAAGGGAGCAGAGCAAATATTGAAGGGAGGAGGCGGAAGAAGACGGTTGATATGATTTAGCTTCCAACGTGCAGGACCAGAACTTGATTCCCGAGGTTGGAGGCTGCCCGTGATTCGCCCGAGTGCCGTCATCTGCCGCTGGAGGCCAATGGCAACAGCGCACTGTAGGTCGCTGATGACGCTGTAAAGGGCTGATTTACAGGCGGTGATGAAGCCGGGGGTTACATTGGATGGATGCAGTGCATGCAGCATCAACGCCATGGAACATTTGCCGACAGATTCCCGCATGCACTTCAAAGTCAATACCTTCCTAAATCTTGTTTTTGCGTCCGACTGTCTACTACAGAATTACACTGATTATCTCATAGAGCATAATGCATCAATTCATATCCCAATAATGATAATAATGAAAGAAGCGTAATTACTCTGCATGCACTGTGCTCAGTTATTAAAAAACGTTAATCAAGGTCGGTCCTTGCTAGCGTCGATCTGCCGCAAAAAGTACGGCTTCAGGCTGCGAGTCATCGCTGTGCATCCAGCCTTGGTGGAGGAAAAAAAAATATCCAAAATTATTTTCTACGGCCAAACGAAGTAAATCCCATAGCTTCAACATCCACGACGCTCGACTTCGACAAGGGCAATACTACACCCTTGGAGCAGGGAAACGAAGACGAACATACGAGGCCAGTCACCCGATTTTCCGCGCGTTCATCGATCAGCCCATCGACCAGGGCATTTCTTTTTCTCTCCCGCTCATGCACTGAGCCCCTCCAAGCCGCCTCTTCACGATGCGCAACCTTCGCAACCTCCGGTTCGGGAGATGGCGGCATCCCGACATCACCGCCGCCTGCTGGGATCCCGAGAATGACGAGATTGTGTGCACCATCGGGCCGACTGCCGAGAACCCGACGATTGAGCTGGTCAGATTGTCGGACACTGATTCCATGTGCGTTTTTGCTGCTTCGTTGTTTGTGGTTTGCGACTGAGGCGGGGGCGGGGCATGATTTTCTTTTTTCTTGCGGTTTCTCACTCTTTACGAAATTACCATCTCTGCGGCTGTGTAAAACAAGGGAAAAGAATGCTGACATGTAGATTCTTAAAGAAACCGCCGCGTACTCACTCGATGGGATGCGCCTAGTCCCAACCCCGATCTCCTCGTCGACCGCATCGTCAATATCCACCACCTCAGTGGCAGTGGTACAACATGTCTCGTTCTCGAAGGCGGTGATATCATTACAGTTAGGGAGGATCTTTCGACCGGACATGTTCACATTGAGATTATGGGATCTATTGACGCCGGAATTGCGGCTGCACGATGGTCCCCGGACGAGGAGCTGCTTGCCGTGGTCACCAAGGCCGACACTGTTATCCTTATGGGAGGCGCTTTCGATCCCGTTGCCGAAATCACCATGACAGACGAGGATCTCAAGGCGTCAAAGCACGTCTCTGTTGGTTGGGGTAAGAAGGAAACACAGTTCCAGGGCCGCGGCGCAAAGGCCCTCCGAGATCCCACGATTCCTGAGAAAGTCGACCAGGGCCTTCCGAGCACCAACGAAGACGGGGCGGTATTCATTAGCTGGCGCGGAGATGGCGCATTTGTTGCCATCAACTCGGTCCAAGAGGGCTTTCGACGAGTAATCAGGGTGTATTCTCGTGAGGGAGAGCTTGACAGCGCCAGCGAGCCGGTCGACGGGTTTGAAGGTGCTCTGAGCTGGAGACCGTCCGGCAACCTCATTGCTGGTATTCAGCGCTTGACGGATCGAGTTGATGTTGTGTTTTTCGAGCGCAACGGCCTACGACATGGACAGTTCACTCTGCGATCGCCAAACGGGACGGCTTTGGATGCCAGTGACACCAGGATCCGACTCGAGTGGAACTCAGATTCGACAGTCTTAGCAGTCATTCTCACGGATACCATCCAGCTATGGACCATGGGCAACTACCACTGGTATCTCAAGCAAGAAATTGCCATGGAGCCGGGATTTGCCTGCCTAGCGTGGCATTCAGAAAAGGCTCTCCGGTTTGCAGCAGCATCCGCTGGGAGTCTCATCCTGGCTGAGCAAATCTTCCACACATCTCGGGGTTCATGCCGGCTGCCCAACGATAACGGCGTAATTGCTGTCATCGATGGCGAGACCGTCAAGATTACTCCCTTTCGCACTGCCAACGTGCCTCCTCCGATGGCCCTGTTTGAGGTTAGGGCGGAATCTTCCGTTGTTGATGTAGCATTTGGACACCAGAACTCTTCATTCGCAGTCCTGCATCAGAAAGGCGTGGATCTCTACGAACTGCCCTTGAAGAATGGAAGATCTACTAGGCCAGTGGAGCGGCTCAAGCTTCCCTTTGATACCCCTAATATGCCAGAGCACCACATGCCCCTGAGAATCTGCTGGGTGTCCGACAACAGCCTGCGCTGTATGGGCTACCAAGATGACCTGGGCCATCTGCAGCTGGTTGTATCTACTGGCGAAGGAAATTCTGCCGAGATTAGCATGCTGGACAGCAGTCTGACCCTAGCAGCCACCGCAACACGGGACGATGATTCTACCGTGGAAAGCTACGGCCAAGACCAGTCCGGCAAATTGTATAGGCTGTCTACTTCTGGCGATGACCTTCTTCCCATTCAGTTCACGACACAGCTTCCGTGGTTCGAAGTCAGCAAGCATGATGACGTTGAGATGGCTTTTGGTCTTTCAAGATCGGGCCACATCTTTGCAAACTCTAGACTTTTGGCCAAGAACTGCACATCCTTCATTGTTACGCCAAACCATCTCATCTTCACCACTAATAATCACTTCGTCAAGTACGTGCACCTGGTGGCAGACGTCGAAGGTAAGCTTCAGATTCCGTGAGATATGACGGGCAGCCTGTTAACTTGGTCTAGATTTGGAGGTTCCTGGCGATGATCCCGAAAAGGATGAGCGATGTCGCAGCGTGGAGCGTGGTTCCCGTCTAGTTACCGCAATGCCAACCAACATGAGTATCGTGCTCCAGATGCCACGAGGCAACTTGGAGACCATCTTCCCCAGAGCCATGGTAGTTGCTGGCATCAGAAGCCTCATCGAGGAGAAGAACTATGCTCGAGCCTTTTCATACTGCCGATCACAGCGAGTCGATATGAACATCCTGTATGACCACAAGCCTGAGCAGTTCCTCTCATGCGTCGGACTGTTCTTGGATCAACTTAAGGAGGTTTCTTACATTGATCTCTTCCTTTCATCGCTCAGGTACGTATCACTAAGGATCTCTAATAAAAATGCTTTCAAGCACCAATCACTGACTTTGTTTCACAGGGAGGAAGATGTCACGCAGACCATGTATCAAGACACCAAGCGGACAAAAGCCCAGTCGTACGGCATCAATGCAGCCCCTGAAACTCTGCCTCCACAAAAGCCTCACGGTTCCAAGGTCAATGCCATCTGTGACGCAGTTCTCAAGGCCCTTCAGTCTCACAAAGCGACTCATCTCCAAAACATCATCTCCGCTCACGTCTGCAAGGTCCCTCCTGCGATGGATGATGGACTGACGCTCGTTGCTGAACTCATGCAAGAAGACGAAAAGCTTGCGGAAAAGGCTGTGGAGCATATTTGCTTCCTGGTAGATGTCAACCGGGTGTATGAGAACGCCCTCGGCCTATACAATCTTGATCTTGCTTTGCTCGTTGCGCAGCAGTCTCAGCGAGACCCAAGAGAATACCTCCCATTCATTCAGAACCTCCATGTCCTTTCCGAGCTTCGTCGCAAGTTTAAGATTGACGATCATCTTGCCCGCCGACAAAAGGCCCTGGCTCATCTCCAAGCTCTGGATGCATTCGATGAGCTGTGCAACTACACCAGCAAACACGACCTCTACCAAGATTCCCTCAAACTCTACCGATACGACCCACCGCGCTTAAAGACTCTGACCGAAATCTATGCCATCTACCTAGAGTCCAAGTCTCAATACCGGGAAGCAGGCCTGGCATATGAATCAATCAAGAACTACGCCAAAGCAACCAGCTGCTACCGCTCAGCCGGTGCCACATGCTGGCAAGAATGTCTCTTCACTGCCTACCAACAAGATCCTCCTCTCTCCGCAGACAACAAAGCCGAGCTTGCCACCGCTCTTGCAGATGCTCTCTGGGAGGCAAAGGACTTTTCCTCTGCCGCCACCATTCATCTCGATTACCTTGCCTCGCTCGAGATGGCTGTCAAGTGTCTCTGCCGCGGCTACCATTTCGCCGAAGCCATCCGCCTCGTCATTCAGAACTCACGTCCTGACCTTCTTGAGTCTGCTATTGACGTCGGGCTCGCCGAGGCACTTGGTCGAACTACGGAGTTCTTGGCCGACTGCAAAGCTCAGCTCCGCGCACAGGTCCCTCGCGTTGCTGAACTAAGACTCAAAGCTGCTGAAGACCCTCTTGCCTTTTATGAGGGTGAGCGTGCTGGCGGGATGGATATCCCTGATGATGTCTCCATCGCAGCAAGCTCGCGCGTTAGCACTTCGGCGAGTTTGTTCACGCGATATACTGGCAAGGCTGGCAGTGTTGGTACCGCCGGCACGGGCGTCAGCAGAGCTACAAGCAAGAACCGAAGACGAGAGGAGAAGAAGCGTGCTCGAGGCCGAAAGGGCACTGTTTACGAGGAAGAGTATCTCGTCAACAGTGTGCGACGACTGGTCGAGCGTGTGGAGGCGTCCAAGTCCGAGGTCGAGAGACTGGTGTTTGCACTCGTGAGAAGAGGTATGGCGGAGCGTGCTCGCGCGGCAGAGACACTCATGGCAGACGTCACGGAGGCGTGTGAGGCTTCTGTGAGGGAGGTGTTTGCCGTGTCGGCGGAGCAGCAGCAGCAGCAACAGCAGCAGGAGCAA